GAACTTTTGTATCTTCAAAAAGAATATCGGAGTTTAGCAGTCTACCATGGCTCCGATTCAACGATCAAAACCGAACCTTTAAAAAATCGTCGGTTTGATCAAAAGTTTTGGGAGTGCTACTATCGTGATAAAACCCCTCCACAAGTACGAACACTCATGGCAAGTGCCGGGTTCGAGGGGGTATTGACCTTGTTTAGACAACCTTCTATTTTACATTTTCACTCATTTTACCTCTTAAACACAAAATTCAATGAAAAAGAAAACATCATCTAAACAACTTTCTGATTTACATTTTAAATTCCAACTTGAAATACTTTTTGTTAGTGTAATGACTATTTTAGAACTACAAATAGTTCAGTGACAAATTATGCAGGATTCCGTTGTTGAGTGATTATTTTTGAAAAAGTTCTTTTTTGCAGTGACTATAATTGACAGTATTTAATTGTTTAATGATGACTTGTACTTGATATTTCAAAATGTAGTTCAAAATACTTTTTTTCAAAACCAACATCCAAACAACATTTTTATTTTCCATTTAGTTTTTAATTTGAAACACTTTCCACTTTTAAGGAGCAAAATGAAATGTAAGTTGACGTCCAAACAAACACGTGATAATTGTCTCATCACTGCATTGGTGGAACGATGGAGACCTGAGACACACACTTTTCACTTTCCATTCGGTGAGGCAACTGTGACGTTGCAAGATGTGAAAATCCTATTTGGTCTCCGAGTCGATAGGGACATAGTTTGTGGTATGGTGCCAAACCGTGGTGTGGCGCAATGCAATCAATTTGCAAGGAGATATTGGGATTCACCCCTACCGAGGGTCGAATAAGTAGAAATACTCTTAAGATTTCAGTTGTACAGGAAGCGGCGAAACGTGCAATCCCTGAAGGTAATATTTAAATTTATTTATATTTTTTAATATAATTTGTATTGATTACTTTTTTGGCCAAACAAATATTAAGGTTTGAAGTGTTGTTTTTGTAGGTTCTCCGGAAGTCGTGTATCAACCAAGGGCCCGATTAACGCTCTTGTGGTTTATGAGTTCTTTTATGTTTCCGGATAGAAGTCAAAACAGTGTTGATTTATATTTATTGAACCATTTGGGGGATTTTAATCATTGTGCAAAATTTAGTTGGGGATCGACTCTACTTGCTTACTTGTATTCTAGCCTGGGCGAGGCTAGTCATGATGAGAAACGTGATGTAACCTGCTGTGTGTATCTTCAACAGGTAATAATTTATTCAATATGTGGTAATTCAATTTGAAAAACATTTATTATATTCTGAAGTATTATTATTTATTTTTGTTGTTATTGATTTAGGTGTGGGCATACGAGCAGATCCCGAGAATCATGTCCCAAGGAATTTTAAAGAGATTTGAAAGGGATCCTACAGCTTCTTTAGCATATCGGTGAGTTTATTTACTATACTCTTAATTTAAAAATTACTAATATTTTTATTTATTTTTATTGGATAAATAATACCTTTGATTTTTTTTTTTTTGTATTGAAAGGTGGAGTTGTTTATACTCCTACAAGGACGTCCCAAGGTCTAGTCTTTCGGGTTCTAGAGACCAATTGACCACCTTAAAAGCCAATGATGTAAGCATGAAAAGGTTTTCAATTTATTATTTTTTCTCACCATTCTTATGTGAATTAATTCGTTAATTCTCAATTTTTTCACAATTTGTTTGGCAATCCTACAAGGATCTCCTCCCTACCCTCCCTGATTGTTGTAAACATGGAAGTGCCATTTGGATGGCAAGGACGTGGATGTTCTATTGGGCTATCCGAGAACCCCACAAAATTGACAGGATCGTGAGACAGTTTGGCTATATTCAAGGAATTCCCCGATGGCCTATGATTGCCAATATCCAAGAGAATATAAATGCTCACGAACACAATATGTCTGAGCTTACTGAGAAAAATTGGGTGGAACACCATAGTAAAGTACGCCCCCATTGGAATAGGAGAGCCCGAAACATTCTTACAGATTTGGAGGAAGGGGAGCCCGGTCAAACTAATGAGAAGTACGAAGTGTGGCATAACAAAGGTTCTGTGAAATTGATAAGCGATCCGAGCCACTACTCATCAGCCGGATGTGAGGCTTTCTCGAGCCGAGTGAGAGTTTATGTAAGTGTTTATTTTCAATTAATCTATGTATGGAGTACATTTTACTCTATTCATATAAATTGTGAATTATACTCCTTTAGTTAACGCATTATTTGATTTTCAGGGTGAAGTGCTGAACAATGTCCGTATGAAGGCCATATTATTCCGAGAAGAACGTCGTAGAGCCCATGACCTAGACGACGAGCTCGAAAAGATGCTCGACTATTTCGCGGACGTAACCCACACTGCTTTAACTCTCGGAAAGGACGATGAGATGGAAATTGAGGATTCCCAAATCCTTGTGAAGTATGATACGAGTCGCCCCTCACAAGGTCCGCGCGGTGAAACAATGAAACCGTGGCCAAGAGATAAAATTGGAGGGGAAAGAAAGCGAAGGAATCCTTTCAGGCCATCACAAGATCACGAGGAAGGTTCGGACCAACACGAGCAAGAGAACCCAGGAGGAGAGAATGTGAGAGGAGGGGAGGAAATGGGAGGAGACAATGTAAGAAGAGAGGACAATGTTGGTTCTTCGAGAGGATCTTACACTTCACATGAAGAAGAGGTGCCTCTCACCATTACTCTCGGAGGAGAATCGCAAGTCCTAAACGTGGAGCCAATTCCCACAATCCATCCAGAGCCGCAGGAACAAGGGGTTCGCAAATTCGACACGCCGCGCAACCCGCTGGTTAAATTTACCCCACCCACTATTCCTAGAAGAGGGAAAAAATGATTGTTGATTAGTCTTTTTTTAGGATTTTTGAATGATTTTGGATTGTTAATTGAGAATTTTACATTATTTTGTTATGAAAATATGATCGTTTTGTTGTTGAATTAGTTTGTTATGAATTGGTTGTTGGCGCTGTTTAAACTGGGTTAGGACTGGTGAAAATCAGTCCATTTTTTTTTTCAAGTTTCTGGTATGATTCGGATTTGGCAAATCCGAAAGATGCCATTTGGGGTTCTTTCGGATTTGGTAAATCCGAGAGTTCCGCATATTCTGCAGATCTTTCGGATTTGACAAATCCGAGACCCCTCCTATCTATTTTTACACTTGGAATTTTTTTTCAAAATTTAAAATAATATTTTATTCAACAACTCGAATTCTTAAATCCGAAACACTTTGTATCGGATTTGGCTGATCCGCTTCTAATCAAATTTTATTTTCGAACACTTAAATTTTTTTTTCAAAATATAAATTATTTCTTCATTGAAACCTTTCGGATTTGTCAAATCCAGAACTTGGTTAATTTTAATTAATCATTTAATTAAATTTAATTAATTTCAGCTTGGACGGTTTTCGGATTAGACAAATCCGAATTGTCTTGCTCTTGGATTTGATAAATCCGACTCTTTGTGTCTCTCGGATTTGGCAAAATCTAGGACATCTACTTCTGTCTATCTAATTTTTCTTTAAATTATTTTTGTCTAGGTATTTCCTTTGATAATTTTTTCGATGAAAAACTCTACCTTTCCTCCATTTGTTTTTATTTTGTGTTTCTCTCTATTTATTATTACTCCAAATAGTGCCAATTAAAGGCTCTTCGCAATGCTAACACTTGAGAACCAAAAGATAAAAGAAAATAACATTATATGAATTGCTCTACTTATGTTTCCGTCTTATTTTAATAGTGTACTTAAATGGTCTGTTTGGTCAAGTCAAAAACGACACAAAAATCATTAGTGAGTATTGTTAGTGAAGTGATCCAGACAAGAGAAGAAAATTCTATATTCTTAGATAAGCTTTCTGACCTATTAATTGAGAGGTTAACTGATCATGCTACTGTGCCTGTGCCTATGAATTTTCTCCGTCAATTAAAACCGATAACTTTTTGTACATTGTTTCTATATCTGAAAATAATCGTTATGGATTAATAATGTGCAAGTTTCATGAATTCTCTGTGTTGCATTATTGGGAATCCAATTCGGTTTGAAAAGGGAGAATGATCATTAATATAGAAAACTAGGATACGCCCAGGAAGGACAGCCACATTCAACGAGAGAATGAAAAAAGCTATATGTAGCCTAGATTCTTCATCTCATTTTCTATCTGTCTCATCCCAATTTTATAGACCTTTAGTTTGGTAGAATATATTGACAAATTTATGCAATTTACAGGCCCCAGCATAAGTAGAATTACTTGAAACTCACTGATTTGTTCACTCCTTAATTAATTTCGAGCACCATTTAGGTCGAGCAAAAATTAAAATCCTTTTGGAATCTTAGACAATATCAATGATATTATGCTCAAACCAATTAATTAAGTCAAAAGTAAATATATATTCTCCCAAATATCTTAAAGATTCATTTTTTTTAAAAAAAAAAAAAAAACTAAAACTACGTGCCTAGCTAGCTACGGTCCTAATTTTGTTCCTAATGACTTTTTGAATCAGGTACGTACAATCTATTATGTGTTGGTGAATACCTTTTTCATCCTGTGATCCTGATGAAATTTGATCTTCCAAGTTACAATATGGCATCACAAACAGATGCCATCCACTGTCTCACTTTTTGTGTATTATGAGGATGGTACAACATACGTGATTATTATTATGAAACGGTTAGAATGTAAATCATAATTTTAATGAAACGAAACTATTATATTAATAGGACAATCATTTCAGAACGGATAAAATAAAAATAATACTCCCTCCGTCCCACAAAAATAGTCCACATTGAGTTTTGAGTTTAGTACTGTTTTTAGTATAAATTTGAAAACTCAACGTGGACTATTTTTTTTGAGACGGAGGTAGTAATTTTAAAAAAATACAAAAATGTTCAACTTTACTGAATTTGGAAGTTGCCAAATTTAACCAGGGGCAGAGGCAACAAGGAGGGCAAGAGGTTTTTCTCCCAAGTTTTTTGATGCCGTAAACTTTGGTATAAAATTTGGCATTACTTAACTGTACAATCTTCAACTTCCGCATCCATTCCCCCCACAAAAAGCAGTTGTTCACACCAACTTTATATCTCTTACACCCAACTACTTATACCCCTTCCCCTCCACCTTCTTCTTCCTGATCAAACTCACTCTTCAGATCAAAACCTCATCTTTTCTTCCTCCCTTCAAACCAAACACTTCCCATAGTTTTATGGGTATAATCATCACAGCCCAAACTAATCATCATTTCATCCTTTTCCTCTATCCAACATTACTCATTTCAGCTATAACTCCACCAACAATCTAGATTTTGAGCTTTGAAACACAGCCATTTAATTTATTCTTCCAATGTCCTCCTGTTGTTATAATCTACATGTATTTCTCATCTTATTTTTCATGATGATGATGATCAATTCTCGAGGTACGTTAATTTTTCTGCATGTAGTATCAAACTAATACAGTGTGTGACAAATTACTTACAATCTTCATGGCTTAAGATTGATTTGAATCGTTTTTTTTTTTTTTTGGATTGGAAATTCAGGAATATCAGGGACAACTTTTACTTTAATAAATAGGTGTAACCACGTAGTATGGCCGGGGACATTGGCCAATGCCGGCAGCAACCCGTTAGACAGTACCGGATTCGAACTTCAACCCGGTGAATCCAGATCTTTCGGAGTTCCAAACGGGTGGTCAGGCCGCGTATGGGGTCGAACCGGTTGTGCATTTGATCCAACCACCAACCAAGGAAGCTGCGCCACCGGGGACTGCGGCTCTAACCAACTCGAATGCAACGGCCGAGGCGCCACCCCTCCAGCCACCCTAGCGGAGTTCACGATCGGGTCGGGCGCGTCATCATCACAGCAAGACTTTTACGACGTGAGCCTTGTGGATGGGTACAACTTACCAATGATGGTGGAGGCGAATGGCGGGTCGGGTGCTTGTGGGTCAACGGGTTGCAGTACCGATTTGAACCGGATGTGCCCGAATGAGTTGCGGGGCGGGGCTGGGCAGTCGTGCCGGAGCGCATGCGAGGCGTTCAACACGCCGGAATATTGCTGCAACGGCGACTTTGGTTCGCCCTCGACCTGCCGGCCGTCGGTGTATTCGGAGATGTTCAAGAGTGCTTGTCCCAAAGCTTACAGTTACGCTTACGATGACGCCACCAGTACTTTTACGTGCACCGGAGCTGATTATATCATCACATTCTGCCCTTCTGCCACAAGGTAACCACCACTGATCTTTTTTTAAAAAGAAATACAGTAAAAAAAAATTTAATTAATAAAAGAATCACAGTAAATTTCATAATTGTAATATTATCTCTAAAGTAAAAAACCGAAACTTTCTGCATACAACATGCAATGTAGTGTTTTTTTTTTTTTTACTAATAGAAAGCGATTTATTTTTAGACATGAAAATACCAAACAATTAAACATTTAAATGTCACGTCAAATGTCATTCATATATATCTAGTTTCATTCATTGTAAAAGATTATATTTCCATATATTCTTATTCCATTTCCTGTTTATCATTTCTTTTTCTTTTACGCCCTCTCCGTTTGAGTTCAATTTATTTATTATGTTATGTTGAAGCCAGGCAACGGGATTCTAGCTAGTTTTAGAGATGGAGAGATTGTAGGATCTTGATTTTCTTGAGCACTACGATTCAAGTTGATCAATTGGAACTTTGAAATTATCCTTTTAGTGATGTAATATGCATATCGAACTTTACTTCTTTTTTTCTTTTTTTCTTTTTCCCACCCGCAAGATAGTGAAACCTGGGTTGATAATATCTTTCAATGAAAAGTGTGTTTCAGAAAGAATGGTATAAGATGAATCTTGAGTGACAATGAAAGCCTCAATAACCTTCTTCTCTTTTTTTTCTTTTTTTTTTTTTTTTCCCTCCCCCAATTGTTTTTATGCTTGTAAGCTAGCCTCAATAATGATTTAATCATTGTACTATGTAAGTAAAATCGTAGCATTATTTATTTCTTGGCAAATGACTTCATTAATCACTTACTGTCCTCCCAGCTGATTTTGTAATTTTTGTGGGAGTACTATTTTGGAATCTTGACAAAATGTGGTGTCAAAAAATCTCTGGTTCCAAGTGCATGCAACCTTTTCTTTTTCTTTCTGAATACAACTAGTATCCAAATTGCTTTTTCCACAGGGATCGAATTAATTAGAGATAACCTAATTTACTTGCTTTATATCTCATTATCTTGTGAAAAAAAAAAAAAAAACAACATCTCTCTTGAAATTGGCATCCATCTTTGTGAAGTTTTTTCCCCCTTTTTTTTTCCATAAAAAGAGATACGGATAAATTACATTTTTAACCAAAGATGAGAGATTTCTTTTCTGGAGACAACATTTTTCTTCACTTTATGTTCTTCTTAAGGCAAGAACCACCTTTGCCGTTTTCCTTAATGGCCTTTTACTGTGTTTATATCCAAACAAATGAGATTTTCGTATCACTTCCGATACACCTTCATCCGAAAAGTGAATCATATTAAGTAGGACCTTTTTTTTTTTTTTTAGGACCAAAGAAATTTGAGTTTGCTCCTTTGCCTAAAAATTAGACTTAAATGAATTATATGATAGAGTTCGACGGTTTATATTATTCCTATTTAGCTTTTAAATCAATAAATGGTTATAATTTACGAGCATTTTGGATTAGGAGAAATTGTGTATTAAATCCTTCCCCCTCCAAAAAAAAAATAAGAAAATAAAATGAAAGAGTTACAACTATATCTGCTGCATCATGGATTTAGTTTGATTATTTGCTTTTATAAGATGTTACATTTTTGGGGTTAAAATTAGAAATTAACTCAATTCTTGATTTGTTTTGCAGCCAGAAGTCCTCGAGAGATTCTCCGTCGGATCCGATAAATAGCCCGCCCGTTACCCCAGGGATAGTAGCTACTTCACCACCCGGGTCTCCGGCGGAGGATTCGGATCCGTTTACTTCATGGTTACCAAATTTCATGTCCGGGGACTCATCAGCGGGGACAATTAGTACTAATTTTGCCTTGCGTTATACTCCACTTGCTTCCTTCATTATCACCTTTACCATTCTGTCTTTCCTTCATTAAATCATTGTTTCGGTTACTTAATTTCCTCCTTTAGGTTTTTAGGCTTTCTCTATTCTTTTGTCCATGCCCAAATGAATAGATCCGGAAAAAATGTTCGGTTTGCAAATTCTCATTTGACCCGAGAGATCTACTTAGATTTGTAAACAACCAATTTTCCACCCGATTAATGTACAGATTGAATTTTACTTTAGTGATTAATGATGATTCACCCTCTGATATAGTCATTAATTTTTCGGAAATTACACTTGTTGTTCTCTTTTAAACGCCTTCCGTTATATAATTATCGTGTGCTGTATGATGAGTACGATAGATAATAGTTATGATACATTATATCGTTGTATAATCACAAGTATTAGAATACGTCACATATTATAGTAAGAAATTGTGCATTTGCATGGCCATATGTGAGAATATGCTAAAGTGGACAGAAGATTAGGGCAATTAATTAAGTAGAACAAAAGAAAGAAACAACTAACATGTGAATTATATATCATTTTTATGCTAAAAAAAAAAAGAAAAAATTATAGAAAAAGAAAGAGAAATGTTTGGTGAGTGCTCACCCTCAAGTTAGCCTTTGGTACTTTACTGGAATTTCAAGCTAGATCGGTAGATATCTGGTATTGGATGCAATATGTTATATGGTAACCAATCATTTTGTCTGCCAACAATGTGATTTTGATTTTTAAACTACAGATTAAAGCTTATTAAAGAAAAACTAATAATCAGGAAGAGGAGGAGCTATCTTAGCTAGAAGCTAGTAACAATCATTGAGCCACCGAAGATGTCACCTAGTTAAAGTAATAATGTTTTGATCCTATATCCAAAAATATTTTGTAACGTTCTATAAAAGAGAATTTTTTATAAAAAATAAAAAATAAAAATCAAGTTATAACTGACTCGATGGCATCGTCTATAAAATATTTTTGCTCATCGTCTTCTTCATATGAACATGCATGTTATTCATCGTACTTTGAATAGAAAAAATTAAATTAAATTAAGTGTTGGCTCGGCTGTTTTTGGTCATCTTATAACATTTTACATTTCTGGTGGAGAAGTTAAGAATATTGCATGGTTGTTCTTTATTCTGAATTTTGGGACTGTATAAGTAAAGATTGTCAACTTTTTTCCCCCCAATAACCAAGGTAGGGTAATCCCATCTTGCACCTTATACCTTCACTGAATTTTATGGGTTCAATGCAAGTGAAAGGTTCATTGTCCAATATCCATTGTATCCCCCAAAAAAAATAATAAATAAACAAATTAATTAATTAAAAAGAAGAAGAAGAAAAGTAAGTTTATCATATAAATACGAACAGTAAATTGAACAATCTGAAGTAAGTGACCTTGAGACGATAAGGGCAATCACAGTGAGAGTCTTCGATTTTAGTTAGAAGTTTGAAAATATATTTTACTCGTTTCGTTTTATCTTAAAAGAATTGAATCATTAAATTTGTATTAAAAACAGTATTAATTTCAAAACTCAATATAATTTTTTTGGAGAGGGGACAATTGAAAATAAGGCGTACATTTATAAAATAACCTGTACATGATTTGACAAAAAATGAGGTGTTATGTATAAAAAAATGAATAAGTAATGCTAATCCCTTTTACCCTATTAAAGCAGAATACAGGATGTTGATGTGGCAACTTCTTATTAAAAATTTTTGGCTCCAAATGCACCATATTGCATTAACCATTCTGCCACGTGTCATCCCTTTTCAAAAGAAAAAAAAAATTCTTATCCAGAAAAACAAAAGCTACTTTACAAAAATAGCTACACAATTTTAACTCCTAACATTTATCATTTATCAATCAAATTAAAATAGTATTTAAATTTGTCCATAAACTTATCCTCTTTATTACTCCATATTCTTTTGTATGATTTCTAAATCGTTGTACTTTTCAATATTTTTTCTCCTTTGGCAGATGATTTTTTTATTTTTATAATTATTTTTTACTAAAAAAGAAAAAAAAAATGTGTAGCTATTTTATTTTTTCCAAATCAAGAATTCATTTATCTATTAACATAAAATTAAAGTAGAGGGGCGCCCGGGCATCTGCCTGGGCCAAGCATCTAGTAATATATAGAGCCCATGTATAGTTTTTCAAAAAGGAATGGAAGTCCTAAAGTTGAGGAATCAAAGAACACATGAAGACAACCCACTCTTAGAAAGGATATTCAACCCTTTTATCTGATTTTTGGACCTCTTCTCCAGCCTCATTTGATGATGCATTTCCACTTTCGGTGACATTTCCCTCTATTAAATTTCTGTGTCTCCAATGATTCTCTTTAGTCCTCCCCCCGAAATTCAGCAAATTAAAGCCATTCTCAACTTTATTGCAATTTGTTAGTATAATTCATGGGCATCTACTCCTCCATTGTGAATTTCTTAACAACCAAACTCTGCACACTTTCGAGCTTCAGATTAAAAGTGATGAATCATGAAAGCGTGTGTAATATTTAATTTGTACCAAATCAGATTTAGTAATCCTTAAAGAATTTTTCCGTCATTTTAATTTTTGCTATACTAGCAAAATGGGTAGTCATTCCTATCGGGCGCCAGGGTTCATTTAACAACCGGTACGAAACAAGGTTTACAAGAAAGAGCATGAAAACTCGACGAAACTAATTTAACAAAAATAGGGCATGTATAAATCGTTCAATGTATGCAATCAAACTTGAAATGACATAGGTATCGGACCATAAACTAACATCACGACCAATTTATATAATGTACAAACTCGGATCATTCTTATATTCATTAATTTGACATAACACTTACTATAATATTCCCTTTGCACTATTGACAAAAAAAAATCTGAATAGTTTATTATATATAGCCATCAACAATACATTTCGTTAATTATTACTCGTATTCACTTTAAACTCTAAGGATTTTTTAAAAAAAAAATTATAAAAGGTTAGATTCATACAAAAAAAAAAAAAAAAAAAAACTAAAAACTTATAGGATAATCTTGTAGGACAAGTCGTAAATGCTACTGGTAACACAAATCATACAGATGTAACTAAAAGTTCTTTTGAAATGATCTGTACAATGCATATTACGAATTCAAGCAACAGTCAATGTTAGTAAATGAGATAAAACTTTGTAGTACAAGTGTACAACGATCGACACGAAACAAGACACTAAAGCGATGATGTTAAACGGGTTCGCCGGATACTGATCCAGTTACTAAACCGGACTAGTAATCGGGTTTTTAATCTAATTTTCGGCCAATTGTGAGTATTTTTTTTTTCCAAGTAATCGGGTTCATCAAGTGATAATCTTGATGAACTTGTAAAAAAGAACTCTAGTGGACCGAATGATACAGATAACGGTCACAAGAAACTATTGTAATTGTTCTTAAACCGAGAGACGATGATAATAATAAGAAATCAATTAGATCTTGTATTCTAGCAAAAGAAAATGCAATAAGAATAATTTTCATTTACATCAAACACAAGAATGCGTTTTTTTCAAAACAAAAAAAAAAATAATCATTTGTCAAGCCACCAATTGATCCATCTCATAGAATCATTATCAGGATTACACACTGTGCTAACATAAAAATCATCTGATTTCACTGTCCACCAACACACGTGATATTGTTTTTCCAATAAAGGACCACAGTCTTCCTCAGCTATCCTCTTGTCAAGAACAGCGAATCCTCTGGTCTTGGTAGTCCAATTGAAACTACAGTAGTATTTTGTGGATAAGAAATAATCTTCCTTAACATGCCAGTATAATTTATCTGTCACGCTCAGGTTATGCCAACCCAATTCTTTATTTCCAGAAAAGCAATGAAGTAATAGAGGATCTTTGTTGTCTGGAAGACCATTGGCAACATACATCTCGTAGTATATCTCGGAATAATTCAGTCCATCCTGTGGAATGGCATCATCGGCTGAAATTAATCCTAAATAACACAGAGAAAGAAAAATGGCTAAAATTTTGACAATGGTGATGGGATGAAAACTGAACATGATTATTGTTTTTTTTTTTTTTTACCCCTTTAAACTGAGCATGATGAGGCAATTATATATAGGAGATGGTGACTTCCAAAAGCGTGACGGAGCATGACGAATTCACATTATTTACCATTAGAAGACCTGTTACGTTGACCAAAAACCATACATATATATATATATATGAACAAACTAGTCAATCACAAATACAGTGAAAAGAAGAAAAAACAAAATCCTCTTTATTTTGTTACTAATCCCTATAATTACTACTCGGTAGGGGAGCGAATTAGACATCTGGCGAAAGGTATATTATGCAGTACAGTTTTCGACTTCAATAGTAGTGTTTGAGGATTGGATTTAGTTCGTTCAGTTAATCCATCATATGCCACTAGCCAATAACATACGTAGAATTCTCTTTGCAGAAAAGGACCGCAATCCTTTACAGCTATACGGGTATCATAAACAGCATGCAGTAATACGATTTCGTCGATAAATAATACTCTGCAAGTCCCCAATGAAATTCTTCATTTACGCGCAGATCATGCCCATCCAATTCATCGTCTCCGGAAACACAATGAACAAGTAGAATACTTACGTTGTCTGGAAGTTGATTGTGAATGTAGATGTCATATTTTAGCCAGCCATAAAATTTTCAACCGAAGGAGAAGCATAGTTGGTTGAAATGGCCAAACAAAACACAGAAATCAAAGTGGCAATCGTTCTCCTAGTTGAGAGGTCTATGGGGTTTTTTTTCATGGTTAAGTCAGGGGAAGCCATTTCTAAAGAGATTTCACACAAGAATTCATAATAATTCTAGCCACTTTAAATTTTCAAAAACAGTGATTCTTTAATGGTTATTATCTCCGTATTACTTTTTGGCACAACGTTTATGATGCATGATTGGATGAAATCACAAAATTATTATTTATATTTCTTTCCAAATGTTTCATTTTCTTCGATATTTTGTTCTGTCATCAATTGCTTTTCTGGGTTGGTTACATTCATTCTAAAAATTGAATGCTTATTTTCTCTTTTTATTGGGAAGTACATTCAAGTACCTGAATACTTCCATATACTTGAGGTCTGATTTTAAGCAGGACGGGACGAAAGTTTCTTCCATATACTTGAATCTATGTTCGAACAAATGTTGTGATTTGAGGTTTCTATTCAATGAGAATAAACGAACTACTTCCAAGAAACATTAACTATGACAAAACTAGGGAAGCTCGGGCAAAACATCGTCCTCTTACATGGATCAACACAGGACTTTTGACCTTGTTAATTCACAAAGAAAGAAAAATGAAAAAGACAAAATTCCTGGTAATTATGTTATAAATGAAACCTACTAAGCTTCAGATCCTCCCTGCTCTGCTCTAATAACTTTAGCTCTGTTACAATACGTTAAAAACTCTTGGAAGGACAAGTAAAAAACGAAATCCTGCCAACAACCTACAATTCATCCCTGAGATCAGAAGGCTCATCAGATTCTCCTTCAGATGATGATGCTTCCTCTGTGCTGGATTCCGGCTCTTCAACATCATCTTCCTCTTCAACAGTTGCATCGGGGCTGATTTTCAGGCTGCTTTTCACTGAGTCGTAGATACTGTTGGCAAACTCCTTGGGGTCATTGAGGATGAAACCACTCTCCATCAATGCTGTCTGGTACATAAGGCGTGCTGTTTGCTTCACACTCTCATCCTACAATTAGAATAACAAAATTTATGTCAGGCAACTACACCATAAGGCAAATCATGATAACAAAGAGCGATGAGCACAAATAGTGTAATGCAAAGAGGAAAAAGAATTACTTCGGCATCTTTAACAACTCTCTCGCGTAGCTCCTTAATGATCGGGTGCCTTGGGTTGATTTCTAACACCCTCTTGCCCTTCATGTATGCCTGTTTGCTAGCATCTGATAGGGTTTGTGACTGCATTATTCTCTCCATGTTTGCACTCCAACCATACTTTGATGTGACAACCACACATGGTGTGTCTGCCAAACGATTGCTTATCTTCACATCATCAACATTCTCAACGGCAAGAACACCCTTCCACCATTTGGTCAATTCCTTAAATGACTCTTTGAGCTCCTTGTCCTTAGGCTCCTTTCCAAGCTTCAGCCCCTCTTTAGACACATTTTGGAATTTCTTATCTTCATAGTCCATCAGATATTGCATCAGGTACTCATCAACGGGATCAGTAAAGAAAATAACCTACAATAGGAACAAACGATGCAATTAGCAAAAGGAAAGTAAAAAATTTCATAACGAACATTTTTACTTACGAATTGGGAAATAAAGGAATATGACTGTAAATATAGCATAGACTACAAATAGCTACAATTTTGAGCCTGTGTAATACCTCAAAATTTTTCTTGGTAAGTCTCTCAAGGAATGGAGATTTCTCTAATTGTTCTTTGCTTGAGCCAGTAATGTAGAAGATGTCTTTCTGTCCTGATTTCATTCTTGAGATGTATTGATCCAGTGAGGTTAGTTTACCATCTGACTTCGAGCTGGTAAAATCCAAAGAGACAAACAATTAGTAGATCATTCTAAACCAGGCAAGTGGGGATAGGGGGTGGGGGGATTATATAATAATAAATAATCCGTAAGTAGAATCCCATACGTCTCAAATCTGAGAAGTTTTGCCAAGCGGTTTCTGTTGGTAGCATCTTCGATTATACCAAGCTTAATTGACTTGCCAAATTCGTTCCAGAACTTGGTGTATTGACCCTTCTTTTCATCATTTTCCTTTGATTCTTCAACATCTGGAGAAGTAAGAAAAGAGAAATCAACAGAGTTTCTAAATTTATAGACATCATCGAATAGCGTGACCTCATGTTATTCTATTTTCTGCATCTAACTCGAACTCGAGAGACTGCATGCATTTCTTACAAAGTTCAGGGATCAATCAAGAGCTTAACTTTAACTTAAAACCAATTAAGCATGCAAATCTAGATTAACGGAACAAACTCAACATTAACATGGTATCAAAAGCCAACCAAAAAATGAAGAAAAAGAAAAGTTCTTCATTTTTCTCTCTTTTATGTACTGTAAGATAGAATGTCCTACCTTTCTTTTCGGTAGCTTCATCAGGGTCTTCTTCAGCAAGCTTACGAATCATATCAAGGGCCTTTCTGATAAGCTTCTTCTTTATGGTCTTTAAGCTACTATGTTGCTGAAGCATTTCTCTTGATACATTAAGCGGTAAGGTATCAGAATCAACAAGACCCTGGCCACAAACAATGAGAGCATTATTACTGGACGAAATTATTATTGCAGTTTTATATTAAAAAAACAATCAGCAGAATTTGATTACCTTCAAAAAGCTAAGATACTTCGGTAAAAGCTCATCAAATTCGTCAGAGATAAATACCCTTCTAACATACAACTTCAAGTTGGATTTGTTCGAGTTGTAGTAACTCTCATACAAATCATGAGGTGCCTTTGGAGGAACAAAAAGAACAGCCTTGAATTCAACATCACCCTCAGCAGTAAAATGACTCCATGCCATGGGCTTCTCTTCACCAAAATCCTGATGGGGACAACACAAAGTAAAACATAAGCCACAGAAGCTACTGCCTGATTCCATTTTCACATTAGACAAGACCGAGAAGGAGATAGTTACCTTGGCTAGAGAGTGATAGAATTTAGTGTACTCTTCATCAGTAACCTCCTTAGGATTTCTTAACCATATGGCTTTCATATCATTCAAAAGTTCCCATTCATAAGTTGTCTCTTTGATTGTTTTAGTCTTGGGTTTTTTCTCTTCTTCGTCCTTGTCAGCATCTACTTCTTCCTCCTCTGAGGAGCTGCTATCAGCTGTTGGCATCATAAATATGAGAATACATCAAAAACTAGACAACAAGTTTCATTAACCAGGCAGACATGATGCTAGAAAGTAATATACACACAAACTTTGGCCACTGGTCACAGGAACAGGTTTAACAAAAGGCGGAACGTATTGAAGACAGGTAAACCTTACATTTTTCTTCTTCATCATCACTGGACTCATCATCATCAGCAGGAACTTCTACATCAACTTCTTTGCTTGCCCACAGGTAGATTGGGAAATTAATGAATTCAGAATACTTCTTCACCAAATCCTAGAAAGAAAATAGACAAGAAACAAAATAAGAACTCAAATTCATATCATGTTTACTTGAAATCCAGAACAGTTTTCACGAATGCAGCAAACATCACATTTAATCAGTGAGAGGTGAGATTGGTCCACACGGATATGTGTGTGTGTGTGTGTGTGTGTGTGTGAGTGAGTATTTGAAAACAAATGCATCTTGTTAGTTGCATAGAACACTGGATGACCTCTCAGCCTTAGCAAACTAATCTCATATGGATAGTTTGATGTGCGTACATCCTCTCCTGACATAATTGAAGATAACTAAGAAACAAGACATCTTAAATATACTACTTAATGCCATATATATAAGTACTGTATATTGTGGCATGATCTCCTCAGCGAGGAGCTATCAAGAAAAGCAAAAGAACTTTCAAAAATGACACAAACTCCTCACCTTCAATTTGAATTCATCTAAATATTCTTGAGCTTCATCTCGGAGGTGCAACCTGATTTCTGTTCCACGACCAAGTGGTTCATTCCAGGTATCTTCAGAGATAGCAAATGCACCGTCAGCCTTGGATTCCCAGACATACCTGAAAGAGTATACATTAGACCATTGTTATGCTTCTCTTCTAACATTTCACCAGCAACGCATATTAACTCAAAGAAGATCATTAGATGCTACATAGTACATACTGTTTGTCATCATTGTGCTTGCTAATGACTTCAACATAGTCAGCAACCAGGTATACAGAATAAAACCCAACACCAAACTGACCGATGAGATTCAGATCACCGCTGCTCTGCATTTTCTCCACAAAAGCTGTTCCAAACAACAGTAAAATGTCCATCAGAACATGAATTGGAGAGACCAATGCAAGACATTAATCTAAGACAATCAGGCTTATAACGTTAATACCTGAAGTTCCAGATTTGGCAATGGTTCCCAAATTTTTTATCAAATCCTCCTTTGTCATACCTATACCTCTATCACGAATTGACAGAATTTTCTTCTCTTTGTCCAACTTAATCTGCATTACACATATTCAGCAGCTAATTAGGCTTGAATCCAAGTAAGTAGAAGCATTCACATTTAACCAGATATTCACAATCTACAACACATGCAACCAAAGAACCAGATATGAAGCTGACAAGATATGCTTGCCCAATCAACTACGCATGCAAAATATGCAAGAACTGGAAACTGCTTTAATCATTCAGGTAAAACTAACAATTGGGAAGACTAACCTGAATTTCAAGCTTGGCATTGTCACCTTCACCCAATACTTCCTTATCAGTGAGTGCAAGGAATCTAATCTTGTCCAAAGCCTGATCCCAAAAAAAAAAAAAAGAGAGAGAGTAAAAATTTGCATCAGCGTGAAAGATTAATCTAGAGCATTTCTTCAAACCATCTATGTGACAACAGTGCTTACATCAGAAGCATTGGAAATTAATTCCCTCAAGAAAATGTCCTTATTACTGTAAAGGGAGTTGATGATAATGTCCATTAGTCGAGAAACTTCAGCCTGGAACTCAAATTTCTCCGCATCAGCTCGGAGGTTCCTCCTGGACATGGACTCCGCTTCCCTGCATCATCACCAATTCACCGAACAAAAGTTTTAAAACCTTCATACCCCCATAATTTCCAATCAGAGTAAGCTAATTCCACCAATAAACTTACCTCTTGACGACATCGGAGTCTGTAGATAAACCACTAGGTATTCCAGCGATCTTCTCCTCTACCTTAGGCGGATCCACCGGCGCATCCGAATCACCTTCCGCATTAGCGTGTATTTTCCTCCCTACGCAAAAATTTCCATCAATACACCAATCGTTGTTTAAGAAACTACAACCAGCTCAAATTCATCGTTTTAGGCTCAATTAGCGAACCGCATTATCTTTCCTCCAATCCTATAATTCCAGAACCTTCCAGCAGTAAACTCAAAATAGAACCAATCCAATTATTAACTACAAAGCTTAATACTACTAAGTCTGAAACAACGGTAGATCAAGATTCATTCCTTTTCTTCAGCAGCATTCTAACAAACAGGCAATAAGCTAAAATCCCACGGCGAGATCAGAAATCATACCTTGATCGGGGAAAAGGAACAGAAGACACAGCAAGAACAAAACGGCAGGAACCGTCCACTTCTTCATCGTCGTTTTTGCGCTCTCCACTCCTCAGTGGCAATTTGAGTAAATTTAACTACAACAAATGTTTCCCGATTTGCAGCGCGTCACTATGAGAAAGTTTTATAATAGTAGTGTTTGATTTGATACAGAGTTAACGAGATTGGGCGGCCTGCCACGAGGTCCTGCTTTCTGATTGGTTAGGGGATGCCAGGTTGGATGATCCAACGGCAAGGATGAGTTACTTCGTACGTGGCAATGAGGTATTGGAAGTGATTAGTGGCATTAGACGTGGAATGCGGGAAAGAGAGGAAAAACATTTGGGAGATTCTGGAAGACTCTATTGGTCTACTTTAGGAAGACTTGACTTTGTAAATGGGCTGTGTGTTGGGTTCCATAACGTCGTAATTAGAGTGGCCCAAAGGCTTAACGGGCTGATGCGTGTTTTCGCAACGTGGCCGAACGCTATTGGTTACCTGAATCTGAATGGGTCTTCTTGGAAGTTTTGGTCTTTGTTCTTGATTAATTACATGGACCAATGTTATTTATTGTGAAGATTATTTTGGGAGAGAGGTAATACAAAGTTTTACAAGGTGGAGACTGGAGAGAAGAGGTGAACCCGTAAATTAGATGGTTAGATGAAAATAAAGACTTTTTTTTTGGTAATTGTAACCCAAAAAAAAAAAACTATGCAACTATCACATCTTTATTTTCAATCTAACGAGCTAATTTACGTGGCATAGCTTTTTGTTCATCATATTTCTCCAAAAAAATATATTCTTAATTAATGACTAAATGTGTGTACATAAGAAATGACTTTTTAGTTTTTATACACTACATTCAAAATGGCATATTCATTGTGAGACAAACTAGGGGCAAGAACCTATTTAGCTTAGTCTCTGTTTTAGCAAACAGAAATAATCTACTATGATGCTGATGCTGAGTATAGTTCTATATGTAGGTCAAAATCGAGATGGTGTAATCGGGTGGTATGAACCAATCAGACAACCTGGGCGACTAAGAAGTGATAACTAACCATGCAACTAAAATCAATTGTAATCTTCACTGCAAGAAAAATCTTCACGCAACCTCAACATATCAAAGCAGTTTAAAATGTAGGACTCCCTAAAATCTATGTGCGACGTTATCCCCTTTATAACTTGAGTAATACTACAATCTATGCATTGTAATGTAAGAGTACATAGTTTATAAGATGATATCATCAATATAGCTTGGTTATAAACTTGATTATACTACTCGTAATAATAGTTTTGTTAACTATTAAATTTCTCCACTGGGGTCGTATCTGGTCTTACAACTGTCTACTGTACTACAATGGCTATATCAAAATCTAACTTATGTACCAACGTCCAATGGAATCGTTAGCTATTTATTTATATACAAAACATATATATGTTGCATGGTTTCAGTGTAGTTGATGGATTGGTCTCATTCTATAAACCCTTTCAAGTTAAGTGTACATCACAAGATAGATTTTTTTATTTATTTTCGTATTGTAGGTAGGTAGCTAATAAAATTATCGTGCAACGTATCTTTTGATTATAAATGTCTCGGAGACAAGTCTTTTCCTTGCTTGCTCATTAACTATTACTTAATTAATACACCAACTACCGTAATAATATCAACACAAAAGACTCACTATTGAGAAATGCACCCCCTTTCATCTCTATACAAAACCAAAAAAAAGTGAAAAAAAGGTGTCATTTATTAAATTAAAATAATACTCCACATGCATTTAAAAATAGTCTACTTTACTGAATTAGATTAACACAGTAAATATACTCTCTTTTTTTAAAATAAGTGTCATATTAGCAAAATAGACGAATCTAAAATAAGTGTCGTTTTCTTATTTCAATGCACTTTTTAGTCTTTTTTTTTTCCGAAAGAAATAGGATGAATAGTAAGCATTTGTTTTAATAAGTTAGGTTGAGAATTTATAGTAATTTAAATACTTTATTTAAGTATTTTTAAATAGTGTGTAAATTGTCTAATCACACTTATAGAATGGAATACGTAATTGAGTATAATTTTTTGGAGATGGAAAAAATGCCTCTTATTATGAGGCATATAAATTATTAACTATCTGTTTTGTATATCACTTCATTTCCATCAGTTTCTTTTCTTAAAACAGTTTTAACCTTAGAAATGTAATATTTAATCATATTACATGTTCTAAATAGGATAATATACTGTTTTATATTTTGGTTATCATCAGTTACTTAAGGGTTAAAACATGAAAGTAATTATGTTTTAGACAAAAGATTAGCCAGTAATTTATAATTACTGATGTGTATCTAATAATTAGTAATAAAAATGTAACTTTGAGGGAAAAATAAAATTTTAATAGAAAAGTACCAATAAATATGGAGATCTCAAATGCTTCAAATTAGTTACTATTTTTTTCCCATAGCGTATAATTCTTTTTTTAAAAAAACGATGAATAACAAAGAAGAAAAAGATAGAATATGGTCGTGGTGGAAAAATGTTTCCGGCTGCACCATTCATAACAAAATTTGGTAAAATCCACGTAATACGAGAACTAATGACAGGGCCAGGAACACGTGTCATCAAGCTTTAGGGCCGTGGAAAGAATCGGCCCGGAGCTTCCCACCGTATTAAAGTTAGAATTGCTTGAACTTTTCATTGGATGCTATTGCTGGTTTTGATTTGGTCATTTTGGCCTATTTTGAGTATTTTCCAATAACCTACGCTGTAATTTGTTTTTCTTTATTTTTTAAACAAAAAATACGTAGTAAATAAATACCAATAAAAAAAATCCCAAAACATTTCATTAAATCCAAAATAAAATTCACGATTCCTTCAAATATGTTAATGTGGCGGTTCTCTCTCTCTCCCTCTCTCTCTTTTTTTGCATAGAGAGAAGCAAAACGCCTAAAACAAATTAAATTAAAGTGTTCATTTGGTAGAGATTCTTTGGAATTTTTATTAACTACTCCCTCCATTTCAAAATGTAGGTCGTTTTAGGTTTGAAAATTTTTTTCAGAATGTAATTAGTTTTACAAATTCTAGGCAAATTAATGACTATTTTTCCAAATTTACCATCAATAAATTATGCTAATCTATTTTTATTTAGTCTTGTTTATAGTTTCAATGTAATTAACGAGGGGTAAAAAAGATATTTAACACAATAAATTAATTGTTGGATAATTGTCTCTTTAGTCTACGTGCCAATTCTAAAAAGACTTACATTTTGAAATGGAGGAAGTATATTTATATTATGTTATCATTAAAGTGAGATACTCAAGTAAGGAAATCTTTCTATTTAAAAATAATTGTTCTGTTTAATACAATGAAAATGACAAAATCATTTTAAACACGAAAATATAATATATATATATATATATAATTTTTGTTGTTCTTTTTACTATGTCAAACGACAAAATATCAAATCAATGTTTGAAAGTATAAAATGGTAGAATTTATGTTTGGAAAAAAGATATTCAAAACGTTCTCTAGAATGAGAATGAGCTGGTTGTGTGGTAAAAAAACAATTATAAATCATATTATATGTGCAATATGCTAGTTACAATGTATGGTATAATAGAAAAATAAAAAATAAAAAATAGAATACAATGTTTAAAAAAAAAAAATGCCCGTGCTAAATGTAATTATGACGTTTGAATTGAAAAATATTGGTATTAGTCCACGTACATATATCCCATTATGGTTTATTTTACCCTTTTGTCCACAAAAAGCAACTAAAATTGAAAAAGAATATTAAAAAAAAAAACAAACAGAAAAAAGAATCCGATAAGCTCAAACTATTTGATGAGAGTGAACCAATTTCGTAATTCATACTCCAAAGAGCTTTAAATCCCACATAAAAAGAGAGAGCATTTGAATCCACCCCCAATCAACAACAAAAACCCTCCACCAAAAATGCTATAATTTACCCGTGAATTGAGCAGCCGAATTCAGTGAGACCAGAAATCCCGGCCGACGAAGACGACGAAGGAGGAGGAGAAGAGGGGGAAAAAGGAAATGGCGATCTCCGATGCGGTGGTGGGGAATCTGACGACGCTGTACCTGGCGGTGATTGCCGGAATGAAGGCGTACGGGCTGGTGAGTGGCCGGAGCTTCGGTGGAGGATTTGTGCTGATTGTATCCACAGCTGTGGTGGGCGTAATCTTGATTGCCAGTCTGACGTGGGACGTGTCCCGTAAGGCCACGTATGCGCTGACACGGAACAATCGCATCAACCATCATCATCCAAGTGGTGGCGGGCATCACGGCCACGAGATGTGCCGCGGTGGTATCTGCTGGCACGGCGTCGCCGTCAAGAAGCCGGCGTCTCAGGTCCGGTTCCGGCTTCCTCCACAACAACCACCTCTTCAGAACCGACATTAGTCGGTTCCGGATTCGGGGTGATCCGGACCCGATCAGATTAGTCAAATTTGTTAGAAAGAGTCGCAAAGAATTCCAAAAGAGGGGATAAGGATTAAAAAAAATGGCTCTTTTTCTTTCCTATCTCTCTGAATCTTCTTTTTTTTTTTTGGTTCCCTTTAGTTTTTTTTTACTGTTTACTTGCTGTAATTAGTAGTTAGTACACAGGATTTAGCTATATTATATATACACATATAACAGTTTATACATATATATATAATTTTACTAGGATTTTTTTTTTGGGGGGGTACACTGTCAAGATGTTATTCTTTACTAAAATTAAGCAGTAAATTCTCTTGTTTTTTTTAGTGGTTTATGGTTTAACTGAATTCCCATTCATCCGTGGTCTTGCACGATATCCATAATCTGAATATTAATCTATTTCTCATTCTTTTGCACACTTGACTATGTTTATTGATGTTCTTGAAGCCAAACTATATGGAGTAAGGGTCCTTTACCTTTGTTAATAACTAAATGTTGAACACCAGCCTCAAGTATTATTAGGAGTGTTTTTATGCATTTAAGGAGAGGAATTGCTAAATGAGTGGAGTGAAAGACGATGGAAGGAACCTACGAAGCTCGATTGTGTCAAATTGGCCTGCGAAAATCAGATGGAGAAGTTTGTTTATTGGCCTTTTGTTATTACGTCTGGCTTTGATAACAGATTTACAAATATGGGTTGGTTGGACCTGAACCTGGATTAATACATTTTGGGCACAGTGTCAGCATAATTTCGTCATGGTTTTGGTTTGGAGTTTGAACCAAATGGATGTTTCCTAATTTGGCAAGGCTTCTCGTACGTTGTAGTCTGTAGATCCATACTACATGAAAGCATTTTCAGTTGGTAACCGAAATGATACTACAACTAACTAAATTATACTGCAGTTCATCTCGCTTCGGCTTTCGTCACTTGGGTGTTTGTGGAGAAGTTTCCTCTTTTTGCCATTTGATGTGAGTAGTTCTTATTTGTTTCCATCTATTGTTTGAATAACCGCTTTTGTATTTATGTTTTGATTTCATCCTTTATAGTCCGTGTTTTATTTGGTCCCATACGTTTGTGCTGGACATTGTAGTTACCATTTGTGAATTCACTCTTGATTTGCAAAAAGAACAATATTTGGTTTAGATTTCAGGGACATGGTTTATACTTTATACACACACAGTCACACACATATATACTCGAAAAAAGAATAATCTTTGTTGTACTAAAAAGCAATTAGATGCTTGTCCGGACAAAAGTCCCGGACACCCTGCTTAACATATTGATATGTTATTAAAAAATAATACTATACCCATGACCCAAAACAAAAAAATAATTTTTTTTTTTGCAAAAAATAACTCCTATCATGACTATCTTTTTGATTAAGCAGATTTCTATCCATTTCTATATGTAAAATAACCTATTATTGTTGCGAAAACTACGCAAAAAAAAAAAAAAAAAAAACCATGTGAGACCCGAAAGTTTCATCTTTCTTTAGGATTAACACACTGCACCTGTTTCTTGGGATTACCTTGCGTTTTCCTCTTCCGATTGAATAATCAGAGGTTCCAATTCCACAGTATAGCCCTTATATATCAACCAATTTATAGAATTCAATAACAATGAGAAACATGTTTATGCTGTGAGACTTAGCAGCAAATGCTCTTTACTCGATCATTTTAGTTATATAGAATTTCTCTATAAAATAATATATTATTATATTATTTAACAACAATTCTAATTGTTATATATAAACAACTCCAATAATAATCAATTTTTTTAAAAAAATACTCCCTCTGTCTCAAAATTATTGTCCAGTTTAAGATTTCACTTTTAGTACAATTTGAACTAAAAATAAAAACTCAAACTGGACAATAATTATGGGACGGAGGGAGTACATAATTCAAAAAAGTAATATATGATTATAACAATGATATCGAATTGGATGCTCAGAAGATATGATATGACTGATTGATCGCTCTAGGATGAGGAAGTTGATTACAGATGGTGAAGTAGGAAGGCTAAGAAGTGCAGGAATCCTTCGCCAGGCTTGTGAACCAAAAGCTCTGCCAATAGTTTATGTATAGCATTAAGGGAACCGTTCTCTGAACCATTGTGCGAGGTTTGTTGTTTCATAACCAAAAACACCGACAACAGGCATGGTTTTAGTCAATATCATAGCTACTAATGTTCAATTAACTTTGAAACATTGGAAAGCAAGTATCAAGATGGATGAATAAGTAATATCTTGCCAAGTAAATGAAACACATTGACTTTCAACAGTAACTGTTTTGCTGCTCACTTAGTGATTAACATTTGCACAAAGAGGCATCTTTTTTTAAATCATTCAATTTCTTGAGAATTTTTCACATCAAACTAACATAATGAAGAAATTAACAAAATCATATAAGTGGAGAACCCTTACCATTGACATCTGCACATTCAACAACCATATTGTGCGAAATCCGGAATATTAGGTAGCCCGCTGAATCTCCCAATACAAAGAATCACAAATTCAGCTTCGTGTTCTTGTCAAATGAAAACAACTTGATATTGAAAGCAATAAACTTGTGCCAATTTCTTTCTAGTTAACAAGAACATGAACTAATTTATACCTTGATAAAACTCCATTGATTAATGTGTTGAATTTTAAGAATTCATTTCCCTTATACCCACTCTATGGGTCCTATGTCTGTATTTCTTCAATGGAACACCATTATAATCTATGCCAATCACAGCTAAAAGAGCAGAAGACAGCTAGCCAAAAGAAACGGGTTGCCTTAAAAACGATAAATTCGCAAAGGTCCAGACTTTGATTCAGTAATGCTCTTCCCTTATTGAACTAATAATACATGCAAAGATCCACAGTTACCCCCAAAGAAATGATTTTTATAAGCAAAAAAGATCAGCTGGGAACTGTAATTTAATATAGTTTTCTCAGAAGAGTACTACTGGCAATAAAACTCCAAAAGACAAAACAAAACACAACAGGGCTATACTTTTGTTGAAAGGGAAAAAAATAAAAAAGTGATGCGAACCCCAGTATCATTAACAACAATATGATTTACTCGAGTTTCGAATCTCTCCATATATTTATCAGATTTGCATGTAACTGAATACCCGCTAGCTCTACATCTGAAAATTTTCTAAGCAGTCGACTGAGTATTCAATGAATCAATCCAATCCAGAAGTAATATAAAATATTGAAAATGGGTTTTTTGAAGGGTTTTTGAATCAAAATACCTGGCATCTTGTGAGGAGTTTTTTACACAGAGTGGGCACATCCTTCGTAATGCAAGTAAGTCTTCAGCACAACTTCAACAACTTCGGATCTATGATTCACTAAAAGAAAAAAAATTAACAAATCGCAAAACTAATATTAGTTCTACCTGATAAATTTGTGGAAGAAAAAAAATTCTATAATTCCTTTCTGCTTCTAAATTTCTGATCTCAATGAAAAAAAAATTACCAGATAGAGCTGCAAACTGAAGGCGTTTCTCATCAATTCGAGATCTCGAGCAATTAAAGCGGGTTAATCTTCTTCGCACTTGACGATCTCTGATTCAATATCTCTGGTGATTTGTATATTCTTCTCGATCTCTTTGTTAACCGAAAATTAAAATATTTACCAAAAAAGAAAATCAAAATCGATTATCTCCCGTACAAATGAGAGAGAGAGACTTGGAAAATATAAAATACGATCGACAGACATTATAAAAATAACACAAAGCAAACACTACATGGATTGGAGATTTAAAGAGGGATTTGATCTCCCCTTCTTGACGAAACACCGTCGATGAAAAACAAAAAAATTTCTCTGCATTTGACAGGGATTCAATCATGCCCGGATATGCAAAGTGAGGATCTGTGTGGCGTGAGTCGGTGGCGGCAGCTGGAAGGAACCGATTGAACCAACCCTGTGGAGGATGAGGAGAAATCGGCGTTAGCGGCATCGAAGGTAACGATCGGTGGGATCTGTGTGCCGTAATTCGTTGGCGGCGGAAGGGAGAGACCGACTGAACCAATAGAGATCGGCGGCGGCGGCAGCAGCAGCGGCATTGGAGATAATGATCGATGGGAGGAAGAGAGAAGAGGGTGAGTTTATCACTAATTTGAAATCTGATTTTGAATGAAATTAGATTTGATTGAGAGATTTATTTTTTATTTTATTTTTTTGAGAACGGAGATGGCGGACATTAATTGTGAGATTTCAACCTTTACTGGAAAATGGAAAAATGCCAATTTTCTGAATGTTGAAGAAACCACGTAGAAAAAATAATTTTGTACTAAAAAAACTATTTTGAAAGGAAAATTTTCATCGTGCACCTGACACATGTTCTTCTTGTATGCTACTTTAATTAAGTACTATAGATACTAGTGATGTCTGGTCGCGCAATGCGCGACCCTGACCCAATATGTCTGTAGATCTTAAAAATTTTTGTAGCTGAAAAAAAATATTTTGTAGTTGCCCCGATATGTTTTAAAAATATTTGAAAAATTTAGAAATGTTTCATAATTGTGATCATAGAAATATTTGTATTTAGCATAAAAAGAAATTGTATTTAGCCCGGTACGTTTTAGAAATGTTTGAAAATTTTAGAAATGTTTTATAAGTGTTACTTCTTAAATATAAATAAACTTGATCAAATATATGTCGTGAAGTAAATGCTAGACAAAATATAAAAACATCCTAATAAGTTTAAATATTAGTAAGATGATTTATTGATGTTCTCCATTGGTTGTACCAAATCAATACTTAGTTTTGGAGATTTATAATAGTTTTGTATTAAGCTTTCTTCAAAGGGTATACGCTTAATTGTTAGAACTATTTCTTCCAAAAGTTTATAGGTAATAAAATATCAAAAATATGATTTTGAAACTGGTTAATTGTTGAAACTGGTTGATCACAAATATGAGAATGAAAATAATGTAAATTTGTATAGGTTTCAAGTTATAGCAAAAAAGAACTCACCCCACCATGGCAAATAAAAAAAAAAAGCAAAAAATAGCCCATTAAAAATTGAGAAATTTATTTTTTTTCTGTAGGTAAAAATAATGTATAAAAACACAAATAAACGTAGAAACATCATTCCTTCCCTCTCCACCTCGAATTCATAGAAGGCTTCCCCATAAATTAGTTAGAAGAAGCGATCTGAACTATTTATATGATGAGTAACTTAAAAAGGTCCAAAAACCAAATCCAAAAAAGTATATTTTTGAAAGCAAAAAAAAAAAAACGCGCTTCATTTACAAATAAAATAAAATAATAATAATAATAATAATTGGTCAACTGGGAGTATGAAACAAAATCAAAAGCAATTAGACAAAGAAAAAACACACTTCATAACTGACCATATATGAAAAAAAAACCGAGACTCCATAATTAAAAAAAGAAAACCACTCTAATTGAATGAAACATAAAAAAAAAAAAAAAAATTAAAAAATCACACTTTGTAACAAAAACTCAATTAATCAATTCAATCCAAAAAGAACTAAAATCATACAAAAATTCTAGTCTAACTAACTATATAAGAAATCACATCATATTACCTGACAACGGCTACAGTAGTTGTAACGGATGGACGCATAAAAATAATAGTAATAACACTATTCTTGAACGGAAAAAATAAAAAATAATAAAAACCAAACAAATGATCTGTGGAAATAAAATCATTTAAATTTTAATACTTGTAATGGCACCACCATAACAGCCGAAGCAAGATCAATGAGAATTTTTTTTTTCTTTGTGTTTATATAGAGAGGTAAAGAGAATATTTTTTGAAGTCGGAATTTTATCCGATTAGGATATAGTTGATCATCACTAATGAAAAGATTGAACTTGCTAATAGGAGAGGAGTATTATTTCACCACATATTTTTAATTAATGATTGATGAGGAATTTTTTTTTTTTTTTTATTGTGAAGAAGTGATTGATTATGGAGTCAATTGTCGTGGAGATGTGGATGAGAATTTGGGTTTTTTTTGAACCCGTGGTTTTTTTAATTATTTTTTTTGTTTTGGCGAAAATAGGAGGTGGAGGTGGATTTGGACTGCATTTATCTTTTAAGTCTAGAAAAGGTGTAAATAAAAATTGATTTTAAAAATATGATGTGGAAATGCCACATGGCAAATGATGTTACTTTCTTTTAAGTGTGGTTTTTATTTCTAATATAGTAAGATATCATTTAAAAAGTACTCTATCGTTCTCAAAATGATGTTCGATTTAAAATATTTTATTTCTAATACAAATGAAACAACATGAATAATAAAAGTCGAACCCCGTCAGCTAATTAATTGAAAGAGGCTATTATTCATTTTTGTTACTTTTTATTTTTCTCGTTGACATATTCAAAATTGCAATTACAATAATATATATATTTAATAATAGTTAGCACTTTCGTACTTTAATAACTGGTGATACCATCGTTCCAAAAATATTTGTGCAATTTCAGATAAAGTGGACAAACAAAATCAGGGTCTGTTTGTTTCATATTTTTAGTGTGTGTTTTTAGGTGTTTTTTGTATTGAGAATGTAAAAAGTTGTATTGGAAGTGTAAAAAGATATGATGGGATGGGACAGTTATTAATATTAAATTTTGAAAAAACCAACAAAAAAAATGAAACAGACAAAGCCTCAATGTTCTAGGTATTTGATTATTCATCTCTTTTACCCTATTAAAAAAGAAAACATGATACTGATGTGGCAATCTTTTTTCGATCAATCAATTTTCTTTATCAAAAACTAAATTCATTCCTAATCAGTTTTGATTATTTACATATAAATTTATTAAATGGGAGGACGCCCCCGGGCATTTCCCGGGGCAAGCATCTAGTTGATAGTGATTGCTAAAGTTTGATCTATGATTATTTTGAGGTTAGACAAACAAAAAATATGTAGTGTGTACCATGTATAGTACTTGTACGAACCATGTAAATAGTCATAGAATCCAGTATTTCATTACCAACCACAAAAAGAGTGAAGGCGTGGTTTTTTAATTCCCTGGAATGGAATCCACAATAAAAGGCAAATACTACACCTCATAATTCCAATCATTGACCGCTCGATTCAATCCCACAATTGGCAGAAGTCTCCATCACCATCACTGCCTTTTTTTCCTTTCAAAAATTACTTTTTCCTTTTATTTTTGGCTTTTATTTTTTCCAGAGTCTCATTTTCAGCAAATAAAAAAAAACACATAAATAAAAATCTGCCCAAATTCATTCCCCCGACTTTCTCTCCCTTCGATTTTTCCCATTTTGCGAATTCCTCCCGGAGACTGAATCGGAGAATGGCCGACGCCTCGCCTGAGCATACCCAGACGGAGGAGACCCCCGTCGCCGCCGTGTCGGACCAGAATTCATCGTCATCCTCACCGTACTGGTGTTATCACTGTGATAAGCGGGTCTCAATTGAAACCCTAGCCGACCAACCCGATGTCATATGCCACGAGTGCAAGAACGGTTTCGTCGAGTCCATCGGTCCGCCGCCGCCTCCTGCTCCTGCCTCCAGAGTCTCCGACCCGATGGACGACCCGACCTTTGGCAACCAGTTCCTCCAAGTCCTTAGACTCATCGCTCAGGCCGCGCGTGACGAAGACGCTCCACCACGTCCTCCTTCTGAGCACGCCGCGAACTCCGACGACGATTATCTCCGAATCGAACTTGATGGTTGGGACGACGATGATGACGAGGACGAGGACGACGAGGACGACGATGACAATGAAATTGAAGTCACAAATGAGGATTTGGACGACAACCAAGAGAGGGATCCATCGGATGATGGAAATCAGGACCGATCGGAGGACGAGGAAGAGGAAGAGGAAAACGAAGGAGATGTGAATGAGGAAAATGAGGCTCGGGAAGAATGGAGAGACGAAGAAGATTTACGGCGTAGGCGCCGTGATGTGCTCCGGCTTCGGCTCCGGGACTTTGCTACGCGAGCTGCAAACCGTCGCAATAGGATTCTTGATTGGGCTGAGATTCTTATGGGTCTGGAAGACCACTCCATTGAGCTCCGGTTAGCCGTACCTGAAGGCGAGGGATACATAGGGAACCCAGGTGATTATGTGGACGCTGCTGGCTACGAGGCATTGCTGCAGAACTTAGCCGAGAATGATAGCTCTGGAAGAAGAGGAGCTCCCCCAGCTGCAAAATCAGCTGTAGAAGCATTAGAAACTGTGGAAATTAAAACCGAATCCCAAGTATTGGCCTGTGCTGTGTGTAAAGATACAGTTGGAGTCGGCGAAATGGCGAAGAGATTGCCCTGCGGCCATGGGTACCATGGTGATTGTATAGTTCCTTGGCTGGGGTCGAGGAATACTTGTCCTGTTTGTAGGTTTGAGTTGCCCACGGATGATCCCGAGTACGAGGAGGAAAGAAAGAAGAATAAAGCCGCCACATCAACTTCTTCCCCTTCTTCTTCTGGGGCCAATGGTAATGGGAGTGGTGATTACGAGAATCATCTACTCTGATGATCATAGTGCTAGTGTATAAGTATAATTTTTCCCATTTGAGCAATTATTTTGTGTTTTTTTTTGTTGGTTAGTGTTAGCTTTTTCCTTTCTTCTTTGCATTTTTTTCCCCTGAAAATTCTTGCTCGACTGCTTTTCTGTTTATCTTTGTGGTGGATCAGCTCAAGGAATTGTAAACTCTTTCTGCTTTACTTTTCAGTGTATATAGAATTTACTCAATTGGAACTCAAGATATTGGTCCATTTTATTTTATTTGATTTGGTGGCTAGCTTGTTACTGTATTGATGTGTTTGATTTGGGGGCTAGCTTGTTTCTGTATCCATTTGTTTGTTTGGGCACCGTGTCGAAACCAAATATGATGAAGCTAGATATAGATTGATAAATTTGTGATGATTCTTATGAGAAGGTGTACTTCAAAATGAGGTGGTGTTTCCCGTCACACATTGTAAACTTGTGGCAATTTATTTGGTGATGTCTGCTGGAGCGCTTTAGGAATTTAAACATGTGTTGATTGAAGTTTGGTTTCTGCCTGGCCAATTTATTGCCATTTTAGGTTCTGGTCTGAATCTAACTATGTCTTTTCGCTGAATGTCGGACACCATACTCATGGTTCTTTTGTGTTGAGTTTTGATAGTTGCGAATTCATCAGCTGAACCTATTATGCGAAAACTCCGTCTTATTTCTTATTTTTAGCAAGTCTTCATCAATCAATTCTTAAATGTTTTTAATAATAGATTTCAAAAAATGGTCCCTTAGTAGCTTGATCCATGCTTAAGTTAGAATAGACATCTAGTATTTAGTTTTTAGATGGCTAGACTAGAGTTCCTTAGTGACCAGGATGCCAGGCCTGAAATATTGAAGTCAGTTTTCTTTGCCGCAAGCATGCATTCACTGATTAACTGTTATAGACACTGCCTTCGTAGATAAGGGTCTGAATGATGCTATAGTCTGTCTAATGGTACTGACTTCATCATGGTGAACATAACTAATGGCTATGCTAGTAGATGACAAGCTTCTGGTAGCATGAAACGCCGCGATATGCTGAATGTAGATTGCAGTAGGGTAGTCGGCTTCATCTTGTATCTGTTTCTTGTCACTAGTTCTTATTTCGGGAATCATTTTAGGACCTGTGAACTTGTAGCGGTAGAAACTAGAAACTCCTAGAGGGTTGTTCATGAGACTAGTTTTCCCTTCTGGAATCATGGCTTCTTGGAATCATGACTAGTTTTTACTTCTGTTATATATAAATGGCCATTTGGACCTGCGCGCCTGTAACTATGGTTCTTCGGACTATATTTTTTACTTCTGGGATCATGGTTTTTTGGACGGTTGATCTTTATTATTATTATTATTTTTTTTTGGTAAACCTGTTTTTTTTTTTTTTGTTTCTTGTTTCTGTAATATTATTAGAAATTGGACGGTTGATGGATTTTAAGAAAAGAATCATTAGAGGGTATTGACTGGCAGCTATGTAGCAGAAAAATTCCAGCCTCCATATTTTATCCAACAAGCAGTAAGAACATTGCTATGAAATTTTATTTTGAATAGAAAAATTAGCCAATGAATGACGAAGATTGCCCCAAACAATTGCAACCCCCGTCCAAAGAAGATTAATTACACAGAAGGTGTACATGTTCAATACCTCCCCACAACTACAGAAGAAAACTAGACAAAGAAAATGTATAAACTATAGTATTTTTTAACCTCTTGAAATTTCCACAAAGAAGAACAATCCTTTTCTTTTCCTTTTCTATTTAGTTGCTTTTTACTAGTTTTCTTTTCTCCCTCACAATTTCAAATATTAGAATTGATTGAATAATGCATAAAAAATACTAATATTTTCAAATTCTATTTTATTACGTTCGTCAAAAAAAAAAATAGTACACATTGAGTTTTCAAATTTGTATTAAAAATCATATAAAACTCAAAACTCAATGTGGACTATTTTTGTGGAACGGAAAAAGTTTATGGATTTAGGAACATAGCTGACGACGAGTTTGGATCCGATGATCAATGGTAATGGTGAGAATGCAGTATCCCTTTCCCTCTAAAGAAAGACAAATTGGATTCACTATGTAACACCGTGAAAAATTAAAGTAGAATGTAGAACGGATGGAGTAAAAAAAAAAAAAAAAAAACCGAAAGAGAAAATATAATAAAGGAGGAAAATGGAAATATATTCAGAAAAGAAATAAACCCTCAAATTTGGTACGGTGGTTGGCGGCACAGAGGATTCCTACTCCATATAAATGTAAAACCCTTAACTAAAACCTCTTCAAATCACCGACAAAACTTCCAATCCCGCGGAGGAGCAGCCCCTCTTACCGGCCGCCATTATATATCTATAATGGCTTCCGGCTTTGTGTTCGAAGCGCCCAGCGATGAAGAAGTCGAGCACGAAGAATACGAAGAGGACGAAAGTGATGACTCTTCAAAAGGTATAGAAGAAGAAGCACAACCTAGCAACTCAGGAGGAGAAGAAGAAGGAGATAGTGATGATGAAGATGAGGTTAATCATGGAGCTAAAGTGAAAAATAAAATTAAAAATTCGAAGCAGTCCCCATGGGATTTCTCTTCCTACTCAGAATCAGTCGCCGACGAGCATACTCGCCGGAGCACCACCTCCATCGACGAAAAAATCTCCAAAGCTCGCAAACAACTTTCAGTCGCGAACATGATTACAAATTCCGGCTCCGACCGTGATGAAAGCTCAGATTCGGAGGCTCACCAGCAGGTTCTTACTCTCTCATTTTGATTTTTAAGTTTAGTTTTTATTCCAACCTACATTTTAGAAAGGATTATGATTTTTGTTGTTATTATTATTAATTTGCACTGATAAAGGTGGAGTATAAGGCGGAGGAGGATGACGATGTTGATGACGTTGGGAACTCTGCCGGTCAGAGCAAATCCTTCTTTGGTTCAGTGGAGGGAGTGTCTTACCACGCGAATTCATTCTTGGAGTTGCATCTTTCCCGGCCCTTGCTTAGGGCTTGTGAAGCACTGGGCTATAACAAGCCCACTCCGATTCAGGTGGAATTTTGTGATGAAGCTTTCTTCTTCTCATGTGTGTGTATCATTGTTCAGTCTGTGAAAATTAGGTGTTTTGTTGTAGGCTGCTTGTATTCCATTGGCACTCACGGGGCGCGACATATGTGGTAGTGCTATTACAGGTTCGGGGAAGGTATGATTATCTTGTTTTTGTTGATTCAGTCGTTTTCATAGTGTGTTTGTTTATAATTGAATTCACAAAGTTGTGATTAGACAAAGAAATGTAACAATTTCGTCATAGCATATCCATTTATGCTTGTCTTTGTTTCCGTGCCTCGAACAGACTGCTGCATTTGCCTTGCCAACACTGGAGAGGCTACTATACCGTCCAAAGAATCGGCCGGCTATAAGAGTTCTTATACTGACTCCTACTAGGGAACTTGCTGCACAGTAAGATTCTAGTGTTAACCAAGTCTTGACGATCTTCTTGTTCATACAGTCTGCCACGTAGACACTTTTGTTATCATTTCTAAGTTTCACTGGCCTCACCTATAGTTCTGTTGTGATCAAGCGTGACATTGGATAGGTGTGGCATTTTGCTTGATTTACTTGAGTCATGATGAGCAATATGGAAATGGCTTCAAATGATTGATGCCTTTTTCCTATCTCTTTTCTCCTCATTAAGAAAATGAGAGGTCTCTCTTCTTTCTCATTTCCTCCGCCACCTGCCTCAACAAAGTTCAAAACCTGTTAAGCTTTGTCCCCTCAAATGAAAAAAGGTTTTGTTTTCAAATTGACTAATTCTGCCTTAACTCAATTGTGTCAGGGTGCACAGTATGATAGGGAAACTTGCTCAGTTTATGACAGATATCAGATGTTGTTTGGTCGTTGGTGGGCTTTCCTTACAGGTTCGTTTTGTAGATTTCATTTATGATATGACACAAGTTGGCATCTCAAATTCCTGTCTTCCTAATTTTGGTTTCCCAAGTTGCTCTTAAACAATTACATGGTTGCCTTTGTATGATACCAGCTTCTTCCTCATAGGAATGCATTCAAAACTGAATGTGGTCATGTCTATGGATGTCTTGAACCTATCAGTATCATTAATTTTTATTGTTATTATGTAATTTTGTTTATTTTTTGTGTCTCACCCACATCCATATTAGAGTCACAAGAGTTTATTGATAGTTAATTCCCATACTGTTGTTTGATGAGTATGTTGTGAACCACAACCATTTTCAGACGCAAGAGGCAGCTCTGCGATCCATGCCAGATATAGTTGTGGCCACTCCCGGACGTATGATAGATATTCTTCGCAATTCCAAGTCAATAGATTTGGACAGTCTTGCTGTTTTGATACTTGATGAAGCAGACCGTCTTTTGGAGTTTGGATTTAGTGCCGATATGCCTGAGCTGGTATTGCTTCGAACTTCATCTGTTTTACTCCCTGCAATGAATAAACTTAGCATTTTACTTGTCTTTTGAACTTGGTCTACTTTGGCCATGTTGCATAGGGAATTGTATTTTCTGTGTGGTATATTTGGTGTGTCTTTAAGTGATTGTTATTTGTGCCTCTCAGATGAGACTGATACCTAAACGGAGGCAAACTATGCTGTTCTCTGCCACTATGACAGAAGAAGTCAACGAGCTCATCAAATTATCATTGAACAAACCTTTGCGGCTTTCAGCAGATCCATCCACAAAACGACCAGCAACTTTGACCGAAGAGTAAGTGATATACCATTTACTCGTCCAGTGTAATTCCATCTGGAACTGACACCAAAAGGTTTTGAAGAGCTCTATGCATAATAATTGTTGAAACAATGAACCTTTCAGAAGTTCTACTTGTGGTAGAGTTAAAAGAATGAACTGAAATTAAGAAAAAGTAAACAAAGAGCCTGAAAAGAATGCCCCCTGTACGATCTGAATTATTGCAATGTTTATGTTCTCCATCATAATGTAGGGTTGTTAGAATACGCCGAATGCGTGAAGGGAACCAGGAAGCAGTTCTTCTTGCTTTGTGCTCTAGGACATTCACATCCAAAGCTATCATATTCAGGTTTTCTATGTTCACGGATAGATGATAAATTTTCGCTTTACATCTTTTCTTTTTCTTTTTTTTTCTCTCTGATTTTGTATGCCAAGCAGTCGATATATAGTACATTCATTCGATGCACATTTATTTTCATATACAATTCATTATTAAGCTTTCTTCAATTTTTAAATGAGCAAAGTTGCATTTTCCAGTTCCTATTTTTCTGATAATCTTTGGAATGAAAATGGTGATTTTATGCACTTATTTCTGCCATTATTTGCAAGACTATGAGAAAGATCTTGTATATGGGTTATGTTTTATGCCTTTTCTGTGGATTTTGCATGCGACTTATTTTGCTATGTGATGATAAAGTATCTTCAAGTGACTGAAGTAATTTGATTGATCATTTTATTTTTATATTCAATACTATATTAACTCGCTTTAGTTTTTGAATTGAGAAAGGTATCATATTCCCGGTCATGTTTTCCCGATAATCCTGGGAAAGCAAACTGTGCCGTGCTATAGTTTTTCGCCATCATTGACAAGGGGTTGAAAATGACCTTGTGTACTGGCAATGCATTAGGGTTCTTAGTGTATTTGGCATGTGAGTTATTTTACCATGCAAGGAAAACATAGTTTCAAGTGACTGTGTGACACAATTTGTCTGCTCCATAACATTCTCTTCTGTTTTTTTAGTCGTATTCAGTAGCCTCCTTACTGATTGCTATGGTTTTTCTTTGATAGTGGAACAAAGCAAGCTGCACATCGCTTGAAAATATTATTTGGGTTATCTGGTTTCAAAGCCGCTGAGCTTCATGGTAATCGTACTCAGGCCCAACGTTTAGAAGTGAGTCTCTACTTGGAACTATGCTTCCAAAACTGAAATGATATGATATGCTAGATGCATAGCTAGCTTATTTATCACTGGCGTCTTTCTTGTAGGCTTTGGAATTGTTTAGGAAGCAACAAGTGGATTTTCTGATTGCTACTGATGTTGCTGCCAGAGTATGATTACAGCTCGTCTTTGTTGGGGTTTAATCATCACTTATCATATCCAATACTTGGATAACCAGTATGATTAACTTTCAAACCATAATGGAACTTCTTTTGTCTGCATCAGGGACTCGATATTATTGGTGTTGAAACAGTGATAAATTTTGCATGCCCTCGTGACCTTACCACGTGAGTTTTGAAATTGTAACATAAGTTAGTTATTCTTGTGGACATTTACCTTTCTAATTCTCACAGTTATTTTCAAAATACCTTTTCAGGTATGTTCATCGAGTGGGTCGAACAGCTAGGGCTGGTAGGGAGGGGTATGCTGTTACGTTTGTAACTGACAACGATCGTTCTCTTCTGAAAGCAATTGTAAGAACTTTGAAGCTTGTATTCTGGACTTTTTCTGTATGTTGTACCTTAAATGTTCTTTGGCTAGATAGGATGAGTTTGCTTCATTTTTTGTAGCTGTTTCTTGAATTGCTTTTCTTTTTTTTTGGGGGGTAAATTTTTCTTGAATTGCTTTGACAGAACTTTTACTCAATTCACAATATTATATTTGGAAATGATAAGTTTAGTGACTAATATAACGTGAAAATAAATAGTGACTGAGTTGGCCCCCTAATTTGTTGCCACTTTGCCATAGAAATTGTATCTTTTCCTTGAAAAATTATACTTTTACCCTTAATTAGTATAGTCACATTAGTAACCATGAATTTTCACTATACTTTTTCACTGGCTGTATCATTGCTGATTATATTTTATGCATTAGTAGTAGTCAGTGTGTCCTCATGATAGATGAGCTGAGTGATCCGAAGTTTATATACTTCAGAGGTGATGATTCGGTGATGCAGTCAGCCTTGTTTGGAATGACTCTATATTGTATGTTTGTGAGGTGATGTGTTTAAACCCTGCGGCAGGTTAAAAGAGCCGGTTCAAAGTTAAGGAGTCGAATTGTTGCAGAACAGTCTATAATTAAGTGGTCTCAAATGATTGAGCAAATGGAGGATCAAGTAGCTGAAATTCTGCAAGAAGAGAGGTTTCTTTTGATTCTTGTTATTATGAGACCTTGTTTATTGAGTTTGTTTATTTAGGTTTTAAAATCTGTGATTTTTCAGGGAAGAAATGGCTATGAGAAAAGCGGAGATGGAAGCTACTAAGGTTATCTTCTTCTCTTTAATTTTAGTACTGTATTTCAGACTTGGTTGTAGAACATCTTGAGATGTAGCTGATGACTTGTGAGTAATGAACCATTATGTTTAGCTCCTGCTTCATCCCTAAGATGAGCTTTTACATCTCCCTTGTGCATCATTGGGTTCCACTGGCACTACACATTTAATGTTATTTGCAGGATTGATGATTATTAACTAAATCTTATCGCCTTGCAGGCCGAAAACATGATTGCACATCATGATGAAATCTATTCACGGCCAAAAAGAACGTGGTTTTCAACTGAAAAGGAGAAAAAGCTTGTTGCAAAAGCAGCCAAAGTAAGTTTCAATAGGCATGGTAAAACAATGTAGTATTCACTTGCTTCTTTGACTATGCTATTGATATAATCAAAGCTATTATGCCCATTGCTCGCTCCATTGTACAGGGTTACGTGGCTCTGATCTGATTTGATCTGTGATATTGCATTTATGAAATTCTTATAATATTAAATTCATATTGTTTGGTTTCTTGCTTGAGTTATTTGCTAGGGGAGTATAATATTCGTGAGGGGTTTATGATTTTCTTGTCTGTGCGAGTGAATCGAAGTGGTCAATCTGCTGTTGGTTCTACGTTGAAGAGTTTTGTTTTTTCTACTTTTAGGTATTTTTGTTTCACAAGTCATTTGACGTAGAGCTAACATGTGAATTTCTTTTGCCAGGTATCTCTGGAGAAGGGTAAAGTTTCTAAAAATGAGTTAATTAGTGCTGAACAAGCCGAAGATCTAAAGATGAAGGAAAAGAGAAAGCGAGAGCGAGAGGTACGTATCATCTGTTAAAATTATGGAACCCAATTGCTAACCCAAGTTATGACACTGACGCTTATTTTGTTGTGTTGAACAGAAAAATCTGCCGCGGAAGAAAAGGAGGAAGTTGGAAGCTGCCAGAGAATTATTGGAAGATGATTACGAAAGTCAAGAGGTATGCAAATTCTTCTTTTGCATGTAGCTAATCTGTAGTCTCATAAAAAATTCATTTGAATAGATGTATACTCAGGCTGCTGAATATTTGCCTGTATAATGTCCGTTTTGATTAGTTAATGCCCCTTTTGTATGACGATGCATATAATACATCCATAGTGTGTATCCTCTGTTCCTAGTTAGTTTCCAAGTTTTTATGACGATGTGGTCTATTATTTTTAGGGAACTAACAAGAATAAGAAAGAGAAGGGCGGGAAGGATGGGAAGAACGGAATTTCTCTTGTTGATCTGGCTCATAGACGGGCAAAAGCTGCGAAAGCTGTCAAAAGGGCTATTGATTCTGGAAAATTTATCAGAAAGGTGGAAAGGAAGTCAACACATTCTTCCCAGAAAACACAATCCAGGACTGAAGAGACGAAGGAGCTTTTCCAGAGTGACATGGGGGATAAAAAACGTAGAAAAAATCCTCAAATTGGTGGGAAAAAGAAATCTTCATTCAAAAGTAAATCAAGGTATGCTTTGCATATGACCAGGATGTGAAACGCGTAGAAATGCTGTTTTGATACGTTGTGTTGGGTTAATATGGCCTGGAATTAGGAATGATGATTGCAACTCTTGTTATGATGCAGGTATAAACGCAGGTGAGAGTGAGTGATGATCTGATGATGTTCATTGGGCCAGTTGAAAGAGGCAAGCCTTAGAAACAGAAGCTTATGCACGTGAAAGACATCCAGAGAAGGGGCGAATCTTATCTGTACTGCTTGCCTGTTTTGAAGGCGATTCACTTCTGTAAATTATAGCTGCAACTTCAGTCCAGCCATGTTGTATCTCTCCATAACCATTGCATACTCATTCTTCACATGTATTCGTTCATTGGTTGCAAAATCTTTATTCTTCTTTATTTCAAAGCCAGAAAAAGTATTTAGTTCCGAGTCTGTCAAATAATTGGGCAAGCCTTATTATCTGTTTGGCATCTGGGGCCGCTGAAACCTCGGACAGAATCGTAATAATTTAAGCAGCCAATGTTTTTTACGAAGTCAAAAAGTTATGATCGGTCCATCTCAATGTGAGGCATATATTTTGTCAATTTAGACTCAAAAAGTCCGTAAAAACAAACATTATGCATGGATCTTCTAGACGACATGAAGAAAACCAGGGAACAACCAAAATAAATACAAGAATAAACCCACGACCGTGATTCAAGGTGGTCAGCAGTTGATCTGTTCGTCTGCACGAAAATTGAAGAGGCAGTGGTCTCTGAAAACTTTCGTTGATATATATATATATATATCATCAGAATTACAAGTGAAAAAGTTATCTATAGCAACAATTGCCTTCTTCTATGAAATGCCAAAGAAAACCATCTAAATTATCAAAAACATTATGGGAAAACAATTAAACCTACGATCTACGTAACCTTTTAGCATTAAAATTAATAATCATATGACACCCTATGAACCCCCCTCCCGCTATCAAATTTTATTCATTTCTGTCAAACCTGCCACCCTACTAGCTTGATGACAAACTTCCCTATTGAACCCCCTAAAGCCTTGTTTTTGTCATCCCAGGTTTGGGGGCAACTTACATTCTATTTCCATGTCTGAATGGGAAAGCTTCCCACCCACTATCTGGTTCTTTGCGCTTCACACCAGAGCCTGAACTAGTCGATGCTTGCGAATTACTCGACTTCATGTAGTCGTCCATCAGGAATGTATGGTGCCCTGGGTTCAGAAATTGTCTAAACCCAACAATATCCCGGTTTGCTCCTCCATCGAGCGTTAGTCCAGAATTTAGATCAAAGCTATTGCGAGAAGGGCCTGGCGCAGTCCCATTTGCAGGTGAGGTGCCAGGACCGGTTATGCTCATAAAGAATGGGTGCTGTGGAAAAACAGGTGGAACATTTGAAGCAGAGCCCATTACTTGAGGGACAACAGGCGCTCCTCGAGAATCCAACATGTAAGGGAAGGAGCCACCAGGTCCGTACATAGCTGGTGTGAAAGGCAAAGCAGGTCCTGATGTTAGCCCTCCATTGTAACCATAGCTTGCAGAATGAGGGTACGGAATAGTGGGTCCCATCCCAAGAGGGCCCATGTTTCTCGCCATGTTAGCATCCAGGGCAGGATCAAAATTCTTCAAAAATGGAAGAGATTGGGGATGGGGATTAGTAAAATCTTTCCGGTTCACCTCCACCTTCATCCCCATGATGGATATAACCGTGTCATCGGTTCTTTTAACACTAGGATTTGCACTAAAACTTTGATGAGATAACCTGCTTAGAAAAGGATGATGATCTGCAGATTCGTTAGCCAAAGATGGCTGATCATTCAGATCAATATTCCTTAGAGAAGGCTGCTTGGATGATGAAGATGATGAAGGAGAATGACTAATGTAGCCATTTCTCTGGTGAAAGACCAGTCCGTCAGTTCGCCAGTCTATACGTGCATCACCATCCTCACTTGCTTGGTTGAGATCCAACTCGATTCTTTCTGATCTTCTTGGACTCGCATCAACAGAAGATTCCCCAGAAGGCAAGCCGGATAGAACCGGGATCTGTTTTTCCTGCAAAGGATGATCCATACCTCTCTCATCTAAACTTTCATTAGCATTCAGATCAATGACAAGACAGCCATCACGTTTTGAGCTACTGTTGCTTCCCCCGGTTGAATGAGCCTTATCCATTTCAGGTATTCTGCAAGGTGATGCAGGGCGGAAAGCACTCGTTGCAGCAGTACCTTTCCATCCAAGTGCACCTTCAAACTGCAAAGGAGAAACAGGCAACCCAGGAACAGCAGCAGCACGTGAGGCAGAAACAACCGAAACGGGCATAGACATTGAATTGTTATCTAGGTGATCCGCATCCTCTGAACAGACGTCCATATTTAGATCAAAATTGCACAACCCTTTCTCAGGATTGGCGGAGTTTTCTTGAGCCACTTCGGTAACCTGGGAGGATCCCACCTCCTGTGCCGTCCCATTTCCTGGTACAGCATCTTGACTTTTTGAAGTGATACCTGGTTCTTCTTCTTTCCCAGGTGATGAAGAATCAGCAGATAGATCAAGCTCTGCAGAAGAAGAAGAGCCCTTAAGAGAGTCGTCTTCTTGGGGACGTGATTCAGCACCACATTCGGAGTCCGGGCTATCTGGCCGAGGAGCCTCACCTCCTGGTAATTTGTCAGAAGAACTACAACTCTGTTCTCTGCAATCTACTTCCCTCTTGGCCTCGATGGCGACTAGCCGGGCAAGTTCAAGTGGATCTTCAATGTCATAATCTAGATCAGTTCCCGATTTTATCTGAACCGAATTAGAGTCATTGACATGAAGCTCAGTATGATGAACATGCTCCTCGCCATTATTGCTACTGTCCTCCTGAATACTTTCAGTCTCGAGCTTATTACCTTCTATTTTAGACAACAGTATGGCAGCAGACTCCTCATTGTGGTGATTGCTGGCTTCATTACTTCTAGAAACTTTTGTGCTTTTGTAGCCACCAGCAGATCGACTATCTCCAACACCGCTTTTTCCTGCAGAGTCATTCTCATCTTTCTCTTTCTTGGCATCAGAAAGTCCTGGTAAACCATTTTCCTTGATGACATCAGTGGGTTGTGGTAAACTGCCTTTGGCACCGCAATCCAAGGAATCAGTGGCATCATCTGCACTTGAAGACGTAACAGACTTGTCAATTGATGTCCCTGAAACTTTGTCTACATCCATGTTCATAGGAGAACTTCCAGGTTTCTGCGGCCGATCTGTATCATCTGTAGAATCCAACTTAACATCGCTACTCTGCTCTGCCGGACCATCATGATTTAACTCTGTTGAATTGATACCTTTGGCTGAAGTGTCACTTTGTGGACAACATGAGGGGGGTTCCATCTTGACGTAAAGATCTTACACAACAGACCTGCTGAAACTCAAACACATCCTATTAACTGACAATTGACCACGGCCAAACTCCAGAAACAATTTGGCAGTTCCCCTGAGAAACAGATAAACCAAAAAAAAAAAAAAAAACTTATCTTCAAGAAAAATAAAATCACAACTCATCATGAACGTGAACTTCAACAACAGCGAATTGGAATTACTGCACATCATCATAATGTCTATATATTTCGCAACACAACAGTTACCCCTTACCACCAAACTTGGCATCTAATGCTTTTATTCATTTACAGGTAGCTTTTTCTCTTCAAAATAAAAACCTTTCAGACACCGGCCTACATAAATCTAGATTTCAAGAATATTGCCTTAATCTTACGAAAACTGGATAAACTCAAAACCTCAACACTTAATGTAAAGATAAGAACCCGCAAACAAAAACACACAAAATGAACAAAGAAGTTCAGTTTTTAGATAAAGAGAAAAGCACCAGAAACCATGACCACCTCAAGTGTGGTAACAGTGTATCAAGTTTAATACTAAGGATGTTTGATTGATTGTGGACAGATACAACAAAGCCAAAAAAAAAAAAAAGAAGAAGAAAAAAGAAAAAAAGAAAAAGAAAAGAAAAGTTGAGAACTATTTAAGCTTGATTACTTCCAGCACAGACCACATGCTTGTTTCGGCAAAGATCCAAAGAAGATAAAGCATGACACTAAGCATGTCTAGCAAATACATACTGCAACCACATAGAAAAAATTAAAAAAATTCAACATAAGAACTTAGCCAAACATAAGTAATATAGTAGAACATCGGAGAATAACAAAAAAACAGTGCCAAAAATCTCATCTCCACATGCACTCATGAAATAGTACTTTGGAGAACTTCTAACATTTTTTCCCCCTACTAGAACTTCAGAGCACAGCAGGAGTAGGATTTTTCTTTTAACTGCAAGCGATATGTATGAAATGATGAATTGAACCTATTTATAAACTGTTCTATTGTTCAGACAATAAAATTCTCTCATAACAGAATGAATAAGTAATTCATTTACAAGCACTGATCAGTTTTAAATGTACTCTCCGTACCTAAAGGAGTTAATTCAATCAAAGACATGAACTTGTAATGAAGCAATCCAAAGACAGCAAGAATATCCTGCTACGTTTGTAAACCATGTAGTAAAGAACGGAAAGTATCCTGTATCAACAGAAGGATAGAAAACTTGCCATAACTGTACATAACTTTAGATAATAACAGAAAAAGAAGAATAATCGACTAATATGAGCATAAACATTAACAATTCAAGTCCCCAATTTACAAGTGGAAAGAAAGAAAATAATAAAGGACCACACAAAGCAAAGCAGATCGCAGTTGTATAGTTTAAAGAAATTACCAGCTTCCCCAATGACGACTTGATAAAACACTTTTAACAATATTAGATGGAAAAGTTCCCAACCAGATTCACCAAAGCGAGAGCAATAACAATCCTAGGAGGCAAAAGGTCAAACGATAGCAATGTCAGTCATGGAAGAAAAGAACAAATCTACTCATCAAACATTCCAATCAGAAAAATAGCTTGCAGAACAGAATCCCCCAAAGGAACACAATCTTTGTGAAAAAAAAAAAACACTCACAACTACAATTGAAAACCAAAGAATATACACCCAAAAGTAAGAACGAACCATCCAACTTCAGTTCCCTGGATTTGTCAATCCCAAGAACACATTTCAGGGCTTTCTACCCAAAAAATAAAAATAAAAACACAGCCTTTTTTTATCAAAGAGACAACAGAGGAACCCCGGATAAGGAAATCATAGGAGTAATACCCAAAGCATTGCCTTTAAAAAAAAAATTATACTTTTGACAATTCAATGCAATATCTCTAGTTGAACAAAGTATAATGAATGCAGCAAGATATGTAATTAAAACCATAAAGCCCAATATATGCTCAACAAAAAAAGCACCAATAAACTACCACCACTTAATACTCAACATAATATGGAAAAAAACCCTAAATTGCAAAACTACCAACTTTCCTAACCAAACAGAAATGAAACCAAAAACCACGAATGAAATAACGATACCCTTCACGAAACAAGAACTTGAAATTCTCACCTTTAAACGGATATGCTCAAAAACCCTAATTCCAAACTGGCAGTTTCTCCAACAGAAGAGGTAGGAATTCAGTATCTGAGAATCCCACTTCGTATCTGTGCAGCTATAACAAAAAAAAATGTATTCTTTTCCCTTAATTGAGTTGCTATACACGCTCTGGTAATAAATTTGACAGCTTTCCCTTTACAGACAACGAATTTTTCAATCCTCTTCTATTGTTATTGGACTCGGTAAAAATAAAATTTTAAAAAACAAAAAAGGGACTTTTTGGAAAGGAATTAGGGAGGGAGGGAAGGAGGGAGAGAGAGAGAGAAGGAGAGAGAGACGGGAGACGTTTCTTGTTGAGCAGAGAGATTTTCCTTTTTGGTTTTCGAATTTTCCAAAAAAAAATTATTTATTTTATTTTATTTTATTTTTAACGAAACAAATTCATTCCTTTTCTCATCTTTGGTCTGCTGGCTGGTTCAGATTTCACAGTTGGGATATGCCACGTGCCGCACGTGCCAGCCATCCTCGGACGTACCCGGATTTTCTTTCCATATTGGATATTCCGGGTCGGGCGAATTTTTTTCGGGTTGGTTCAGTTTAAAATTTTTCCAGGTTCAGAGTTCGAATCTCACGATCATCGTGAACTAGTATTAAATCGTTTGGCCAACTATCTCATCTATCGAAATAATTACAATTCAACAAGAATGATTAATCATTGTTACCGACGATAAAATGTACACCTTGCAAATATGAATAAAAAAAATTCTTTTGCAAACCAATTTTTCTTTTATAAAACACTTACTAGTTTTAAAATTGTACTAATTTATATTGAAATTAGTACAATCTCACGATTTATTGTAAACTATTTTTTAGGACAAAAAAAAATTATACTCCCTTCGTCCTAAAATTATTGTCCAGTTTGAGATTTCACTTTTTGTACAATTTGAACTAAAAATGAAAACTCAAACTAGACAATAATTTTGGGATGGAGGAAATAATATGCTTATAATTCAACTAACAATTAGCCCATATAAGCCTAAGAAATAGTTAACTGAGTATCTTATATGTCATATTCTTTCAATACAATTTGTAAGATTTGTTAGTATAAGAGGATCAAGTTAACAATCATTTGAAAATGATACCAAATCAAATCATCAATTTATTAATTACTCTCCCTACTTCAAAAGAAAAATAGTCTACTTTTTTGTAATATAATCTGCTTCAACAAAATACAATATTTTTTTTGTAGGACGCATGGAATATTTGGTATGCATTTTTATGTGATACTTGGCTAATTGCTATCAACATTGTAAAGAAAACTAGTGAATTTGGCTGAGGAGAGGGGGAAAACTTTTGGTGATGAATTATTGAATGGGGACGTTCTTCCAATGTTTTCTATATGGGCGATCTGTTTGAATTGGATTTGTACCTTTTTTAAAGGTAAAAAAAAAAAGATGTCCAATTTGTTTCCTCTTTTCATCTTTAACTAAATCTTGCTTCTCATAATGTTTGTTCACCTAATTAACAGCTACATGCATTATATTCCATAGTTCATACCGTATTTCGAAGAAGACAAATTAAAATAAAGTTTTATTTGACCTTCGATTGCTATGTATAATGAAGTATAAACTACGAAGTCCTTTTAATCATAATTTTTGTTTGAAAATAAATAAATAAATAAGTAAATGAAACAATAGAGTTTGCTCATACTACTAAACAGTAAGCACATATATGCAGTACTCCCTCCGTCTCATAATTATTGTCCAGTTTGAGTTTTCATTTTTAGTTCAAATTGTAATAGAAGTGAAATCTCAAATTGGACAATAATTTTGGGATAGAGGGAGTACATATTTTTTTTATTAAAAATAAAAATTGGTGGATTAAAAATAAATCAGCAATGGTCAAACGTTTGAATAAGTTGACTGCTTTCGACTCGGTAGTATATATGTAGGACACGAAACTGCGTCCAAAGCCGATTCTCTTTATTTATTCTAATGGCAAATGAAATTTTTTTCCTAAAAATAAAAGTGTTATTCCTGGAACTCCGAAAATGGGTCCCCAAGGAGCTGATTTGGCAGAAGCAGATTGATTAGAAGGGGATTATGAAGGAAAACGAGGAGACAGCTCAGCAAAGTGTTGAATTTGGAGCAAAGACTTAAAAAAAAAAATGTGAATTCCAAAAACAATTTTTTTTTTTTAAAGAAGAGTCCATATCAGAGAAGTGAGGTGTTGGGGGGCTTTGTTTGGCTATTGAAAATGACTTTATTGATGGTTGGTTGTTTTAGGAAGGCAAATTACATCAATCTCCTTTCAATTTTGCAGGAATCATCAATCACCTCCTAACATTTTGTTTTATTCAATCGAATAATGAGTAGAAGTTCAACATATTTCGCAAAAAGAATAAAAATATTCGTGATAAATGTTAACATGTAATGTACATCGACATTTTATGTTAATATATAACAGCGTCTGATAAAGTTAAATGTTACATAACTTATGGATCACCAAACTAACTATCAGAGTACCAACTGCTTAGATCTAAGAGTGTTTCTTAACTGAAGTAGATTACTACCAATTTCAAGAGAGTTGGATGTAATTGGCAAATCCTAAATTAAGTGTCAACATCAAGTAGTAAGGTGTGGGGGGCTTTTTTCCTGTGCCATAAAAAATGACTTTATTGATGGGTAAGAAAAGATCCAAAACTCACACACTATAACTAAACGCACAAGGTAAAGAGCCAAAAGAGATGGAGGGCCATGGCCAATTTGGCCATTGGGGTTGGGGCTGAAAGCTAGGAAATTGAGGGAAAATGGACACCAAAAAAAAATGAAGAAGAAACACATCAAATCAAAATCAATTTGGGATGCCATCCTTCTTCCTTTGAAAATGATTTGAGCATTACCTTGTCCTTGTCTTTCTATTTATGCATGCAAAACCAAACCTATTTCACGTGCTCTAGCACGTGTTTATTTCCTTCAATTTTATTTGGTTGTTCAATGATCTGGTATTTCTTTACTCAATTTTTTTTTAAAAAATTGTAAAACTTCTCTAATCACCATATTTTAACTATTTTGTTATGCTTACATAATCAAGTTGATGCCAATTTTTTAAAGTAGTAAATACACATATAATTGCATGTTATAAGTGTCCAAAATGTTACTTCCTCCATTCTGAAATATAAGTTACTGGAGATTTGCACATAATTTAAGAATCTATTGATTACGGTATTTAATTTTTCGAATTACTCCCAACCTTCTCCTAGTGTAATACTAACTCTTATGTTAAATATACTTCTACTTCTTTTATCGAATGAAGCAAAATAGAATGCAGCTTCTCCATCACCGCTTCATCCTCCTCCATTAATTTTTATCAAAATCAGATATCAAAATTCATCTTCAACGCCCTATTTTTTCACAAAACCAAAACTCAAAATTTTCCTTAGCAAACCCCTCATAGCCGCCGATCATAAATAAATCTTGTGATAGCATCATTATAAACTTCTCAATCTTATTTTTTACAATTCGATCTTTCCTAATGAGTTAAACAAAAAAAAAAAAAAAAAACAATTGGTGGTTGATTCTCTTCTCATCTAGACTCTGTGTGAACCTTTTTGGTTGTTTATTTTCTCCGCCATGAATTGGACGGGAGATGGTGTAAAAGGTACAATCTTGGCTCTATGTGGAACTTTTTTGGCTGTTTATTTTTTCCGCATGAATTTGGTAGGGATGGTGTAAAGGTACAATCTTGTGTTTGTTTGGATTATTTTGCCGCCGTCGCCGGTGACTGTTGGTGGAATTGGTGAACGAAGAAAAAAACTTGCACTACTGGATTTTTCATGGACTGTTCGTTAATGTCTTCTTCTCAAAGGGTATTCTTGGAAAAAAATAGTCAAATTTGCCTAGATATATAAGAATGATTTGTATTTTGGAAAATCCTTTTCTTCCTCCAACTACTTATATTTCAGAAAGGAGGGAGTATTAACATAATGAATGATGTGGAAATAAGCGAAGAAATTAGTGTCGAGCAGTTAGTTGCAGACACATATGATTGATATATCGGATTTATATGGTGTTATTTGACGCTCATGGTTATCAATTAGAATGCTAATAGTATAGTGTAATACGTACTTACCAAGCGTGAAAAGGGAATTGCAATATGTCTGCCATTTCCATGCTTCCCCAAGATAGGGGGTATTCTTTTTGTTTCTCGTACTTCTACTAATTACAGAGTAAAGATAATTGCCAGATATCCCATTCTTTATTCTAATGTCTGCCATGACTGAATATCATCAGCTGATTCTTCAGACGAACAAATGAAGTAATCATTAAACTATAGTACCCCCAAACTCACTGTTTCACAGCACCAAGTTTTTCATCAAATCGTCTGGCTTTTAGTCTTACTAATTTTTATATGAATTTTATAAAAGTAAGTGTTATTATATGTCACGGGTCAAAGTACAGTAAATGGTAATAAGGTTTATTTCTTTAATATGATTTGGACGCCATTGACTACACCCTTTTAACAAACTAAACAGAAGTATGGACATCATAATGATGCTAAGTAGCTGAGGTTTTAGTGTCTGTCGTCAAGTGTATTTAATTTAAAGTTTTAATTGCACCGCCATTATAGTCATTTCATAGTTACATACTCCATAATCAAGGCGTGTCTTTCTCTAACGCATGGACCAATTCTGCATTAGTAAACAAAAGAATAATTATGCTGCTAGTTTAAGGTAGGCTAAATGCTAAACTATATACTCTTCATGTCAATATTGTCTATAATAACCATTCGAATTGCTTGGACTCTGATCATGAACTCTCGAGCCAAAGATAAATTCGATTTCTCTTTTTTTTTTCCACAACAACTTGCTGTGAAATTTTTGCCCTCACTAAATAAGGAACGAAATCAATATAAATTAATTCTTTGCAGAAAAAAGTAAAACATCCCAAAGATTTAAAATTTTGAATTAATCGAAATCAAACCAATGTCAAGTTGTCAACAAAACAAAGGACCAGATGGGATCTTCACTTGTACACATTCTTTCTTAGAGAGTATTGAACCGAAAGATTTTGCATTGCTTCAATCAATCGTGTCAAAATTGTACCCTTTTTTTCCTTCATATAATTGGTTCATACTTAAGCTTAATCATCATAACTCGATAAATAAATTATAAATTGATATTTTTATTAACTGAGCTGCATAACTAGCTTAAAACAAAGATGGGTAAAGCTTAGAAACCACAATGAATAGCAATTGTTTTTACTTTTTAGTTTTTTTTTATTTTTTTTATTTGCAGGGTGTCCACCGTCAACAACAGTGATTAATCTCCCCGCTGAATTGTAGGCATCTCAATAGATGAGATAGCTGTCAAAAGTATTTAACGTGAGACGTTTTACTTTTTTAGTTGATCAGGATTCAGGAGACTCTTCAGCGTTTCCAGTTTTGGGCCGCCCCAACATGAAAAAAAATCAATCTATTAATAATGACTTTTTGCTGAGTCTGTGTTTAATAAAATAGTAACAAAACGCAACAGGCCCAGATAAAATAAAGAGTAAAAAAAGAGGCCCACAACTTGTGAAATGTCAAAACAAAACAGGTCATATTTGGCCAGTTGTCTCATCTATCGATAGAGGTATCTACAATTTAAGAGAGATTAATCACTATTATCCACGGTAGACACTCTGCAAATATGAAAAAAAAAAAAAAAACAGGTCAACAAGGTCAACGAAGCAGCGTATTTCCCGCCATGACAAGAGAGTTTTCACTCCTCAACATCATCATCCATCCCTATCAATGGCTGCAACGCAAAACAGCAAAAACAGCAAAAGAAAAAAGAAAGATCCCATGCAAAATTTACAAACAACCATTTTTCCGACAATTTCTCCTAACCAGAATAACCATCATTCCTCAGAAACTCACACTTGACCTTTTTTACTTTTTCCCCCTACTTTTTAATCAAAATAGCACCCCAATTAATTATTCTTTCTTTCTTCCCAAGTTTCAAAACCTGCAAAGGAGGTCTTGTCTCTCCGCAGCCATGGCCTCCAGATATCTCCTCTTCTTCTTCCTCATTTCCGTCATCCTTCCCCTTTCCCAATCCCGCCTCACCTTGGATTACTACGCCAAAACTTGCCCTAGGTTCCAAGACATAGTCCGCGACGCCATCTCCGTCAAGCAAGCCCAGAATCCCACCACTGCCGCCGCCGTTCTCCGCGTCTTCGTGCACGACTGCCTCGTCGGCGGCTGCGACGCCTCCATCCTCATCAGGTCCAACGCATTCAACAAACCCGAGCTCGACGCCGACATCAACCATTCCCTGGCTGGAGACGCCTTCGACATCATCACCAAGGCTAAAACCGCCCTCGAGCTCGAATGCCCCGGCATCGTCTCCTGCTCCGATCTCCTCGCCGTCGCCGCCAGGAACCTCGTCCTGGTCACCGGCGGGCCTTTCTACAACGTCCGGCTCGGGAGGAAAGATTCCACGGTTTCTCAAGCTTCCCAAGTTGAAGGAAACCTCCCAAGGTCTAATTTCACAATGGACAGGATGATAGGCATGTTCGCCGCTAAGGGCTTCTCCATTCAAGAAATGGTTTCGTTGGTCGGCGGGGGCCACACCATCGGATTCGTCCATTGCACCGAATTCGGACACAGGATATTCGGGAAAACTGTGGATCCTAGCATCAACCCTAAGTTGGTGGAGGGATTGAAGAAGATATGCGCGAATTACCTTCAGAACCAAGCGTTGTCGGCGTTTTTGGATGTGATGTCACCAGGGGTGTTTGATAATACCATCTTCAAGAACTTGCAGAAGGGATTAGGGGTTATGTCATCTGATCAGCTCATGTTTTTGGATCCAAGAACAAAGCCATTTGTGGACAAATATGCAGCTGATGGTAAGGCATTTTTCAATGATTTTGCCAAGGCCATGGAGAAGATGAGTGTTTATGGAGTCAAGACTGGACGTCAAGGGGAGGTCAGGAAGAGGTGTGATGCTGTCAATGCAGCTTAAATTAAACCCTCAAAAAAAAATAAAAAGGCTATGCAAAATCTTAATCTGATTAAGATCTGTGAAACAAAAAAGGAAAAGAAAATGGTAGAAGTAAGACTGTTGAAGCCAAGTGTGTGTGTCTTTGTTTTGCTATATACTCAATCTACACGTTGTGATTATGTAAGAGACATCATCATCATAATCTAAATATACCAACTGTGACATCGCTCAACAATGACACAAATATTTAAGAATTTTTATTGGGGTGATTATATATTGTTATATTTTACAACTATACATAATCCCTTTTACCCTATTAAAACAGAATACAGGACGTTGATGTGGCAACTTCTTATTAAAACTTTTTGGCTCCAAATGCACCATATTGCATTGACCATTCTGCCACGTGTCATCCTTTTTTAAAAGAAAAAAAAAATCTTATCCGGAAAAACAAAAGTTACTTTAGAAAAATAGCTACACAATTTTAACTCCTAACATTTATCATTTATCAATCAAATTAAAATAGCATTTAAATTTATCATAAACTTATCTCTTTTATTACTCCACATTCTTTTGTATGGGTTCTGTATCGTTGTACTTTTCAATATTTTTTTCCTTTGGCAGGTGATTTTTTATTTTTATTTTTATTTTTGGCTAAAAAAAGAAAAAAAAACCAAATGCGTAGCTATTTTATTTTTTCCAACTCAAAAATGCCTGGCCAAGCATCTAGTTTTATATATAGCTTAATAATTCATTCGCTTAACTGGAATGGATCAATACCGTAGGCATCAGTAGTGCCCTTGTGCCTTTTTAAGTTTTTATCTACTCTTTTTCTTTTTTTCCTTTCCTTGGGTTACTCTAGTGTTCATCACGTGTTTATCTTAAAATTACGCCTGCTAACTTCCGGACTTGAACTTACCATTCGAAATCTGGAAACCCGGATTTGAAATATGTGATTAGAGGAACTCTTGTGTTAAATTACTAATATGGACAATATAAGAGATTGTACAAATAGTATTGAGAATTTGAGATATATAGGTTATTGTTGCACCATTTTTTTATTTTTTTTTGTTGAAAACTGAGAGTTTTCAAGTAGCCTTTTTGGATAAAAGAACACTCAATCATCCACTGCGCCAAACATTTCCTTTTTCCTTTTACTCTTTTGTTTCTGTTTTGGGTTGATGATAATGGTAAAAATTTGGTAGTGCTGCTTCCTTGTTTGACCAAATATGCGACTTTGGTACCAATTACCAACCCTCTGGGACGAAAGGGATTTTCTGAAGAATCAATGAAAACTAGAAGATTATCACAGAAGTGTTTGATAATTGCGTTCAAAATACACCACCTGTGAAACTGGTGTCACAAAATAAAAAATTGTCCCCATGGGTGACGCAACCAGAAACCAGGAGTGGCAAAGCAGTCAATTTAAGCATTTGACACCAAACAAAACCCCACATTCTGGAATCATATGACCCCATAAATACAGAAGAAGGAATTTACAAAACGATGATGGAGGCAAGCAATACATACAAGTTGATCGATCAGCGGTAGACATCATTCCTGAGCAAGCGAAGAAGAGATAGGCTGCCCTTTGACCTTGTCTCCAAACCTTCAGCTCCCTTCACCCCCTGCACGATTTTTATATTTATTCAAAGGCTGTTATCACTGAACCAGAGGACCTAATTTTCTAAATTGGAGCATTTTTTTCAACCTTTAGATAGTTTGATGACAATAGAGATTTTAAGAAAATATGGTCCATGAACAATCAGAGAAAAGGAAAACTATCTGAACTTTATAAGGGAGCGCTTATGAGCCTGTTTGATCTGTCATATCGTTTAATGTGTGCATTTTAGCTCAACTTTCAATGCCGTATTTTTTTTTTCCCTCCCATTTCAATAACATTGAAAATTGAGTCAAAACGCAGCACAAAAGAAGACCACATTGGCTACATTAAAGTGAAACTCCCAAGTGTCATTACCTTCGGCTTCTCTTTTTCGTCAATGACTCCCAGATTGCCAATATCCTTCAGTAAATTGGATGAGACTGGTTGAAGTCTCCTGAAAAATCACAAAATTGTAATGAGGGGAAAAGATTTTTTTCAAAACACACTTAACACAATCAAATCACTGCAGCATCTTGGATTAATATGAACATTAACCCAAACGCACCTTTTAGGCTTCTGTTTGTTTTGAGAGCTACATGTAGGAAGTGAATGAGCAGCCTCTGCACCAGTGGAGCAGTGACTGTCTCGAGCTAACAATGCGTTGTCATCAGGCACAACTGCTACAGTTGGATCCGGCTCTTTCTAATAAAAGCGAAAAAAATGACAGTAAGTCCATTGTTTCCAGGTTGCACTTCAAATAACTTCCTCATAGAGCAAAAGAGAGTTCAACTTTTCTTATGCAATAGTAGCACACCATGATCTTTCAAAGCATTGTAAAGATAAGCCAGGATATCATTTCATTAGAGAGTCAACACGCAACTTGCTAGAATTCCATTGTTTACTGACAAAAAAAGCCCGCCTAAGGCTTTGAAAATTGACGCTTAATGATACACTATTCAGAAATAGCCAACCATGACCTACAATTGAATATATAAGTCATTGTAACACAAATTATGTTCAGACGACAATCCTTCCGCATTATGCGTGCATAGCCCATCCATCCCTTCTTCAACCCCCTAAAAACTGACTTCTATGTGATCCTCCATTTTATGAGGTGCAGGTTAGATGATGAATAGTAAAGGAAGAGCATCACAAGTTACACCTTTCCACCTTCTAATTGACCGAAACAGAAGTCGTACGAGCATCGTCCATTCACCAACTGGTAAGCAAAGGCAAAATAGTGACTGCTACACAGCGAAGAGGTCCAGAATATTAATATCCAAATATGAGCGGGTCTAATACTTTCCAAGCGATAGTACAACAGGGTTTTATACATTGTTGTATCTAAAAGATAGTATAACATACAGTAATTGCAAATTTAGCATAGTGACATCAAACTAACCTGACACTGTTGTTGGGGCATCTGATCAATTTTGAGTGTAGACGAGCAGTCGTGACTTTGTACAACCGCCTGTGGCATTTGGTCAATCTTGACTGCAGACGAGCAGTCAGCGGTTTCCACTGGAGACAAAGGAGAGCTACAGACAGAATCTGAAACATCAGCAAATGAAAGTGCCGATTCCTTCTCCACTGAGCTACAACAAATTTCATTTTCATTTGCTGACGACTCCAAACAGGAAGCAGCAGATTCCGGGTCATCTGGATGAGAAATGTTGTATGAAGCGTCAGAGCTACTAAATAATTCTGTACTTTGCTACCTCCAAAACTTTGAAATCAAAATGATAAGGCCAAAATGCTGCTACAACTACCGGCTTTAATTTCTGCTATTGTATGCTGAAATTAAGATAATACTAGCATGCAACGTGATTAAACCTAATGTCCACAGTTTTTCCGTGCACCAAAGTTTACAGACTCTAACATTACTAAGGCTCCAGCTCAATCTGTCAACAATAATTGTAAGAAAGAAAAGAGCACTTCAGTCTTCAGCAAATGGAGGCAAAAAACTTTAGCTTGGTAAGTTTATACCTGATTCAATCTCCACACACGTATTATCTCTGCTATCTCTTTCGATACCAGATAACTTTCTTGTATTACTGACAGTATGTCCTTCCTTGCTGTCCTTGTGGACTTGAAGATAACCAACAGAACCAGAAGCTCCAACAGCTCCTTCACATATATTTTTAGCACCAACATAGGAGGCAATTGAAACAGTTGCTCCATTATCGAGATAGATTTCTACAGCCTGGATGTCCTTTGAGTCTTCAGTTACTTCAGCCACATTTTCCAGCATGCAGAAGGTTGCATGTCCCTGACAATGGTGCAACATGAAAGTTTACTGATCATGCAAATTTCAGACATCAAGAATCAAATCATAAGTCATCTGAGTTTTGGAATACCGGCATATGCTCCTGTTGAGCCGAATCTAATTCAGTTGAAGAAGCAGCAACAGAGGAGATATTTACCTGATGCAAACCAAAACATTGAAATACCTCCAGGACTTGGAATACAATCAATAACAACAAAGTTCCTTCACAAACTTGGTTATCATCAATACCTCAGTTGATGCCACTTCTCCTAAAGGACGTTTGGTCTTCAAATCCTTTACTTGAGCTTCCAGGTCAGAAGATCTTTTTCTTTCATAAGTTAGGTCATCTCTGAGGCAGCAAACTTCTTTTTCAGCAATCTGTAAACAAACTTTACTTCGGTAAATAAATCCCTTTTGACAATAGCTTCAACCACAAGTCGGCTGATAAAGTAAAATTAGGATCAGATAGACAAAAATGACCACCACATATACCTCAAGCTTTTCCCTATATTCTTTTAAGACTATCCACAAAGCTTTGGCAAAATTGGTCATGATCTGATGTTGCCTGTCCTTCTTTTCAAATTCAATATGAGCCTCTTCAAGAGATGATCCATCTTTAACTTGGCGACTCAGAGATTCATCACTCTCAACTGTAATCTCTTTCAAGTTCGAATGATTGTCCTCCTTTTTTAATCTAGATATTTCTACAGGACAAACAATCCTTAATGAGATGGGTATACATGAGCATTGTTATAAAAAATGTAGAGTTAAAAGGGAAGTGACATCAAAGAAAGAAATACCTTCTGTTTGTCTTTTTAGTAGGATTTTATGAGTACTTGCTGCACTGGTCTGAAAAAGAAAACCGAAATCTCGATTACTAATGGCCATAACTTGCACATAAGGTTTCAAAATACTGTTAAGGACGCTGAATGTTACAGAGCAAGATTCCACAGCGCTGAGCTTCATCCTCTTCTGATGTTCTGCCATTGGAAGATTTGGAATGGGTCTTTTCATATGTTTTCCAGTACCAACCTCTTCAGTATTGGTAAACCTGCAACCATTATGTACTTTATTAGATATATGGTGATGATATTAGAGCGCAAGGGTACATAAATACAAAAGGTGCCATACTTGATTTGAGTATACGGTGATGCCTGCTTTAGCAAATATGAAGTTTCAAGGTAATCATCTTCTCCAGGCTTCACAGTGAGGATCTGCAAAATTAAACACTTATCAGAATTTTCCAGGCAAAATGCTCGAAACTTAGTGGAGGTGGCATATGCAAAGGTGCAATAAAAAATTTATCCAAGCAAAAAACATGATAGTGAAAATCACACAAATAGCATACCAGAGCCATTCGTTTTTTGCCTTCCAAATACTCTCGCAAATACCTGGTCAACTGTTCCAAGATTAATCAAATACAAAATTCAAAATATCAGCATACACTGTTTTGAGAGTAGCAATGTACTAAAAGAGTATAGAGTATTTCAAAAGAAACAAGACAAGGGATTTACCAAAGAGTTTTGAAAGTGCTTTTGAATGGGCCTTTTGGGGTGCTTTTGATGCTCCAACAATGACTGAAAGTAAGGATAAATTCACGGGGTCATATAAGTCACAATCTTACAAACAGACCAATCAGGAAGCATAAAGCAAGCACCAAGAAAAATTTCTCAGGTTGGCAAAAACTTTGAAGATGAAACAGTACGTTTCTTTTAAAATTTCATAAAGACATCTACATTTCCTACCCGTAAGCATAGACCAAAAACCATAGATGTGTTGTTAATGAAATAACTCTCGACCATTCTGAGTCCCTGTCATAAGCAACACAACAAACATGATGAGTAAGTTCATACCATATTAACCAAGGATCAAACATATTCAAGAAATGTTGCAAAGGAACAATGTAACAAAAAAAAATTAAGTTGAGCTCTTTAGATAGCATGCGGCTCATTTTCAAAGCATAGATGTTAGATCATTTTTCATCCGAAAATTAAAACCATCAGTAGTATTGATACAGAAAGGTAAGCCCCACCATCAACATCCCTATTTCACCATAAAACTGGGATGCACCGAGAGAACATTAGAACTTCAGTAGCTACAACCTGCTTTTAAGTGGAAGCTGAGAAACAATACATTGCATATGTGTGGTATTACTATTCTCTGCAGTTCATTCAGACCTTCAAAAAATTAAGGTTAATCCAGTTAAACGCATAAAGTGATATTAAGTGTGACATATATCTTGCCTGGCAGATACATTTAGACCTTCAAAAAATTAAGGTTAATCCAGTTAAAAGCATAAAGTGATATATTAAGTGTGACATATATCTTGCCTGGCAGATACAAAATGAACATACTTATGATGGACTCTAAAATACATCAAACAGGTGGCATGCTTTACACTTGATACAGTTTTTGGAGACCAAAATTAGAGGAATAAAGGAAAACACCTGACAGAGTGAGAAGGGGATGATGTTTTTCTCCCAATGACTAATCAGATTTTACTTTATAAAGTTTATTACCTGATTGCCTGTTTTCTTTTCTCTTTCAGCTCCTGCTAGATCAACAATCGTCAATGAGGCCTTTTTTGGATACTCGTCAAATTGCCCATCAGTATTCTTGGAGATGCAGGAAATGTTGATAATGCATTGCGAACGGCTGGAATAATCTTTGATTAGAGGGGACGCAGTTGGCATACACCAATACATGAATGACACAGTCAATTTTTAAAGAATAAAACATGTATTCATCAACCGGCCTTTAAGAATACTCATATGATTAGCTAAAGAGCAGAGTAAATACAACAAAATAACACAAAAGTCCCAAAGAAAAAAGCCAAAGCAGACAGTAATACAATTAGTAACTGAGTGCATAAGAATGATTCGAGTTATATACTAAAACTTCTTTTTATAAAATTAAAATCAAGGAGTATTAAAGGAAGAGAGCAGACACTATAATTACTAAAATCAGAGAGCAGATAAGAGAATGTCTATGTTACAACCAAATAAAAAGATAGATCAACAAACCTAGACTGACTATTGGAATTAGTTGCTGCTGTAGCTCGTCTTAGCATTCCACAGGCAATTAAGGATTCAGCTTGAAGGGCGTCATTAATTACAAGCTGCTCCAGATGAGACATTTAGACTAATTATCATCATAAACTCAAATTATCTAGAGTATTTATATCGTAGGGGAAAATAATGTTTGAGGATGGAAGATGATGGTAAGAAACCAACCTCTTCAAGGCCCTTGATGGTCGATTGTTGAAGGAAGACTTCATTTCCTTCTCGCAATAAATCAAATATTCGTTCAGACTTCCCATTCTCTGAACATATCTCAAACATTGAGAGACAGAAATTCCTGCACAATTTATGAGCCTTATAAATACAATTGAATAAAATGTGCACTAATGACAATTTGTTTGACTTCTACCTTGTCAATTGATTTCCACAACTTTCGTGTTGTGCAAAAATTTGGTGCAGTGCTTGAGGTACCATCCCGGGATCCCGAGCACATCCAAAAACAGTATGAGTCTTACCCGATCCACTTGGACCTAGTGCAGCCAACATTCCACTTTTCCCTTTCAAGAAATCCTCAACTAGTGTATGCACCATCTTTTCATATACTTCACTCTGTTGATCAAAATTTAAAATCAGATATTTAACCAGTGAAATTAAGACTAAAAGGATGGTCCTTCAGCCATCTATTTCCAAATTTTCCAATTAACATTTGAAAATAAGAATCAAATAAATTGCAAAGTATAATAGAAACGCAAAACCGAAACTAAAACACTGTCATACAAGCTCGGGAAGCAAAAAAAAAAAAAAAAGAGAAACAACCCATCCACTGAAACGAACCTGAGAAGCTTCGTCGGAGAAAACGTGGGAAAAACCTTCGAACACCTCGGATTTAACTCGTTTGCTTTCCTGCAGGCTTTCAGGCGGTGAAACTGTAACGGAATTTGAATCTTTTACCACAACACATATTTCACTACTCCGTTTGACCTTCCTTTGGACATTTTTGGTCTTCGGGTTTCTAGGCCAAGCGTTCTTCATCTCCTGGCCGCCGTATTGTTTTGCTTTACTTCCTTTCGTAGCAATATTAAGCGGTCGAATTCTGAGGAACACTTTGAGACTCTCCGAATCGAGCTTCTTAGGGTTTGGAGATGGGGCGGAAGATGGCAGCTCAATGGGAGTAATATCTTGGTTGGGAAATAAAGGGAAATCGACTTTAATCGGAACCTGAGGGGAATCGAGGAATAGAGAACGGGGAACGGCGGAAGAAGGCGTCGGCGGTGGCCTAGCTCTCCGAGGAGGATTTCGACGGACGGTTACAGTGGCCGGGCACGGAGGAGGGCTCTTTAGTTCCTCCATTTCCGACGAACTTCTCTGAATTGGGGAATCAAAACAAAATGAAGAGGGCGGTAAACACACACTCACACTGTATCACTAGTATTTTGAATTTCGATTCTAGATCGGAGCGAAGTGAACATGTCGGGTCTTACCCGATACCAATAAGTTTGGGGAAAGCCCACTAGCAAAAAAGGACCCTTGTATTGCTTTTTAAGATAATGGGCCTGGTAAACATTGGGCTACACAGATCATGCCCGATGGATTTTCCTTTTACTAAAATTAATCCACTTATGTTTGGAAAACATGCCGTAAATAAGCTTAATTGAATCAATTGAGAAATAACAAATGAAACTTGTCCATCATTTTAATCATCATCATCTTCAGTAATTTTTATGTCTATTTTGCACGCTAATTTTGCTCCTATTCTTCTTCCTAAAAAAATTTATTCTATTAAAATACTTCCTCCGTTCTGTAATTATTATCCAGTTTGGGTTTTCATTTCTAGTTCAAATTGTACTAAAAGTGAAATTTCAAATTGGACAATAATTTTGAGACAGAAGGAGTAATAATCATTTCAATTTTATAGAACTAAAAAATAATAATATCAATAATTTCATTCACTGTTAAAACAGTGCTTGCTATGGAACTCCATAATTACTTGCTGTTTTTGATTGTTTTCAGAGGTTCTTTTTAATCTTCAGAAATTAATCTGACGGTTGACAAGCATGTTATCCCGAGTTTTTTTCTTTTTTAAAAAAATTTCATTATAAAGGCTTCATATCATATAATAATTCAACGGATTGCCTCCAAAAAAATTCATGTGAAAATTTTAAGACAAGAAGATAAAAATGTTCATACACACACAAATGGCAACAAAAACCTAATTGAGTTCACTTTTTGAGTATCTTGATACTCTGTTGATTATGATCGTGGCCATAAAACAGGTATTCCAAATATTACATTCAATCTTGCGAGTCGCCATTGAGGTTTTTCACAAATGCAACCTTCAAATTTTGCAGCATTGAACTTCGCAACCAAGTATTTATCCCAATTTTGCCTCAGAAGTTCGCTTACCAGCCTTTTTAGCCTTTGCCTCTGAAACATGAACAAGATGATGCAACTTCTCAAGCTGCAAGTCAATCAACAATAATCATTAGGCAAGGGAGACAGATTCCAAAGAAATTTAACGAAGAAATCTACTACTAATAACACTTGCCTCCAATTGTAGTTCACGGTAGAGACCAGCGAGTGTTTCAATCTCTGAGTTAGTATCAGCTGCAGGTATAGTAGATTGGGTTGTGCTAGATGACGGTTGAAGAGTTTGGCCAGCTTCAAATTCAAGTACTTCTGAGGTTGGGCTAGTGAAATCATTAGCAATGCTTGCAAGCAGCTCTGCCCTATACATACAAATATTAGCAGCCTTTTTGCAAAACGGAATGGCTTCCTTAGGTCTAGAGGCAAGCTTCAAACACAAGCATATCCTGAAATGTCTGAAATTCCGAGCTAAGAAAATCACTTGCTAAATATCAAAGAGAGATTGAGTGAAACTTCTCCATTTAGCAATTATACACTTCATCATCAACTAGTGGACTAAATTACACTTATCAACTTAGAATGTAGTTAAGAGAGCCAATTTAAAGGATACAACATAGCCAAACGCCGACTGGTAGGTTCAACTAAGCTCTCCAGGATGAACAATGCTTTCGTATAATTACTGAGTGAAGTTTCAGTGCCCCCTAAACAATTTCAACGAAACTCGATTAGCAAATTGAGAGTCATATAAACATATATGTAACAAAAGTGACAGAGTCCTTTGCAAATTATTAATGAAGAGATCATACCTCTTTCGTAAGCAGTCTCTGCTAAAGATGACAATACCTCCAACGGTACCTTTAGAATACTTTTCAACAATTTCATTAGCAGCACTCAAGTTTTTCCATGCCAAGTCCAAGTCTGATTCATCCGGAATAGAGAAACAAACAGCATTATTTTTGCAAAATCAAGTCTATAAAACACACTCACTTTGACAACGTAAAATGTTAATAAATAAAAAACATTGCATCTAGACTCGAGCAAATCGTATAGTCTCAAGAACACTATCTACTCTATCTACTGGAGACAATTTACAAGGTTACAGCATTCTTAAACTTCACCTTTTCCTCTGAAGCGTAATGGTCGATTCTAATTGCGCTTCTTCTTGTGCTTTGAAAAGTAGAGCACAACCATACTTATAATAGGCGTTGATACACTCCGCTGCATCTTTACCAAAGACATCATACATTCAATTGTAACATAGAAAATATTAGACAGTAGACAAACTTGCAAAATTTGAAAACCGAAAAAAAATAAATAAAAGATAATAAACGAACCGGGCACGATTATAATAATCCGCGGCGGTGGCGTAATCATTATTTTCCGCTGCTTTCGCACCACATTTATCCAACTCCACGACCTTTTCAAAAATTCAACTCCTTTATATTTTCCATCAATGATTCCATCGAATCTTGGTTTGCAGTGTCCCTAATCATCTTTTCAGTTGTAGAAAGAGTTCGCACGTTTCAAACGAGCGGGCTATATGGAGTAAGATGCCACTGGACGGACGGGATTTTCTTGTTTAGTAGTATCTTCGGCCGATCGTTACCTTAATTTCTACAACAATCTAATCTAATGTAATTAGAGTTTATGGATGAAAAGAGGAATCAGAGAATATCCGGAAAAAATAATTGGGAGAGTCGGGGAGAAAAAAAGGGAATTTTCACAAAAAAAAAAATCGCATAAATCATGTCTTGCGATTTCTTGTTTAGTAGTATCTATTTTCTAATTGATCTTTTCGATTTTTATTTGTAACCTTGTTGAAACACTGTCTTGCGAAAATAGTCAACTTTAAAAAAAAATGTTTTAGTATCTCAAATTATAGTTTGAAAGTTATGACCTAAAAATCCATTAAATTGAACAATAAGTATTGGTAACAAAATAGAGTAGTTGGTAAACGCACATTGATGATTGAAATAGAACATAATATGAGATGAGCCAATTGTTGAGTTGAATAGGCATACACTTTTTTTTTTTTTTATGTACACAAGTTACCAATCCAAAAAAAGAACACAAGAAGAGTGTCTCGTTTACAAGAAGACTGTACGTGCCATTTTCAGCAACAAACCAAACAAGACAACAAACAAAATTATTACATAATAATCCTAACTACACACTATCCTCATTCCATTATTCATCACCAACAAAATCCCAATCCATTTTCGGTCCCAAGACGATACTAAAAGAAACTCCCAAAACATTTCAAAGCAGATTGGGTTGAACTTCAGCAGCACCAGCACCAGCACCAGCAATTTGAAGAGGGCTACTAGTAAGCATGTGGACCACGGCCCGCATGGTTGGCCGAGCAGAACTCTCGTCCTCAACACACATCATAGCAATCTTGAACAAGTTCACGGCACTTGCTAATGGATATTGAGTCAGCCTGGAATCCAGAATGGCAAGCACCGAAGCTGCATCCGACGGCTTGGACAGTTCCGACATGGTGTTCCTCACCCACATCACAATGTCTACTCCTTCCCCGAATTCGCCTACAGGTTTTCGACCTGTGATCAGCTCCAACAGCACCACCCCGAAGCTGTATACATCGCTTTTCTGATCAATCTTCAGCGTGTATGCATACTCTGCGACGTTTTTATCAAAACATTAATCATATCAGATGCAAAAAGAACTAATGAACAAAATCAAATGTTCTATTTTTTTTATTTTTTATTTTTTTACCTGGTGCGATGTAACCATAGGAACCAGCAATAGAGGACATGCATTCTGAGGCACCATTGTTGTGGAAAAACTTGGCAAGCCCAAAATCAGCGACATGAGCCTCGTAATCAGAATCCAGGAGAATGTTATTAGATTTGACATCTCTGTGAATTATGGAAGGAGAGCAATCATGATGCAGATAGCACAATCCCTTGGCAGCTTCCACTGCAATCCTGTATCTTGATTCCCACTGCAAATGAGCACCTTTGTTTCCATGTAAGATTTCTCCAAGGCTTCCATTTGACATGTATTCGTATAACAAGAGATTTGTGTCTTTGTTGCACAGGTATCCTAGTAACCTGACAATATGCCTGTGCCTGATTTTCCCCAATGTCTGAATTTCAGCAGTGAATCCGTGGTCTCTTTGACCTGCACTATGCCCGATTAGCCGTTTGATGGCTACTTCGACCCCAGCAGGCATTGATCCCCTGTAGACAATTCCAGCACCGCCTTTGCCGATGATGTTTTCTTCCTTTAAACATTCCAGGACGTCTTCTGTGTTGAACTCAAGTTTCTGGAATGGAGTGAGCTTCCAGGCCCTGGATTTCTCAAAGTTTCGCAAGCGAATCTTCATCCAGACACAGGCAAAAATGAGCAACACAGTGAGAAGCGCCACCAGCGCGATAACAATTTTCGAAGTAGTTGTCATCAGGCCTGAGCGGGAGCCATGTCCTGAATTTGAAGCTGAAGCACAGATGCGAGCGTGGGGAGGACAGAGATTGGGATTTCCTTCAAAAGAGCGATTGGGGAAGAATTTTAACAGCCCATCTGTGGGTCTTACGCCAGTGAAATCATTATAAGACAAATCAAGACTCGTTAGTCCATTCATCAGCCCAAGTTCTCCCGGAATTTCACCAGTTAGTTGATTCCTGGAGAGATTCAGGGCATTCAAGACTTGAAGCGTGGTCAATTCCCTAGGAATCACCCCGTGCAAGTTATTTCGGCTCAAATCAAGATTCGTTAACTTGGAACATTGAGACAGGAACACTGGAATCTCACCTGTTAAGCCATTGCCTTCCAAATTCAAAACAGACAATTTCTTCAGATTTGAGATTTCTTCAGGCATGCCACCGACAAGCTGATTCATATCCAAGCTCAACGTCTGCAGCTCCTTCAAATTCCCAATCGCCGGAGGGATGTTTCCAGTTATCCGGTTGTTTGAAAGAATAAGACTCCCAAGCTTAACATTGCCAATTTCCTGGGGAAGATCACCGGTGAGGTAGTTGTCAGTGAGCTCAATCATGTCGAGCGAAGGCAAGTTGAACATCCCAGCCGGAATTGTCCCGTTGAGGAAATTTCGCATGGCCCGGAACTCAATCAGGGATTTACATTCCCCGAGTTTTTCAGGGATAGGACCAAGTAGGAAATTCTTCATCAAAATCAACATCTCCAGCTTGCCCCCCTTACATAAATCCCTGGGAATCATTCCAGTGATATGATTGGACGATATATCAAGCTGTTTTAACCTGCCATTGCTTCCAAGGTTCTCAGGCAACTCGAATGTGAATTCATTCTCCCAAATCTGAAGAACTTCCAGGTTCGGAAGGTCACCAACGTAAGACGGAACAGGGCCGTGAAATCGGTTATGAAACAAGTTCAACAAAGTTAAATTCTTGAGCGCAGAGTACTCCATGGGGATTTCTCCGGTGAGATTATTCAAGGAAACATCAAACGACATCAGACAAATACAACCAGAGAATTCCACGGGCAACAAACCGGTGAGATTGTTCTCCTGAAGGAACAGAGTGTCCATTTGCTTCAATTTTCCCAGGGTGGCCGGAATTTCACCAGTCAAATTACAGCCACCGAGGTCTAGGTGGCGGAGATTGCTCAGCGAGCCGAACTCCGGAGGAATGCCGCCGTCGTATTTGTTGTAGTATCCGAGAGAGAGGTTTTGAAGATTGCGAAGCCGACCCAAACCGGGCGGAATTCTCCCACTCAGCCCATTTCCGAACAGAAGCAAAATCTCCAGGGTCTGAAACTCGGCGTACTCTTCCGGGATACTCCCGTAAAAGAAATTTCCGCCGAGATTGAGCGTCCTGAGTTTCGGCAGCTTGACGAATTCCGTCGGAAGCAATCCAGTAAGACTATTGTCATAACAATCGAAAACTTCCAGCTCAGCCATTTTCATCACCAATTCTCCGTTTAACACCCCTTTAAAATCGTTGTGCGACAAGTACACAATCCTCAGGGAAGTCAGTTTGGACATCTCCGGTGGGATTGGGCCGGTGAGGTTGTCGGCGACGAGGCTCAGGTTCACGAGCTTGTCTAATAGGCCGATTTCCGGCGCAATGGTCCCGAAAAGTGGGACGCTGGTTATGTTCAGTGACGTCACCCGGGAGTTGTCGTCGCACGTGACGCCGGAGAAGGAGCAGTGAAGCGATCCGCCGCCGTCGCCGCCGGTCTTACTATCATCCCAGTCGTCAAGCCCGGCACCGCCGGGACCAATCAAGGAGGCTTTGAGAAACATGAGAACTTCCAAGTCCGAAAATGCATGACTAATAACAATAAGATGAAGATGGCAAACAAAAAGGAGGAGGAGATTAGTGGCAATTAGTTTGGACATGATGGTTTTGGTCTTGGAAAATTCTCTGTAGGAGAAAATTTGTACGAAATGGCACAAGGTAATGTATATATATATTGCAAATTTCCTGTTTTCAGTGATTATAGTCCAGAGTTTCTATAATGGAGGAGTAGGAAGGATGACGGAGATTTTATTTTTACTGAAGTGCAGAATTTTGGCAGAGAAAGGATTGGAAAGTGGACGATGAATCTTTTGAGTTTTCGTATATTATAAAAAATGCCTGCGATTCGACGGCGAGAGGGTACGTACACATCCATGTTTTTGGTGGTGACAGGGCGAAGATAACGTTCTCTTTTGTTTGTTTTTGTTTTTCTAATCCTATATTCTTCTCCCTCTCTCTGCTGTATTATTTTTATTTCGGAGCAGTTAAAAATTGTCAATGTTTTCTTTAACTTTCTCGTATTTGCAAAAATATACGAAGAAGTTTGCAGTTTTCAATATTGAATCCTTGCGTTTGTTTTTTCCTTTGTAAAATTAAAATTCATGTTAACTTCTGAAAGAGTTGTACAAATTCGCCTTTTATTATCAAATTGAGGAACTCAAATTATCATCATAATTTGTCTCTTGCTATCAAAATCCATATAACGTGGAATCATTTTTTCATCTAGAAAAATAAGAACCCTTATCATAAGATAGAATAATTAGACAATCTGTAATAACTAAGAACTAGTTCACTGGTTTTACATTTTTTACAGAATGTGTAGGTTCCTTCTTTCCATATCAGTTGAACATTACTTCACTTTTCTTATTTAACTATTTAATACAATGGTCTTACCAAACCGTTTATATTCTCAAACTTTTTAAATATACATATATCACATGCATGCTTTGCATGTGGCCCACCATGTTCAGACAAAAGTAAGTAAAAGTAGTATAAGTTATGGTTTCACATATGATCACAAATTAACTCTATGTTATGGGAGAGTTGATTCCGAGTATAAGTACACATATTTCGTTAGCACTTACAACTAATGGAGTTGCTCTAACAAGTAATAAGTCATTGTTTGTGTTCGTTCACATAATTTGATTTATTTTTTAGTATAAATTGTAGAATTTTCATATGTTTTATAGTTTTTGAGCAAAATATTGACACACTTAAAAGATAGTTTCCAACAGGAACTTTTGGCCAAGTTGATAAACACAAAATTTGATTGAGTGAAGAAGTGTAAAAATGAAAAGTTAGAAGGGTATGTTTTGGAATATGAACTGTGGGTCAAATTGGAAATGAATGCGGTCGTCCGTGCAAATTTGGGTGTTAGTAGGATTTGAGCTTCTGATTTTTTTTGGACCATGGAAAAGCCAAACCAATGGGGTTTTGATTGGGACCCAAAAAGGCCAGAACCCTCAAAGAGAGTCCATGTCTTTTCCTACACACACACTCTCTCTGACTTTCCCCATCTTCTTCTTCTTCTTTTTTTTTTGGTATAATTTTTGGCTGTGACTGAAAAGTCTACTCCCTCTCTACTCTACTGACCTCTTTTGTTTCCTTCTTTCTTTTTTATTTTTTTGACATATTTTGTTTCCTTCTTCATCCCCCAACTTTCTCCCCATTGTTTTACTTATCTATTCGCAGATGTTGTTCAACCAACATTCATGCGGCAATATAATCTAATTGAAATTTAAAATACAACGAACAACACATATAAAACGGTTCTTATTATTGACGAAATTTATAATATAATAACAAAACATATTCTATTAATATTTATTATAAAATATTTTAATTTCTCTTAAATTTTAGTTATCTTGTTTTTCTCAACTGAAAATAAATTCTTAAAAATACTTTATTATAATTGGAAGAACACATGAAATCAAAATGTTTTATTATGAGGACCAGAGGGAGTTTACGCACCAAATGTCGAATGTAGAGATAATGGACCATATATACAATAGTAGCAATTGATTCTTTGATATCTAGGTTTTAAATTTTAAGCAATTGTGATTCGAGAAGGAAGCATAGAAGCGTGGACTCGAATACTATTTGTAAAATAATGGGAATGAATAATTCTTCTTAGGGGGAGCATTTCAACGGTAGAGTAAAGTGTGTTTTTTGGGTTCTAACTTTATGCTAGTAGCGCATAATTGAAAGGGGGAAGTTAATGGTGGGCAAAAAAGCTTCGTCAAGAACTTAAAAATAAAAGATACTAATTCAGAAGCCGCAGAAATTGTGGTGAAGAAGGAAAAAGGTTGATTGTTGGCAAGGGAACTTATTCCACCTTTTTTTTTTTTTTTTTTTTAACAATCTTCTTCCCTGCAAACATTATAAATCCACTACCACAACACCGAACAAATTCGTATTCTGTTGTAAATAAAGGTCTGTTATGTCTGCCAGCAATTATTATTATTATTATTATTTTGGCTAATGTACACAAATTCAAAATTGTGCTATATATAGAGAAAGAGATGGGATGGTTATTGGGGAATAAGGAAAGATTGTGCAACACACCAAGCTGGATATGCATGCCAAAGGTTAAAGTTAAACAGTTAAAGTATCAAATTGGTTGAAAATTGTTCAATAATACTCCCTCCGTCACACAAAAATAGTCCACATTTAATTTTGAGTTTCGTACTATTTTTGGTAGGAGTACAAATTTGAAAACTCGATATGAACTATTCTTTTGAGACGGAAGTAGTATTAATTGTTGATGAATAAAATTTGGTTGAATTCTCAAATTTTTTAAAGCAGAATAACAAATATGATCATCACCTACAGAATTCACCTCTCACTCCGATTTGTAAGCTATTACAATGGGTGTGAATTTCCCCGTGGTTACAAAAAATAAAATGAAAATATGAAGCTGTATCTTCGGTAATAACTAACATAATACTGTTTCATACCACATTTATTATGGGAGTATTTATTTGTAAGAAGAATTTTGTTTTTTGAAAAAAATTTTACTAGTTTGAATCTTGATTAATTGTTAGAACAATTTAGGACATCAAATATTGTATATACTGTAGTATATAAAATTAATAAACTCTTATTAATTGAACAATGATTTTCGATTGATACAAAATATTACACAAAAAGGTGTAACAGAAAAACCCCAAATGCCCAAAACGACAGACAAGAATGCCTGAAGAGAAGAAAAAGTGAAACGATGGAGAACACCAGCGCAACAAAAAATATGGTGTGAAGCTTGAAAGAGAAGCTCACTAGGCCAACTGGTTCTCATAATCCATAGGAAATTGGAAAGGATAATAATACTACGAAAAAGCCATACAAATGTATAGGCCCTTAAGTAGGAGGAACTAGATAGACGTAGGAGCAGCATCATGAGCTACTTTTACTAGAAGTAGAACCCCAGCGTGAAAAGCCCATCCGCTTTTGGTCAGGGCCTTTGAAAAGATTGGAAACTGATAGAGAAGAATTTAGATGTGTGTGTGTGTGAGAGAGAGAGAGAGAGAGACAAGACAAAATGTCAGGCAGAACCAAGCCCAGTTGGCACACCCAGCCCGGTTCCCAACGTTAATTCTTCATCAGCTGAAATTGAAAAAGAAAGAAAAAGAAAAGCAGAGAAAGAAACATAACTCAATCTTAACTTCCCCAAGCAAAATGATGTTGAAGAAGAAAGGTAAGGGAGAAAGAATATTCAAAGCATTCCCAGCCATTGATGATTGATGATACATATCTTGAAATGAAATGAAATGAAATGGGGGAATTTTCCAAAGCAAATTTTGCAGGAGCCTATATCATAAAAAGACTGCACAAATTTGGTCACATCCTCATAGACTGCTCTACTACTACTATTAGAGTCTAGACTACTTGCAGTGTTGTGATGCTTTATTTATTTCTTTTTTTATTAGTTATCTGTGCTTTCAGACTAGCCTTAAAATCTGCTGAACTTTTGGTCTCAGCCTAGGTAAAGAGAGAGTTCCCTCCACCCCAGAAGGCGTTACTCTTCTCTCTGTTATCCAAAATGAACGAAGTTACATTCTATTATTGTATTTAATCCGGTCGTTAATATAAAGTATTTTGGTTTTATCATAGGTTTAATTTAAAGCATATTTTTAATTGGCGGAGAAACTTTAAAAATATATTTTCAAATTCGTTGTATTCTCTTAATTGTTATAAAATATTTTAAAAATTTTTTTGTCAATTAAAAATGCATACTAGATTAAACATAAAAGAAATCAAAATGCTTTAGATTAAGGACCGGGGGAGTATATTTGAAACGTTTCTTCATTTTGAGTTTTTTCATTGTGTGTTTGTTAAATGAGGCATATAAAAAATATAGAAAAGTGCATCTCAAAATTGGAAAAACACATGTAACTGTCTCCTTACGAAATTATTATCTCATCCTCATCAAAAAAAGAAAAAAGAAAAGAAGAAGAAGAAAATACCTTAATCTACTAACTGATTAAAGTTTGAACAAAATAGCCGATCGGCCTGTCCTTTGTAATTCTGGGCAGTAATCCATTTCAATATAGTATATACGAGTTCATGAATGGCTAGTTCCAATTACAACTAGTGTGAACTTTGCACTTTGCAGGTCCAATAAAAATGGAGTTCTAGTACCAGTGCCAGTGGCATCTGTTTAGGAAAGAATTTGCTTTGGGTAAAAACTAAAAACCTGAGTTTCACCACTCTATTATCCACACAATGAGCAAAAACTGGTGCAACCACACGAGTATGAAATTGAAAGGGGTAAGGACCATCGAACTGCACTATAAAAGCTTTCCTCTTTTAACATAAACACACTATAGCCTGACCGCCATGAGGAAAAGAGTTTGTCTTTTTGTCCAATGCAACTGTATGTATGCCTCAAGCTGAAGTTCTCCATTGCAGCTCAATCTGAATACGACCATTCTTTGAGTCAATCAAGTGGTATCTCTCGTTCATTCGCTTGTTCGCGACAACATCCGCCAGATATATATCCACATACCCCAGAGTTTCCTACAACAACAATTACGCATTCATCCATTATGTGCTCAGAAAAACATATATGAAGAGATGTTACAAGTATGACCGAATCAACAACGAATAATTTGCATTCACGGCTCCATATAATGTTAAGAAAACAATACTACATGAGAAGCAGCAAACACAATTACCTTGGGATGAAGTAGACCCATCCTTGAGGAAGTACTGACAACTTCAACATGAATCCTGTCTTCTGTTGGAGGTTCATCCAATGTAAACTGAAACTCCTCTTCCCATCTTGGATCTCTATTTTTCTTCACTGCCTGCAAAATGTTAAAACAAGTAGGCAAAACTCTTCAAGTTAAATCCCGTTAAGAAGGTAGAAAAAAATTACATATTTCTATCAACAATTCAATGAGGTCGATTTTTACCTTAGTTCTTTTCTCTTCTCCTCTAAAAAGCAATTTGACAGATGGATTTGTGTGGTGTTTGCCTTCCAAATCTTGTGCTTCATGGATAATTACAACAAGTAAGCCACCACCTTCGGGAGTTCCATCAGGAGCCTTTTGCATTGCACCCGAGTCCTCGATATTAGTTGGCGTTTCATCATCTTTAAAGGGTTTGTACACAACATCAAGAATGAGCTGCCCACGAGACTTCTCGTTCTGAGGGTCATCCGGGTTCAGATTCTTCAGAAGATCAAGCGTCAAAGTCTTGGGCTCATCAGGGTCAAGCTCATTGAGCCGGACAACATTTACACCCATCTTATCATGTACACCAACCTATTGAAAACAGAAAACATACTGGCTTAAGTAAAAAAACAACAAAATACACAAATCATTCTAAAAATGGTTTTTAATTTCCTCCAACTATTTAGAAACACGATGCTTCGCCACCAATGTACCCAATTCACTATAAGATTATAAAAAAGAATATATGTGAAACGTAGGAGTCAAGATACTATAAATAGTTGAATTTGTGATGGTCAAGATAAAAGAAAAGACCTGCTCCCAATCATAGACAGAGACATCCAGTACTTGAGATTGTGGATCCTTCACAACAAAATTAAATTCCTCATTCCATTCAGGGTTCAAATTCTTATGTTTCACAGTTGTCTTCTTTGACGGGAGTTTGTCTTCACTGAGTTTTAGCTTCACGTAAGGATCTGAAGCACCCAAAAGATCTTTCTTCTTAAGCTTCAGAGCCCTCAAAACCTTCACGGTTAGAATACCGACAGGTTTCTGCATTGCTCTGACAGAGGGAAATATTTGTATCATTAAAGACTAGTTGTGCATGAATGTTCTTTGCATCTGAAATCAACTCTACACGGACAAACTTACTTAGAAGGATCCAGTACTTGTACTTCAAGTGTTTTTGGCCACAAATACATATTAGCAACCTGATCCTTGATAAGCTCCTGGTGTAAAAATATGGAAGCAATTACATGGAAATTAACATTTGAAGAAAAAAATTAAGCAGCATTTTAGAAATCAATTGATCACGAAAGTTTGAGCAACTTTGTGGGTGTTTTGGGGGAGGAAAAGTAAATACCACAACACACTGTGGTTGAAGATCGAGGAAAGAACAGCAAAATCAGATGCTGAAGGATGCAACAAAGAGTAGAAATCTAAGGAGAAACAGGATCGCCCTCATTATATTGAAACAAACTCAACGTAATAAAAGAGAGATAAACAGAAATCACATCATTTCATACCTGAACAAACCTGTACAGACCAGGTATAGACATAGCATCCGCACCCAGCAATTTTAACCCAAAATCAACATGGGGCTGCAAAAAAGAGCAACTTTGTGAAGAAACCAGTTTGAAGCCTTCGATTCATCAGTTTAAGAAACAAGCAGTCACATGAGAGGAATTATTAATCATAAAACAAGTGCTAATCCAACAGTGTTCTTTGTAATTGGAATAGAGCCAATCTTATGGATTTGCATAAGAGGAATAGAATTGTAATTCGCCATGAAAATATAAAGTTAGACGTGCAGCATGCGCATCAATGGAGTTAACTCAACACAATGAAGGATGAAATTGACCATTCATAGAGACATAACCATAGTAAATCATTTCCAAATATTTACACTATCCTTCTCATGAAACTGTAGTTATTTGTGGCTTTAGGAAAGTTCATTAGCATTGGCCAAAGAACCAGCAAAATACACACCATGGTTGTATTAACAAAGAAGATCACCATTGCCAATTTAATATCTTTAAACCCACCTTCTCCATGAGAGAAACAAGAATTTTTGCGAAACATGGGAAGCTTGGAACAAGTGGCTTCAGTGTGATGCGTGGGGAAGCAAATACTTGCAAGTCGAGAACCTGAATACTCAAAGAACAAATCACAAAAATAAAAATACTGGAACGGAGACATGTTAAAGGCAACTAGATTGCAATTGAAGTCTGTCCATTTAGAATGTTGCGGCCACCATCGTGAGAAATGGGCACAATAAGAGACCTCTTTTTATTGACAGGTGTAACAAAAATGCAAACTGAATGAGATAGCATCCAAGGGACTAAATTACAGACTATCATATAGATTCCACAATACAAGAGAACAGAGATGAAGAAGTCAATGCCTGAACAGTGGCTCGCAATCCAAATGCCTTAACAGCAATGATTATGTTTGGGTTGCCAGCCCATTTCAAGGCAGGTTCCATAATCAACTCTTTCTCTTCAGTGGAGTAGACTTTCATGCCTGAATATGGAATATGAAGAATCATCATCTATCGTGACATATTGGAAAGAAAAGGAAGTACTCACAAAATGCAAAGAGACTTCTTTGATGTTCAAAATGCACTGAGTGGATGCAAGATGTAAAGTAACTTAGTGGGCATACGAGACTTCTGAATTTCGAACAGCCATAAGCCATATTTTCAGGAAAGAAAATCATGCACAGAATAAGTTGTCTGTTAGTCTAATTGTAATATTATCCCGACCATCAACAAGACTAAACCTCTAATTCTTGGGATCTTCATACTTTAATGTTCTGGTTTCACGGATTATCAGTTCTCAACAAATAAGATAAAGCCACAATTCACTTTTAAGGAAATGCTTCCTGATTTGAAAGCACAACTATAAGGTGCTACATACACTGAGTCTAGCAGGATAAAGAAAGAAGACAGTTTAAGATCTTCACAAATTGATCAATAGAAATGAATAATATGACTTAAAAATAGTGAGAAATATGATGCAAAATATAACTAGACCTTGGAATGTAGGAGGCAAGCTGCCCAATGTCAGTGTCTGAAACTCAACCGATTCGATCTTGTACTTAGGGATTTGTTCTGCTATGATCGGCTCTGCTATTTTCTTTGCAGTGTTGCAAATAGCCTGATGTGAATTCAGATTGTCAGAAGACAATCCAGAAAAGCACCCAAAAAAAAGAAGTGACCACTACAAAATCCATAAGCAAGCAAGTAAACAAGTACGAACCTTATCCAAATAAGGCCACATATTCTCAATAAACTTGTTAAGCCAATCAAGCTGCAACGAGAAGAAATATTAAACAAGTTAAAGAAACCCCGTTTCCTGTATCAAGAGAACTTGACAATTGAATATTTGAAACCAGTAAAAACTTAACACACCCGATCATAATCTGGATTTTTGACCCAAAGGGGTATCTCTGGGAGAAGTTTTTGGAGATTCTCAGACTCTTGCTCAGCCAGGGGACGAATATCTGGATCCTGTACAACATGGTTATACATTGAAATCCATATCAAATTAGGTTCTACACGAGGGCCTAATTACTCTTGCTCAATCGCCAAATGAACATTGAAAATACTAGCTTCTTCAGGCAATTCAAGGTAATTGGAATTCAAGATAAAGGATACTGCACACTTTCACTAAATTCTTCTTTCTACACATACGCAAATTGTTCAAATATTCCAGACAGCCAACAACTGCCCAATCTCGAGTGATAATCAGAAGAAGAAAGTTCACCAAGGAATCAACAAAACCAAAAAACCCAGAAACAGATTGCTTCGGAATCCCATCCCTTCATGTGCAACAGGAAAATCCAAAATGTCAAATAGCGTAACTCCATTGCGGAATCAGAACTTCAACCCACAGAGAAGAATATGAATTATACAGCATGAAAATGCAGAATGTGTAAAGAACAGGGAAAAAAAATTTTGTTGTACCTTAACATCACTGGGTTGTACGTAGATGAAGAGAAAATATCCAATCACAAGCCCAATGGTGATTCCAATCCCAAAGCCAAAAACACCCATAAACGTGCTGATTATACCCATATCAAATTCTCAATCTCAATCCCCGAAATTGAACAGAATTTTCTCACAAAGGTGGCACAGACACTGCTACTTCAGAAAATGGCCGAAAATTGTGATCGCCACTAATAACACTGTAAAGTGGAAAGGGCCAAAAAAAATTTAACGCCCCCCAAAGAGGAACAATTTATATATGCACCAAAAAAACTCAACAGAAAGTAGACAAAAAGTGAATCCCAGGAGTCTTGACATGGCAGTAATGACTGGGAGTTACGATTCACATGACGCGAAAAAGGAAGGGGAAAAAAAAGAATAACTGAATTCCGGAGAAAATGTAAGAATGGTGGAAGAAACAATAATTCAGTGTGCGAAGGAAACAAAGCAAATGGCAATAAAAGACATTAATGGTGGCCCCCTTTCTGAATCAAACCGAAACCCCGTTTGGGATTTTTGATCCACACATAACGGCTGTGCAGTGCCTGAGGAATGATTCAATGTAGCGCGCCTTACTGGCGTAGGGAACTGATCACATACTTGTCGGTAAAGCTTTCAATCAGTGCCTTTTTCCATTTGGGAATTTATTTTTTCTTCCAAATTTCGGCCCAAATTTTTTAAGTAGTGTGAATTTTGGTATCCATAGTTGAAATATACTCTAATAGTATATGGTCTTCGGAGTTCACTTTTAAGATTTTGATATTTGTGTTCAATTAAAATGTAAAGGCACAAATTAGATTGTTAACTCACTAATTAATCAATAAATATGGTAAAACTAAAAAATGTTTTGAGATGGAATTTCAACCATTGTCCCTTTTAAATATAACCTTATTATGTGAAATTTGTTGAACTCCTTGGCTTCTAAATTGATGATTTAATTTGCTCGTATAACTTTAAATGGCACCAGAATGAGAGGGCTGGAAATGATGGTTAGAGATTTTGGCTGCATGATATTTTTTATTAAATGATCATATAACTCTATATTGCATCGGATTGAGAGGGTTGGAAATGATGGTTTGGAGTTTAGAGCGCATGATCTTTATATTATCACAAAAGGTGGATTGTGATAATGCTCGGATCATCCAATTTTATGATGAAAAGAACACTGATTTGCATAAAAGGAATGATGACGTTTAAAATGTAAAGGACTAAAGTGGCAATTTAAACAATAAGGGAAGAAAGTTGCATAATTCTTATGTTGTTTTTCCTCCCCCTAATTTGAGAAGTGTTTTTTCAGGAAAATATCTGGCATTGTACAATGTGGGACCTGTTGTGCTCAATTTAGTAACAATTCAATTGGTCCACCTTGCTCAGAGAGAGTATCTGTCTTTCTTATTTGATTCGATAGAGAGATGAAGAAGATAAGATGAGAATTGTTATAAATTTCTAACCTAAGACTTTGGATTCCATTTTGGGTTAGTTTTCAGCGGGACACTATCAATATTAATTAGTATTTGTCTAAACCGTTCACCTTCTGCCATTTATTAGAACTTGTTTCCTTTTTAAGACAAATTAATTTTGCTTTTTTTCTTTTTTTAATACTCCTTTCAAAATTATCGACCAGTATAAATCTTCAATTTTAGCATAAATTGAACTAAAAATAAAAATATAAACTAAAAAATAATTTTAAAACATCGGCGGCAATATCTTTATATTGGAAACCCTCAAAATAATGAAAATAATTATGGCTCAAATCTGTTGTGGAGAATATGGGCCTATCATGGACACTTGCCTTTATATTTTGTTTTAGTTTACACTTTACAAACAGCTTAGGGCAATGCCTCAATTCTTGCTGTTAGCACAGCCCCATATATATTTTTTTTCTGGAGACTAACCCGTATTTTAAGCCCACACAAAAGTGCCGTGAGAGTGTGACCTGAGAAATGAGATTAACACAATCAGCTGGAAGACACTCAGTTGATAATTGATACAATACGGATGAAAGAGTGAATCAAACGATTTGAAATTTTGAATTCATATTACATCTTATTTGTACTCCCTCTGTCCTTGTTATAAAATATTTTAATTTTGTCTTACGTTTCACTTAAGATGTCTTTTTTAATTGGAATAAAAATCTTCAAAACATTTCATAATAATTAGGAGAACACAACGAATGTGAAAATATATTTTTAAAGTTTTTTTTTTCAAATTAAAAAAATATCTTAAGTTAAACGTAGAACGAAATCAAAATGTCTTATAATAAGGACTGGAGTACTTTGTAGCCGGGTGTAACTGGTCATCATATTTGCGTTAGAATGATATTCGATCAAAGAGTCTATAAGAAAACTTGAAAGTTATGTTGTTTCTGCGCAAATGATCTTTACTGTGTATAATCGAAATAATCAATTACCACAATGTCACTAATTCACCACGCACAACGGGAGGAAAACAAAAAAGGTCATAAAAATTGCCGCATATTAATCACTAGCAAACCAAATTTCATTACTTTTAGATTCAGCAGCTTCGGACAAATGACAAACTCCATAAGTTAACCACAAATTAATTAGAATCTCAGTGTTAATTAATTTCCGAATAGCATAAATCCAAGGGGACACTTGGGCAGACAGTCCAGGAAACATGGCTGATCAACATCTCCACCGTTTCTTCGACAATAGAATTTGCAGGCTTGATCGCAAAACGCCCGGCAGTTCTCATCCCCGTCCCGGCATCGGTTTGGTTTGACCGCCGATTCCTCCTTCGTACCTGCTGTTTCATTCATTTATTTCATTTTTTGAAAACCACTACAAGGCTAATAGTACGTATTATTTATTTCACAATTAGTTATATATACACACCCTAATATTAAATCTTACTCTAGTGGTAATGGAGAGTAGTAGTAGTAGTAATACCTGCAGCTTTAACTTGGTGTTTTGGCATAGCCACCATCACCAACATTATCATAGCAACCGTAAGAACCCCTTTTCCCATGTTTCTTTTCTTGTAATCTTCTTTTGTTTTTGTACTTGTCAAATGTATGAACTATGAACTTACTTTATCCCCTCCCAAATGTATTTATAGAGGCCCTTTTTACATTACGTACGAATCGGATCATATAGTCCCCTATTATTCGCCACTTTTAGTATAAATGCACATAAAGTTTTTTTTTTTTTACATATTTGCAGGTGTCCATCGTCGATAACAGTGACTAATCTCCCTCACTAAAATGTAGTCACCTTGATAAGTGAGACAGCTGGCCAAAATATTTAAAATTGCTTCATGTCAATAACGAGGTTCGAACCTTCGACCTTTGGTTAAAGGTAGAGGAGTCCCTTCTATTTTACCAGAACCAGTTTGGTTCAATGCGTATAAAGTTGAGTTGTGATTTTGTCACACATGTGGTGTGGAGAAGTAGTAACTTTACTGCAATGAACTCTCTTTTTTGATGCCAAATTGCCTACTAATCTGGAAGATTATGATGTTGTATTGTGGGTTGTTCGAATAATGTTCGTTTTACAGACTGGAGGACGTGTATTGTCTCTCAAACTTAGGCTTTAATGTTGGGCTAATTCCTCCGGCCATTTAAAGGGATTGGAAATAATGTTAAAAGGCTCAAATAAGCAAGGCCCATGATTCCACTCCACTCTGAAAATAGATTAATTCGACAGCATGAGCACCATACAGGATTACGGTCCATACGTACAAGGAGGCAGAAGAATAATCGAGAGTATGTTTTAGATTAACAAAAGACGCAAAAATGTAAATGTCATCTACAGAGACATCCTTTCTTCATCCTCATTTTGTACTTGTAGGCTGTAGCACATAGACTGGGATTAGGACTTTGACTCTCCTAAATATGGTATTACCTCTGTCCTAAAAAATAGTCCACATTAAGTTTTTAAATTTGTATTAAAAACAGTACAAAATTTAAAACTCAATATGAACTATTTTTTTGGGACGGAGGGAGTATTTGTTTATAGAAGATTTTGGAGCAAGAAGCAATAAAATAAAGACTTTGGTATCTCCAGTACACAAAAGTTGCTGCTGCATGTGCTCAAAGAAATATGATAACAAAAGTAATGAGAAAACTCAACAAATTTTCTTTATCTTGGTAAAAGTAATTTAGGCATATTGCATTCACGAGATATTTCTCGTTGGGGGTTCGTCCCTTTCCTTTGAAGCTCGGAAAGTATTATGCTAATTTATAATGAAGAAATTCAGAAAAGTAAAACAAGCAAAATGAATCCTTTGTCCCCGTACTGTTACTTGTCATTGCAAATCAAATTAAGCAATGTCCCTTTGATTCTGTTGAGAATGTGTAACATTATAACTTCATAAGTACTACAGCAAACTCTTTACACTATTTTTGAAGTATATATTAATATTTCAATTTTTAACCCTCGAATTTTGTAACTGAATACATGAAGTAATAAGTTCAGAGAGGCAGCATGAATTGGACTGCATGATATAGTTATAGTTACTATAACTAGTCAAGTTTACGTAGTTACCATTAATGATTTTTCGATTGTAAGTTTGTAACCATAACCCTAATTCTGCGCGCGCGCACACACACACATATATATATATATATGTATATATATATTACATACGTTGCCAACATAGAAGGACAGCTTTTACCGTCGACGAGTCTATATCCTAGATATGGATCGGCTCAATCACCCGTCTAAGGTCCAACCGACTATGACGTCGGTGGTTTAATATTACTAAACCTAGTAATATTCAGATACTTTTAAGGCCTATAAATAAGGATGATTACTCCACAATTGAGGTACGCTGTTTCTAGTACCAATTCACATATACATATTATTTCGCACCCTATTTTTTAACTTAAACTTCGGAGTGTCTACTCTCGGGAGGCCCTAAGACTCTGTTTTATAAGAAATCCTAATCGGAATTCCATCACCAGCCCGGAGGCACAATTCCAGGCATCGTCATAATTCATGCCGCCTCTCTGAACTCTTTATGATGAGAGTTTGAGATACAATTGTAGTTGTATTGCTCCGGGTTTTAGGATCTTAATTTTCATGATAAAAATCACTCATAAAACTTTTAATCGTAACATCGTTCCATTCATAGTACATGAGATTTTTTTTGAGAAGAAAGTAATAACTCATTTTCCTGGTAGAAAAGAATTATATTCATCGATGGGGATCAGGTTGCCAACCATGCATGACTGCTTAATTTTAGCCTTTTCTTGTTCTAAATTTTAAAATAAGGGTTTTTAGTTAAGTACATAGCTACTTTTGTTGACGTCATGCATGGCGCCATGTCATAATATTTTTAACATGCTATCAATAATTACACCATATTTTAAGCTAAGCCCGTATTAATAATAATGTTCTCCATCGGGTACACAAAGTTGCGTATCACCACTCCTTGACAGCCTAACTTCATGCTTTATCTCAATATTTTAATATAAAACCTGACTTTCTATGGAAACACGTTTCATTCGGTATTGTTAATTTTTCCTAAAAAGGATATTGTTGATTATTTAGAAAATGTCTTTGATTGTCCAAGCGTCACTTCCTACCATATTTTAGACTGTTTGGCTTGGTGTTGTCATTTTATCCCTACACAATTATCTCACTTTGTTTTACACTAGTATTGTGCTTCGAAATCGTGTTATTTTGGATTAATTTATAATTCAATTGTTATCCTTTCTCACACAAAATGATGGTGTTCTAATTTGGCACCAAGCTGGTGCGTAAAAAAGTATGGGCAATAGGAGTTTAAAAAACCTTAAAAACATAAGATCCAATTATAAATAATACTTTTTTTGTCCCAAAATTATCGTACAATTTGAATTTTCAATTTTGGTTTAATTTATGTTGAAATTAAAAATTTAGATTGGACAATAATTTTAAAACGAAAAGAGAATTTTTTTTTTAATGGAAACCCTAAAATCTTGAGGATATAGTGATTCGAACAATATCAAACATTTAAGCACGTACTTCATTCCGTGACTCGATTCGTTGTGCTTCCATCGTGGTCCTTTGTCAATGGAGTCTTAAAATTTGCTGCAAATTAAGTTAGATTTCCAACGTAACTGCTGCAAGATGCAAGATCACTTCAATCCCTAGAACATGCATGCAGCTGCCTTTTTTGAAATTAATTAACGTTTTTCTTATGCACAAAGTCGAAGGAATTGGGCTGTCATGGAGTTGGTCGGTGGATTTCCAAATGGAGTTGTGGTTCAGCGCAATCAGTATCACAAACAATTAATAAATTCATGAGTTGCGACCAATTCATTATAACAGTAGCCCTGATTTCGTTAACCACAAAATCTGGTGATTCTGGATCCCATTCTGTAACAAGCTCGAATTCGATAATTGATCGACAAATTAATTAAGCTTATAAATTCAAAAAGCGGCTGACAAACTGCATGCAATTCCCCGACATAATTTGACAAATTAAAATGTACCCTAAATCAACTTTAAATAGCAACACCAGACTCGATGCGCGCCGACCTCTAAAAAAAAGTAATGTTTTTAATACTCCCTCTGTCCTAAAATTATTGTCCAGTTTGAAATTTCAGTTTTAGTACAATTTGAACTAAAAATAAAAATTTCAAACTGGACAATAATTATGGGACGGAGGGAGTATATTTCTTCCTTCCCAATTTTTGTTGCGCTAAATCAATACAATAAATTAATTTTTTTTTAGGACAACAAGAGTATTTTGTTTTTAAAACAGAGGCAAGCATAATTTCACGTATTCACTCACTGTTCTACTGTTACTAGTCTAGTTCTAGCTAGGTTTTCTTTTCTTTTTTTTTCTTTTCCGCGTGTTCATTTTAGTTTTCCTTAATAAGGATTGAGTCAAGTAGGGTTTCAAAATTTTTTTGGGCAAATGGTCAGCATCATCATATATGGCGAAACAACAGGAAAAGGAAGGGGGAATCCTGGGGCCTTCCTGGCAAACCAACCAAATTCAAGAGTCGGCTGCAGGCTATCTGGGCAATGCATACTAAACACTAGATACTCTTAAGACTTTTTTCTGTGGTAGTATTACGTCTGGCTGAAAATGTTCTCCCACACACGCAATATAAATTGATCTCTGTCTTAAAATAAGAGTCACAATGATACAAAAATTAATTTTTATTTTAGGTCAGAAAGAATACTTTTTAGTCTTGTTTTGAATTCAATCAGAAAGAATTAAAATACTCTCTCTATTCCAAAAAATAATCTTATTTTAGTACAAATCTTAAGACTCAATTTTTTACTACATATTTCATTTCAGAAAAATATTCCACATTGAGTTAAAATTTGTACTAAAAATAATAAAAATTTTAACATGCAATATAGATTTTTTTAGGGCAAAGGTATTTTTTTTTTGAGACAGTTATAATCTTAATTTATTAAGTGTGCGTGGTTCCTGAAACCCTGTTAATCTCGCTTATGTATGAACGTACGTAGCCAGGGGGAGCTATACAATACTATCTCTTCGACCCTTCACAATTCACATGCAAAAATCTCAGTTGTAGCATGTTTATGAACGATCCCTACTTATTCGTCGCATAAACAGTTTTCAAAATGAATTATTTTTTGGAAAAACAAAAATAAATGCTTTTGCATGTTCGGAATCGCGTCTCATGGCCGTTATTGTTCAATTCACACTTCGCCTTTCCAAATTTTAAGAGTATATATAAAACCACACCACAAAGTTGCATTTCCAGTAGCATGGGCACAAGTAACATATGCCGTATGGTAGTGGTTAACACTACAATTTAAACTTTTTGTGGATTCGTCGTTGTGTTTTTTTTTTCCCATGCATTAATCCCCTCCAGACTTCGTCTCCCAGTGTAAACTTCAACCGAAAGGGTAATCAATTGAACAAAAGAAGTACGAAAATGAAAGATCGAATTCACCAAAGAAAATTTATCATGAGAGATCCATTTCAATAATGGTCCAGACCAACGCATTACCTGGTCTATTAAAAGGGGTATGACTTCATTTATACCCCCAAAAAAGTCTGAGTACTGATCATATTTGACTGTTTTTCGAAACATAAATGTGATGAAAATGGCGTACGTACATTATGAACGACGTTGTTATACGTTACTTTAATTTTGAGTTAAACATACCATACGTAATTTTGAAAATATCAGTATATTTACTGATATTAATGGAAAGTTAAGTTTGGTTTGAGTGGTTGTCACTCTTAACATTAGGGGCCTTTCTCTCTCCCTCTACTTGGTCTCTCTCCCTTCTCTCTAAGTCTCAAAAAAAATTTCTTCCCTTTTTCTCCCATCCACTATTAATGGGGATGGGGGAGCTCAAATTTATGTTGCTTCTTTTTTGTTTTTGGGATTTTGCTCTCCCTTCGGGGAGTTTCGCTCGCCCTTTGATGGGTGTCCGGTTTCTCTGATTGGAGATCTTGAATCCTCTTTCTTAGGAGATTTTATTGATTATTTTGTTGTTTTTAGGTAATTTCTCAACAGATCTGATGAAAAAAGTATAGATCCAAGTAGCACCGAAGAAGAAATTATGATATAGAGAAAATCATAGAGTCAAAGGTATAAAGATGAAGGGAAATCTCCAGATCTAGAACGTTTAGGTTTGATGGATAGATTTACCATTGTGTTGGAACTTTATTAGATTGGTGTTGGAACTTTATCCTATAGATTAATTCTCTCTGTATTATTCATTTTTAGTAGATCTGTTTGAAATTCTATGCTTTAGTTATCAGAGAAATTGTTTCAATCTGTCGAATTTAGCCTTCTCAACACTTGTATACAGATGGTGGCACATCTACTCCTCTGTGGGTTGAGAAGTCGTGTTTGACAGATTGCATTAGTTCAATCGTCGGATTGTGTAGTTCAATCCTGTATCGTACTGCTCAACCGTATGGTTGATTTACATTTCTTTTAATATTAAATATGATTGTCGTTTTTGACAAAAAAAAGTATATTTACTGATATTTAACGCTCCGTCATCATATGACGGATTCTAAATTGTACAGGGTAAGTCTTAAGTACTGTCCTGATAATATTTCTTTTTATTTATAAATTTCTCAGGTACCGACCTGGTTTTACTAAAAAAAAAGAAAACATATCATACGTAATAGTTTTGGTCAAGGATTCATATGGACCGTATCATACATAATTCTTATTAGTACAATTACAATTCACGAACATCGAATAATAGTAACTGCTAGAATATCGATAAAATCATGTAATCATCGCAACGAAACTACAAAATCTTCCAAACTAAAGTCGCTAATGTATTTGCCTTAAAAAGAAAAAAAATTTGAATTTCAACCATAGCAAATGTTCAATATATCGCCAATGAGGAGTTGGTTCAGTGGTAAAACCACCCTTGCTCTAAGAGGAGGTCATGAGTTTAATCCCCTACACTAACAAAAAGTGAGGAGTTGGCTCTTTCCTTACCTATTGGCACCTCTAGGGGCTTATTATGGCTAACCCACTAATAAACTCCCGATTTCGCACCTGAGCTTGTTATCCCGAACTTGCCTAGGATAGTTTACCTCCTATTGTGATTTACAGTCTATTACGGTGGGTGTGGGTTTACCCATCTCTGGTGGGGTTCCCGACATTACCAAAAAAAAAAGTTCACTATATCTCTATTCTCTCTTGTTCTAACTAGCTTTGGTAGAGGCGAAAAATTGAAATGAAAAACGGATGGGCTAACGGTGATAACAACAAGAAACTAAACCAATTAATATAAGTATCAAATTAGTAAAATATTATATTAGTCAAACAAACGATAGTGATATATGATACATATATTTATATATATATATTGATATAATTTTTACAAACACTTAGACTACTAAAAATTACTGAAAAAGTTTTACGTATACATTTCTCTTTTCGCTCGTCTATCTTATACTTAGAAAATTTCTTGGCTGTAAACCTGCATATTTAGCACATTTTGTGCTGTTAATAGGGATGGAAATCAAGTCGCCCGGTTGATACCTCTTTAATCACTGAGTTCTTCCCTCTTAGCTGATTCATATAGTTAATTTTCCGTAATGGGATGAAGTTTTTTTGGTGGTTGCCAACGTACTAATGTAGTATTGGGATTAATCTTGTAGAATACTTTCCTTGTATGAAAGGATAGGATAAGATAAGATTATTTCCTTCTATATTGTTGTTGTATTGGTCTATATATATGACCTAAACCTTGTACTATTATCACATAATGGAATCATCATTCTATACACCGTTTTACATGTAGCGAAAAAAAAAAAGAGAAGAGAAAAGAAAGAGTAATTGGTTAATTTCCAAGACGCACGCACGCACGTGATATCATCACGGACACGAAAGAAGAAGAAAGGGAAGCAACGAATGAGAAGAAGGAAAAGGAATAAGCAGACACGTGTACGGAGAAGATGCGACGATGATACTCTGTGAGAGTAGCACAATATCGGGGAACACGAGGCAAACCTACAAACAAACAGTCATAATCTGCTCCCAACGGCCAATTTTCTTAAAAGAGGAAAGAAATGAATCCAACGGTCCCCATCAAATGGGCGGTTGCCGCCCTCCCCCAGTATCCAATGACTTCCACTGTTTTATTGTCCTCAGTTCCACCCCTTTTCTTTTTCTTTTTTTTTTTTTTTAATTTCTTTCTTTTCTTTTGGTTGGTTATAAAAACTAACAAAAAACTCATTCTAGCTAAGAATATAAAATGCTGGCAATAATATCTCCAACAACTGAATCTTCTTGTCAGGAAAAAAAAAGTAAATAAATTCTGTTTTTTTATGCGTTAAGTGAAATTAAAAAAATTACATTGGTATTTAATATTATCAATTTGGTATTTAATTTTAGCTATCCTTTGGTATGAAGCGGTCCTCTTTGTTCAATTGGACGGTGGACTTGCTACTGTTGTCGGCATATTAGGCTGAAAATACTTTTCCTTACGTATTATTTTAATATTAACGGAATTTACTAGTTCAAATACTACTTATTTAATTTTTTTTAAAAATATTTTGGTATAGCCGCTGCAGGGTCGATTCAGCTTTATATAAACAAACTCCATTTCTGGCCATTTTCTAATGTTTAAGTCAGTAGTCCACCAGAGGAAGTGTGGTTCATGATTCCCTTCATTTCTCTGAAAATCGAGCTACTCTCGATCAACCCTTTCTGGGTTCTTCTTCCAAATTAATCCTTCTCTCTCTTTTCTTTCTTTGCTTTCCTTTTTTTTTCCCCCCCCTAATTATAAATATATATAAATTCTGGCTTGATTAATCTTTGTTGTGTAAAGTAAAAGATCAGGAAAAAAAAAAAAAGTAACACAAAAAGAAACGTGGGAATTTGTGATCATCTCAATATCTCATGAATGAGATTTGAAAGAAATCCATTTTAATGGTGTTTGTTTTCATGTTTCAGAAAAATATCAAATTTTTTTTTCCAGTTCAAGGCTCTATAGCTAGCTATATTACTTTAATTTCCTGTAATTGTATAATACTTGTCTGATGTTTATACATCTTTGATTCTCTAAACTTATGTGTAAATTCTTGGAATCTTCCTTTTGGTACCAAAATTTGTTCGATATCTAGTCTACATAATTAGATTATACAGAAGTGAAATCAAGAAAAGAAAGGTTTCTTCTTCATCCGGGCTTTTACATTGATCCAATCAATATTTTTTTTCCAGTTTGAGATCATAAAAGTTCATTCATTGTAGAGTAATTCTCTCCAATCAAGTCTCATCAATGGATGCAGCAATCATGTTTCATTCTTCATCATCACCAGACCAACAACCAATCTCTCCTTACAAAACAACCCACAAAAAAGGAGCTGCTTCTTCAGGCAACAACAACGGTGGTAATCTTCGCCGCCTTTCCTCCATCTCAAGACCTTCTGAAAACTTCATTCCTCCATTAAACTTCCATAACTCCTCCAACCCTTCTACAGGTCTTTTACCTCCTCCCACCACCCCCACTCATCAGCTTCTTCTACCTACTTTTCATAATTCATATCCTCCATTTTCAATCCAAAAAAGACAACCACCTCTTCTTCCCCTTCCCATTTCTCCTACAAAACCAAACTTACCAACCCAGAGAATCCAGAGGGGCCTTTCTTTGCCTCTTCCTTCCACCACCACCAATAACAGAAAAGCCCACCACAACAACAAAGTTCACATCACACCCCCCAAGAAATCTAAGTCCATCATTACTCATAAACGTCCTTCTGGGCCTGACCCAAAGGATCTTCCTAAGGATATTGTTCCAAAGACGTTTACTTTCTTATCATCAGGTGGTGGTAATCATGGGCTTCTGGAGCTGAAGCTGGTTGACGAGTTTTCAGGGTCAGTGGCTTTCAGTACTATTTCTCCTCCCCCAAGCAGCTTGCCTTTGCCCACGTTTTCATTGAGGCCTAAGCTCAGCTGCAACGCCGCAGCCGCCGCCGCAGCCGGTGGTGGTGGTGGAGCAATCGATGCCGGAGCAACGGACAATCTGTGCCGACTCCTCCGTCTTCGGTGAAGGGATCGAAGCTCTAGCTACTGTTGCATTAGTTTACTTTTGTTATTTTTGGTTCTATACCAATATAATTATTATTAGTATTGGTTATTGGTAAGTATATGCTTTAAATATACTCTAAAAATAATTGAAAGGTTAAAAAAACCAAAGGGGCTGTTATTGCTCTTATGGTTTTATATAGTGTTTTATGTTAATGTTGTAATCTGATGCTTCCCCGCATGTTTTTGAAAGAATGGGGAGCAGAAGATGTAGTAGAAGAAAATATAGAGATTGCTTGTTTTCATTTTTTTTCCCCTTCTTGTTTTAGTTAGTTTTGTTTAATTTGTAATATTGAGAAGGACTTATTGCAAAAATAATTAAGATTTCTTAGTCATTTTGAACTAGGATTAGTATAGTGTTGAGCACATAGCAATTTAGTAATCCATTTAATCTTCAAAATTCTCGAGCCATATTATATCTGAAAAAAAAAATTTGACGATAGAAACTCTAAAATATCGACTGATACTATATATTAGATTAAAATTGAACAAATTTCTTTATCTCGATTAAATGAATTTAACAATATAAATTAGTAGAGAGGAAGTTTATGTATTGAATTGACCTTTTTTTCTACACAATATGTTAAAATACTATAAAAACTAATGAATCTTAAAAATTATTTTCTCACATTAAAAACTTAGGGTAAAAAATTGAAAAGCTAAAATCGTTAAATACACAATCACAACGTATAAAAATGAAATAAAACTGTATATATCTTGCGTCGAATTTATTGTCAATTTCAAATGGCCGACGAAAATCTCGACGCAAGAAATTTATTAAGAATTCGCATTTGCAAAACTTGTCTTCCATACAATTTACCAAAAATATTTTTTTCCTTACTATTTTAGGGATGTTTACTAAACCACGAATGTAGTCAACACAATGATTTTTCTTTTCTAGATTATTACTTTTATTTTCTATTACCAGGGCCATAAATATGTACTAGTACATATCTTGCTCGAAAATTTTCAAAACTTCACATAAAATATTAAGAGGAAAATTCAGTAATTAATTTAATCTTCAAAACTCTTAAACCATATTATAAATGAAAAAATTTGATGATCGAATCTCGAAAAGGTCAACTGTATTATGTACTCCCTCCAGTCCTTATTATAAGTCATTTTGATTTCGTCTTAAGTTTTACCTAAAAAGTCTTTTTAATTGGAAAAAAATATTAAAAATATATTTTCACATTTATTGTGTTCTCCTAATTATTATGAAACGTTTTTAAGATTTTTATTTCGGTTAAAAATGTCTTAAGTAAAATCTAAGACAAAATTAAAATGCTTTATAATAAGGACCGGAGAGAGTATTAGATTCATATTGAACAAATTTCTTTAACTCAATTAAGTAACTTTAACAATATAAATTAGCAGGGAAAGTCTATGTATTGAATTGGCTTCTTCTTCTTTTTTTTTTTTTTGCACAATATGCTTAAATACTATAAAAAATAATTAACCTTAAAATTTTTTTCTCACACTACAAAACTCAGGATGAAAAAGTGAAATGCCAAATATTGTTAAATACGTAATCACAACGTATAAAAATAAAATAAAACTGTATATATCATGCATTGAATTTATTGTCAACTTTCAAAGACGACAAAAATCTCAACGCAAGAAATTTGTTACGCATTTACAAAACACGTCTTCTATACAGTTTGCCAATTTTTTTTTCCTTGCTATTTTGGGAATGTTTACATATCAACGAATATAGTCAACACAATGAGTTTTCTTTTCTAGATTATCACTTTAATTTTCTCTTATTAGGGCCATAAATATGTACTAGTATATATCTTGCTTGAACTTTTTCAAAACAACACCTAAAATATTAAGAAGCATTCAGTAATTCATGTAATTTTCAAAACTCTCGAGCCATGTTATAAATGAAAAAATTTGAGGTTAGAATCTCTAACAGGCCGACTAATACTATGTATTAGATTATAATTGAACAATTTTTTTATCTCAATTAAGTGATTTTAAAAATATAAATAAGTAGGGGAAGTTTATGTATTGAATTGAATTTTTTTTTTCTACACAATATGCTAAAATATTATAAAAAGTAATAAACCTTAAAATGATTTTGTCCCACTAAAAAAATTAGGGTGAAAAAATGGTCTGACAAAATTGTTAAATACGTAAACACAACGTATAAAAGTAAAATAAACTGTATATATTGTGTGTGGAATTTATTGTCAACATCAAAAGACCGACAAAAATCTCGATGCAAAATTTGTTAAGAGTTCGCGGTTACGAAACACGTCTTTTGTATAATTTTTTTTCCTTACTATTTTGGAGATATTTAAAAAACCACGAATATAGTCAACACAATGAGTTTTCAGTTCTAGATTTTTACTTTTTTTTTTCTATTATTAAGGCCAGAAATATGTACTAGTACATATATATATATATATATATTGCTCCAAATTTTTCAAAACTACACTTCAAATATTAAGAAATATTCAGTAATTCATGTAATCTTCAAAACTCTCGAGCCATATCATAAATGAAAAAATTTGATGTTAGAATCTCTAAAAGGTCGACTGATACTATGTATTACATTAAATTTGAACAAATTTCTTTATCACAATTAAGTGAGTTTAACACTATAAATTTGATGGGGAAGTTTATGTATTGAATTGACCTTTTTTTTTTTTTTACACAACATGCTAAAATACTATAAAAAGTAATGAACTTAAAATTATTTTTTCCCATTAAAAATCTTAGGGTCAATAATTGGAATGACAAAATTGTTAAATATGTAATCACAACGTATAAAAATAAAATAAAACTGTATATATCATGCAACGAATTTATTGTCAACTTCAAAAGACCGAAGAAAATCTCGACGCAAGAAATTTGTTAAGAGTTCGCATTTACAAAACACGTTTTCTGTAAAATATTTTTTTACTTGCTATTTTGGGGATGTTTACAAAACCATGAATATAGTCAACACAATGAGCTTTCTTTTCTAGATTATTACTTTTATTTTTTATTATTAGGGCTATAAATATGTATCTTGCTCGAATTTTTTCAAAACTACACCTAAAATATTAAGAAATATTCAGTAGATCATGTATTCTTCAAAACTCTCTAGCCATATTATAAATGAAAAAATTTGATGTTAGAATCTCTTAAAGGTCAACGCATACTTTATATTAGATTAAAATTGAACAAATTTCTTTATCTCAATTAGGTGATTTTAACAATATAAATTAGTAGGGGAAGTTTATGTATTGAATTGACCTTTTTTTTTTCTGCATAATATGCTAAAATACTACTTAAAGTAATGAACCTTATAATTATTTTCTCACACCATAAAAATTAGGGTGAAAAATTGGAATGACAAAATTGTTAAATACGTAATCACATCGTATGAAAATAAAATAAAATTGTATATATCGTGGGTCGAATTTATGGTCATAAAAGACAGACGAAAATCTCGACGCAAGAAATTTGTTAAGAGTTCATATTTACAAAACACGTCTTCGGTACAGCTTGCCAAAAATAATTTTTCCTTGCTATTTTGGGATATTTACAAGTCCACAAATATAGTCAACACAATGAGTTTTCTTTTCTAGATTATTACTTCTATTTTATATTATTAGGGCCATAAATATGTAATCGTACATATGTTACTCAAAATTTTTCAAAACTATACCTAAAATATTAAGAATTATTCAGTAATTCATGTAATCTTCAAAACTCTCGAGCCATATTATAAATAAAAAAAATTGATGTTGGAACCTCTAAAAGGTCGACTGATACTATGTATAGATTAAAATTAAACAAATTTTTTTATCTCAATTAAGTGATTTTAACAATATAAATTAGTTGGGGAAATTTATGCATTTAATTGACTTTTTTTTATACACAATATGCTAAAATACTATAAAAATTAATGAATCCTAAAATTATTTTCTCATACTATAAAACTTAGGGTGAAGATTTGGAATAACAAAAATCATTAAATATGTAATCATAACGTATAAAAATAAAATAAAACTGCATATTTCGTGCATCGACTTTATTGTCAACTTCAAAATACTGACAAAAATCTAGACACAAGAAACTTGTTAAGCGTTCGCATTTACAAAACATGTCTCCTGTACAGTTTGCCAATAATATTTTTTTCTTTGCTATTTTGGGGATGTAGAGAAAACCACGAATATAGTAAACACAATGAGTTTTCTTTTCTAGATTATTACTTTTATTTTCTATTATTAGGGCCATAAATATGTACTAGTACATATCTTGCTCGAAACTTTTCAAAATTACACCTAAAATATTAAGAAATATTCAGTAATTCATGTAATCTTCAAAACTCTCGAGCCATATAATTAATGAAAAAATTTGATGTTAGAATCTCTAAAAGGTCGACTGATACTATGTATTACATTAAAATTGAATAGATTTCTTTATCCCAATCAAGTGATTTTAACAATATAAATTAGTAGGATAAATATATGTATTGAATTGATCCCCCCTCCCCTTTTTTACACAATATGCTAAACTACTATAAAAAGCAATGAACCTTAAAATTATTTTCTCACACTACAAAACTTAGGGTGAAAAATTAGAAAGACAAAATCATCAAATACATAATCAGAATGTATAAAAATGACATAAAACCATATATCAGATGTCGACTTTTTTGTCAAATTCAAAAGGCCGACGCAAAAAAATTTGTTAAGAGTTCGTATTTGGAAAACTCGAATTTTGTATTTGCCAAAAAAATATTTTTTTCCCCTGCTATTTTGGAATGTTTACAGAACCACGAATATAGCCAACGCAATGAGGTTTCTTTTTTAGATTATTACTTTTATTTTATATATTATTAGGGCCATAAATATGTACTAGTATATATCTTGCTTGAAAGTTTTTAAAACTACACCCAAAATATTAAAAATTACTAACTATTTTTGTTTTAGGAAAAGATAGTCCTACTTGTATCATATTAATAACCAAATCAATTTTCGAAATCATGTCTGTGTTCGCGATGCTACAAATTTAATTTTGCTGTTGTAGTCGTTGTTGACTGCCAAGTCTGTCATCCTGGCATGCAGGTTTTAACTTTTAACCGAAGATGGAAAGTCGTCTTTGGACAATTTCGATACCAAAGAGCATGGATATTCTATTTCGGGTTGGTTCTTTGTTAAGCTTTAAGATTATCTGGACCTTCAAAATTTTATCTCTCGTGTATTAACTTGGGGACGACTTTATCTTCAACTCTGAACATAAACGAGTAATTAAAAATACTTATGGGAAGACTACTCTGAAGATCGGCAGCCCAATATTAGGAAAAAAGATTACGTAATATCCAACAGGTTTCTAATTAGAGCAGTTGATTTTTGGGTGGCTATCCTTTTGTACGCTCCTCTTAAAATTTCAGGCATTCATCATACTGTATGCATTTGGAATCATCATCATTCAATAGTCGGCAAAATGAGTTAGATAAAATTGCCAGAATTACAGTAGTTCGTTTGACCTGTCCTTTAAACTTGCCACCTCAAAGGCCTCAAACATTCAATTAACTGAAAACACCTAAAAACTATGGTTTTCTTATGAACTGTGAACGACTCCATCAACTCCAAATCATATCACAACAAAGCTCTGGAATATGCATACATTGTTACATACATTTCGGCCATACGCCTCAACCTATTTGAGTTTGACTCCAACAGAATTTTCAAGCGGCCAAAACTAAAGCGAGATAACAAAATTCTGAGGAACTGAATAAATCTGACATAGCTCAGCTTAAAAAAACGTACATGAAAACAATTGGTTATGAATTAAGCGTCTCTTTGCTGCCACAGTTCGGACATGAATAAAAAATTGTCTGCCCTTCATCAGCAGATCTGATCTGTTAACATGAAGCGAGAATCTAATGTTAGTGCAGAGCAGCAACGAGACGGCTAACCTATCAATAAAGTGTAGTCCACAGAAAGACACAGAAATCCATGAATCTTACCTGTTTAGTGAAGTAATTCAAGCCCATGTGTTGACACGCTTTACATTTCGCATTGGCATCCTATTCACCCAAAATTAAAAAAAGGTGAGAAATTTAGTCAGAGACCAGAATTAAGTTTGTGGAAGTACATTACACAAACAACACTAACAATTTGCTTCAACTCTTTTTCCTCTTCGAAAACCTCCAGGGCGGATACACCTAACTCTCTTCTGATATCCTGTAGGAAATGGTATAAGGATTAATAAGCACAGGTATTTGAACTGGAGAAATTATAATGAGTAGACCATTCTTTGACAGACAGAAGTTACAGAGAACCAGTAATACTAAAACTCATAAATGTGTGCTTAAGCACTCCAAAAACAAATGGAACCAAGCAAGCAAAAAGATATTATAATCAGCCTCTAACTTTGCAGCAGTTTGATAAATTGATAGCAGGTATTGATTTCTAAGTACAGAAACTGAATGGACCGGCACGCAGGTATTGATTTCTCATAGTAGAGCTAATTGCATGGGAAAACATCACAAAAGTCTCAGCATCAACATGGACATTCAATTTACAAACTTCCTATTACAGATCTCAATATCATCCTTGAATGAAATAAGAGGGACAACAGAAGTCTAATTCTTTTCTATTTTAGTTAAAGCAATGTGTGCAATGTGGCAGAAATTAAATGGCATCCCTGATGCAAGAAAGTGGAACAAAGCTATTGATTGAATGATTGAAGGATTACAGGTGTACTGCCAAATTTCCATATTTCTACGATGGTATATTGCAAAGTTCAAGAATTTGGTATCCAATTCAAGAAATATGTGCAACAATAAAACAACCATCATTTGGAGTAGTTGAACTGTGCAAGAAACTTCTCCCAACACAAAGTCAAGACTCTTATCAACAGATTTAGTAAGGTATATAATATGCACAATCCATTAGCAAAACATGGAAACCATTATCCGCAACAACGAAAGAGAAGGATAATCAAGAATTCCAGTACCATAATCCACAGCTATAAAGATTATGATCAAGTCAGACTGTTTTGGTTAAAAAGCCAATTCAACTTAATCCCCCATTCTATTGCGAAATCCAGAATACCGAAACCTCAAACAAAAGCAATGGCCACTAAATTCAAGTTACCAATGTGAGACTGAAAGACTTTCAGCAGGATCAAAATTCAATCACCAATTTTCCACAACAATAATTAAGACAAAAAAATAAAACAGGTACTTGCAGCAACAAAATTAGCAACTATAATCAACATGCTTCTGCTTCGTCAAGGAAAAAAGATCACAAAACTCAATTTGCAAGTCAGAGCTTAAAGAGGGTAAAATGATACCTCAGCAGTAAGAGTATAGCGAATCTCTGCAGGTCCTATATCTGCAATTAAACAACCAAACGACAAAAATAAAAGAGTTTTCGAGTCAAAAAAAAAAAAAAGAGTTTTCGAGCAGGAAAAAAAAAAAAAAGAAGAGTTTTCGAGTCAATAAACAGTGGTATAGAAGGCAACAAGGATATATCTGTTGATCAATTATAAGCTTTATTGAAATAAGGAAAAACGAAAAAGCGCGGACCTTTGATAAGTTTCTGATGACTGCAGACAGAACAGGTGACTTTAACTGGCGAATTAAACGACAACATGGTTCCACACATTTCACAGAACATGAAATCTCGTTGACGACAACCCATTATCTCTAACTAAAGTTTAATGATTTGGGTTGGCGGAAAAAGTTGCCGGCGGCGGACGTAGCGGGGGTCTCAGTGTCCCTTATGGAACCAGCGGTGAACGGTGGTGTTAGCTTTCCCGGGGACGGCGGAGGGTTTATTAGGAGGAGTTAGGAGTTATGACTTCTATAATATGAGAAAATTAACACAAAGGTCACTACTTTTAAAACTTTCGTATTAAGTCCCTAGATTAATTTTTGTCACGAATTTTATTGCAAATTTCGTACACTTTTTTCATTTATCCCTTTTTCTTTTTATCCTTTTATATTTACTGGATGTTAGATCCGCGTGATGTGTGGAGTTTATTTATATATATTTATTAGTTGTAAAAGAAAAATTCAAATTTTAAATGTAAAAAAACAAATAAACATAAATTCTTTTGTAACAATAAACACCTTATGAGATCGCGCGGGTTTATTCATATATATTTATTAATTGTAAAAAAATCAAATTGAAAATGTAAAAAAACAAATAAATATAAATTGTTTTTGTAACAATATACACTTTATAAGTAAAAGTAAATTATATAGTCATTATAATAAAAAAACCTTGTATATACTATAAAATGATAATACTCCACAGATTGTATAGAAAAATGTAACAATGATATAAGTACATAAAACTACCAAAATAATAAATAGAAATATTGCATGGCATCTTCACATTGGGCTTACCATCGGTTTTGTCCCTCCTTCATGTCATTTTACTAGTACAAATAAAATTGGTTACAACCATGTTTTTGATTAATTTTAATATATTGTACTACTTTTCAAAAAAAAAAAAAAAATCCTCATGTTTTTTGTGCATTCAAGCCAAACAATACTATGCATTAGTGCCTCACTTTACTCTTTTTTTATTTATTTTTTTTTCTACTCCCTCCATTTTTTTTTATATGTCTTTCTAGAGAAATTATCAAAACCAAGAAAACATTAATTAATATAGTTAAAATACAAAAAATACCCTTATTTATTGTCTATACAATCTATCATAAACCAATAAAAATTCATTATAAATACTGTTTCATTTCAAATTCAAGGGTAATATTGGTGAAAAGTGGTCAAATATGCCTCGATTTGAGAAAACGACATATATTTAAAAAAAGAATGAACCTCAAAACAAGTCATCAACCTTTAATATATTTCCACTCTAGGTCATCAATTAAATTTATTTGTAACACAGGGTACCTTACTAAAGTTTTAATCCATTTCAGATTATTCTGTTAATTTTGACCGTTAAATAGTGACGGAAATCCATTTTTCATATGTTTTTGGGTTCAGGGGTATTTTTGTTATTTTTTTATTTTTTAATCTTTTAAAATTTTTTTTTTACAATTCTTCTTCTTATACTTCCTAACTTGTATATACTGGTAGTATAATTTTAAATTTTAAGAATTTATTTTCCTTTTTTATTTTAACTTCTAGATTATAAAATTTTTCTTTAAAAAAAATCAAAAATAAAGAAGAAAACTTCGAGTTAAAATAAACATGAAAATAAATAATTTACCATTTTAAAAAAAGAAAAATTAAAATAATTATCTAAGACAAGTTGTTTCTTCTAGGTTATTTAATTTTTTTCAACTCGATTGAATTATTTAATTATTAATTTTCATGTTTCTTATTCCTTTTTTTTAATAATCTACAAGTTAATATAAAAATAACAAATTAATTTTTAAAAATGAATTTGTTTGTCATTTTTATCTTAACTTCTAGATTATAAAAAAAATGAATAAGAAACGTGAAAATTAATAATTAAATAATTCAATCGAGTTGAAAAAAATTAAATAACCTAGAAGAAACAACTTGTCTTACCTAATTCTTTTAGTTTTTCTTTTGTTTAAAATGATAAATTATTAATTTTCATGTTTACTTTAAATCGAATTTTTCTTCTTCATTTCTTAAATTTTTCAAAAAATTTTATAATCTAGAAGTTAAAATACAAAAAGAAAATAAATTTTTAAAATTTAGAATTATACTACCAGTGTATACAAGTTAGGAAGTATAAGAAGAAGAATTGTCAAAAAAAATAAAATTAAAAGATTAAAAAAATAAAAAAAAAATAATAAAATGACAAAAATAGCCCTGAACCCAAAAGCATGTTAAAAATGGATTTCCGTCACTATTTAACGGCCAAAATTAACAGAATAATCTGAAATGGATTAAAACTTTTGTAAGGTAACCTGTGTTACAAATAAATTTAATTGATGACCTAGAGTGAAATTATATTAAAGGTTGATGACTTGTTTTGAGGTTCACTCTTAAAAAAATTCATCAAATTCTAAAACGAATATATATTTCAAAATAGATGGAGTAGTTTGGAAGGAACTTTCTTGGCACACACTTTCATTTTATACAGTTCAACAACGTATTCTTGTTTTAATTTTTTATTGGATTTAACTATCAGTTTTCATTTTCATTTTCCGATTTTGAGATTAAATTGGTCGTTAAATTTTGATTAATTAGTGTTATCTAAATAATGAGAGAGCATCAGATGTGATGAATGCTCTAAGAAATTGTGGTGATTACTCAAAAGAAGTGACATGCATAAAAAAAAAATTAGTTTTGTAACTTCATTCGAAAAATATCGATAATGAGGCCAATTTTTGACATTGAATAGATATTACTCCCTCCGTCCCATAATTATTGTCCACTTTGGCTAAAAAATTTTGTCCCAAAATTATTGTCCAATTTGACTTTTTATGGAATATTTTACACATTTGCCCTTTAATTTGCCCTTTAGTCTAGTGACCGGAAACAAACCCAGTTCCACCCCATTCCAAGTCATCACTTATGCCCTTTCCGCCGCCCTTGTACGGTACTACTACTTCGCCGGAAATCTCCGACGCCGATCATCATCCTCCGACGATAACCGTCTGGAGCTCCACTGTGAAGCAGGTAAAAAGCTGCTAGTCATCCGGACTGAAGTTGATTTCCCGTTGAACTCTGTTAATTACCTCGACGATGACCCGGATGAAGAGTTCGTCGAAGGGTCCTGAATTACAACAAAGGGATACGGCCGGAGCTAAGATCAGTGGATTTAGCCGACTGGAGGCACTTGAGACATTCGACGGTGGATTTCGCCTGGGGTGGTCCGGTGATGGTTTTCCCATTTTCCCGAAATCTGCTTGGAAGCGTTGAACTTTTTGTTATCATATATCCCCTATGTTCAAATGATGAGGAGTATGGACCTCTTGATTGATAAAGAACATCAGCATTTGCCGGCTAATTATTTGAAGAGGATGAAAAAATAGACTTGGATTTGGGTATATCCGGAAATTTTGATTAAAATATAGTTAAGTTTGACCAAAAATAAATTTTTTCATCTTAGTTAAACAGGACAATAATTATGGGACGGAGGGAGTAATACATTTATGTTCCGCAATCGGTAATTATAGTTTCAATTTTCATAGTAAACGATTCACAATAGTAAATGAATGTACGTGATCATAAAATGTTAACTATATAAATCAAATATAGCTAAATGTTACAACTCACTAAAATCAAATTTTCGAGTATCAATTGTATTGCTGACCTAAGGTTATAACATAACTCTAATGATTAAAGACCGAAATACAAAGGTGTCAGAAAAGTGCTGTCCTCTCCAAGAAGCCCTAATAACTTGCTTAATAATCAAAACAGAAAATGTCAAAAATGAGTTCATGGTGCTTGAATTAGTACTTCCTTTTCTCTAGCCCTGTTGGCGATCAATTGATCAAATTAATATTGTTTGGAAGAAATAGTAATTTAAATCAATTCATAGCACCTTATTAGTGAACAAAATATCAATAAAAGATTGAAAAAACAACATTGATTTTGTGAAGCAAGAAGCATTAATATTGACGAAATGCATGTAACTATTAACTTTCAATCAAATTAAACACATAGCAGATAGGATCGCTCAAACACCATCCATTTGTTTAAAACATTTATTTGGCTAACTTGACATAAGCCGGATTCTCCTTCATGTTGGAGAGGAGAGCTACATGAATCTCCAATCTAAACTTGTTCATATACAAATTCAGTATATTTGAATAAAAGTTTTATATCCTCATGATATTGCGCTGAAAAATTTTAGAAAAAAGAATCGACATATATCAAATAATGGATATATATTACGGGTTGTAGAGTACAAAATCAATACACCTATAGATAATTCCCAATTACGTGAGGTCGAGCTACTGGCTAAACTGTGAGCTCCCCATGTCGTGAATGAGTTGCAACTGTGTATCACAAAAGTTTTCATATATAATACTGAATGCGATATCATCATCTAGTGATTAGTAAAATCTCTAATTATACACTGATTACGGGATTTTTAATTTATAGTCTTTAATTATTTTCAAATTTGAATAAATCTCCATTTTGTGCAGATAATTAATCTTCTATATACTATACTAAGGCAAAAACCAGAGAGAGGAATCTAAAGTCAAGGAACACATGCCACATAGGATTTTTATCCTACGTGGCATTTTCTTAATTTCTAGATATAAAAATGCACAAAATAAAATAATAAAAACCCAAAAAAAAAAAAACGCAACTGAAAAAATTCAAACTCTATATTGATTCGACCAAATCCCTACAAATCCGATGGACGGATCTCTTCCTCCTAAAAAAAAAACGCAACTGAAAAAGAATTTTATATTAATAATTTATTAAAATAATTAAAGAAGTTAGGCCAACCTGAAACTTCTATAATTTAGTTTCAAATATGGAATTGAGTTAAAATACTATGGTAATGGGTTGATATAGCGGGGCTAAGAATGGCTCTGGCAAAGAATAAAAATATTAAAAGGCTTCAATTATGGCTATTTTTTATTCTTCTTTTTTAATGTTTTGAAATCCAAATTTTTAGAAAAAAGTCCTCATATCCAACCTTTTTTTTTAATTATTTTTCTTATTAAAAAATTGGATGGCCTCTACAACAGGTTAGGGTTGTTGTTTCTGTAATAACCATTCTTAATCATAAACCTTTTCAAAAAAAAAAAAAAAATTCCTTATCATAATCTCTTAACCACCCTAGCCAACCTTTCCATCCCAGACTACCAATATAGTCTACCAAGAAATATTGTAAAATATATAATTATTTAATTTAAAGTTCATTTTTTTTAATTTCTTAACAATCTTTTTTGCGTTAAATAAATTACCAGTGTATTCGTTTGGTAAAGTGTTGTTGATGTTTATGTTTTATATTTTTCAATGAATTCATTATATATTTTATAAAAATACAAAAATCTATACAAATATTAACATTTTTTTATTTGTTTGTGTAGTAATATCTATGTATATGTGCTTCCTGTCCGTCAGACGGGTCTAACATTTAGTTAGTTAATATATTTGAATTCAAGTTAGCCAAATTAATGTATGGATGTGAACCGGATAGAAGGAAAATTTTTATTAGTTAAATATGGTATCTATATGTTCATCAATCCTTTTTTTTAAAAAAAAATTGTAGTCTATTAATTATTTCTTTTAGGATTTACACAATGCGGCTAATATTAAATATTAATGAGTAGTCATTCTATATTTATTTATGGGATTTGCTTTTTTTTTTTTTTGAATTGTGTCCTATTGTAAATGGACGGGAAATAACAATATTAATTAATACATTAACGTTGATTGATATTGCTCTTCATTTTTTTTTTTTGAATTGTAGACTATTTTTTAAAGAATTTACATGATTCGGCGGGGATTTTTTGGGGAGGGATTAATGAGTTCGGTTATAATTTTGGAAATTCTTTTTTTTTTGGGGGGAAAGGGGGAATGATTCTGATGCATTTATGTTCATTAGTCCCCTCTATTTAATTTGATTAATTCGCATTTTCTATTTTGAACTAATGTTTTAAATGCGATTTGACAAAAATTTGTTTACAGTAAATTCGAAGAACTATTAGTATAATTGTTGTAAATATTTTTTAAGTAAAGTATTAGAAAAATAGAAAATATTATTTTATCCTACGTGATAATGTGAGGAATTCTTTTTTGAATCTGTTTTCTCTATTAATATAATACTATAGATCTTTCAAGACATCAATTACTAATTAATTTTGATTATTGGTTTTACACAAATTTGATTGTGTAGGATTTTTTTTCCGTGCATCCCGTGAATCGCATTAATTATTAAGGTTTTTTTTTTTCTAAATAATACCTGTTTGAAATTGCCGGAGGGAATTCATTTTATCGCATTAATTGATAATTGATCACGATTATGAACATTCTTCCATCTTTCCATTTGCAGCTAACAATTTAAATTAAGTGTGATAAAGTTTATTTGCATAAAATCCCAAGGATTTTTAGTGTAATTGCATAAATTTTTATTTTTGTCATTTATTAGAAAAATGACACATAGAATTTTATCCTATATCGCACATTTAGAAATCATTTTTGTTTTCTCTCTTAGTATAATATATATATATATATATATATATATATATACACACACACACACACTATAGATATTGTTTTTGGTTAACCTTTCTTTATTTCTTGGTTGCAAAAATGGCATTTTTGTAGAACTGTTATAAGATAATTTTATTCAATCCTTTTTCTCATGAAAGGCCCAATTGAAATAAGAAATTTAGGGCTTGTGGATTCATTCTCTATTAGGCCTAAGAATACGTTTTGTTACTATAATCTTTTGAGATTTTAACTACGATCCAAAATACAGACTCCTAATTTACCATAGTTTATAATGTTTAAAAGTTATTAAACGTTATTTCATCCCAAAGAAAAAGGTAGATGCACCTAAATTTTCCAAGCTAAATCAATTAGATGGGACGTCCCTGATGGCTTCTCAAGTCCTAATGCACATGCCTCTCGTTTTCGTTGGTCTCTGGATGCGATGTATAATAACATCAATGATGTATAGCAGATGATTATTATTATGATAATTACATTTCCACCAGAAATTCGTCGCTCACTCACTATTATGCTCTTAAAAAAAAAAGCAGCATTAAATATTTGAGAGCTATTTGACAAGAAGAATTGGTAGCTAAGACCATGCATGTGATGCAGGCAATGGTCATTGTCTAATGCCTAGTTGCATATCCTAACTCAAGTTACTTCAACAAATTTTCAACATTGATAAAAGGATTTTCTGATTTTGATCGAAACTATTCGAATGTGGTTGTTGTTGGTTCCCGGACATGGTTAACGATAGTGATAACGTTATGCAAATTAAGAACACTTACAACTCACAAAGCACACTATGATTTTACTTGTTTCAATCAGCGCGACACATTTTCGGCTTAGATATGTTCCCTCTGGTCTTTATTATAAGGTATTTTATTTTGTCATAAGTTTCACTTAATTTGTTTTTTCAATTGAAGAAAAAAATTTTAAAATATATTTTCACATTCTTTGCGTTCTCCTAATTATTATGAAATACTTTTAAAATTTTTCTTTCAATAAAAAAGACAAACTAGTTAAAACTTAATACAAATCAAAATGCTTTATCATAAAGACGGAGGGAGCATAAGACGATGAAGAATAACCAAAAATGTGACGAAAAGATGTTGTAAATACAATAGTCATAAATCAAATCTATTTGGCTTTGCCCAGATGCTCAAGGCACTGAGATGTTAACCTAAGGTTTATATTCTGACACATTTTGACTGTAACTATTAATGTTTAGCTTGATTTTGTGGTCCTAAATATTTTTTTTTTCCATTCATAGTAGTCAAAACTCAATAATACCAAGTACTAGTAAGTAATACAGACTGGAAATCTATAGCATTCAATTGGGTTGGTTGGGGTGGCCCGAATCCGGAAACCACAGCCATTCAGAACTCAAATATTGTCTTGAACCACAAGTGAATGAAATTGGAATGGAAGACTTGAAGAAAAAATGTGGTTTGGGTTTGGTTTGTCTTTGAGTGAATGGCTAATAATTTATTCGTACTACGTGAATTTAAGGATATCTCAAGCCTAGAAGCATTCATATTCAAATTGCAGTTGAGAAAGTACTTGGTTTATGGTTGGCCAACCTTCGAGATGAACATTTATTGGCGGGAAGAGACTAAAAACCAACCTCCAGGAGCTTCTCCTATGATAAAAAAGAGTACCTTTTTTTGGTTGTTAACTTAGTTCTGGGTATCTGCATTTAGAGCTTTATAGTACTACTAGTACTGTACTCATTTTTAACAGATTAATCAACAATATAGAATATGGGAGAAGTTGAGGTTGAGGCATTTCCAGATCATAAATCTGAGCAAAATGTTGATGAAGCAGAAGAGGGTGAGGATAAAAAAATTGTGGATACAACAAATTCACTAAAGAAGAAGAAGAAGAAGAAGATTGTTTCAGTTTTTGGGCTGTTTGCTGCAGCAGATATAATTGACTACATATTGATGTTGTTTGGAAGTGTGGGAGCTTGCATACATGGCGCAGCGCTTCCGCTTTTCTTCTTGTTATTTGGTCGTTTGATCGATTCATTAGGCCATCTTTCTTCAAATCCTCATGGAATGTCTGCTGAAGTGTCCAAGGTATACTTGCTTACACACTCACATGCAGCACCAACTCCTTTTATCTTCTCTGTTTTTTTTTTTTTTTTTTAATTTATTTTTATTTTTTTTATGTTATGCACTAATAGTCGTCGGATTATGGAGCATTTCTACTTAGTTGAGCCAGATTCAGTTAGTCCTAAAGCTTTTATGAACCTCTGCTAATTAAGAAATTGGCAAGGACTTAAATCTGCTATATTGATGTTAATGATCTTCTTGGTTGCAAAATTTCTCATTCTGTTCTGCACTTTGCTCACTTGCAGCATGCACTGTACTTGGTTTATGTTGGAGTAGTTATTATGATGGCAGCATGGATCGGTACGCTTTTGTCTTCCTTGTTTATAACCTTTCACTGCTAATCAGGTTAGGCAAACCTTAACTGGATTCATTTTTCACTCCAGGAGTTGCTTGCTGGGCACAAACTGGAGAAAGGCAAACTGCGCGGTTGCGTCTGAAGTATCTGCAATCGGTGCTGAACAAGAATATCAGCTTTTTCGATACTGAAGCTATGAACGAAAATTTGACTTACCACATCTCCAGTGATGCCATACTGGTGCAAGATGCAATAGGGGATAAGGTAAAATGATAAACTACTTACAAGGACATTGCTTACACTATGTTGATTGTCCTAATTCTACACTTGAGCAAAAGAGGTCTGATAGGATCTTTAATTTTTTTTTTATTTTCCTTTTCTTTTTCCAGATTGGCCACACTTTACGTTATCTGTCCCAGTTCTTCGCGGGATTTGCCATTGGATTCGTTTCAGTATGGCAGCTTACACTACTCACTTTAGCTGTTGTTCCACTGATAGCGATTGCTGGAGGAGCTTATGCACTGATCATGTCCACCTTGTCTCAAAAGGGTGAGGCTGCTTATGCTGAAGCTGGGAAGATAGCAGAAGAGGTGAAAATTTTGACTACTATTTACCAACATTCTTTCATCATAATTTAACTTTAGCATTTCCAATTTAACCCACAGATTGATCTTTTCTTGAGTAGATGTCGACCATTTGTAGCATTTTGTTGCCAAATAGGCCTAACTACTTTAAGTGCAAATACAACCTTTTGACCTAATAACTAGCTGTTGATTGATACCAGAACTGCAGTTCAATTCAGAAGTTACCCTGCTACTGATGGATCATCATTATACTCATCCGGTTCTGATTTTGTCTTGGGATGGATCAGGTTATTTCACAGGTTCGGACGGTATACTCGTTCGTTGGAGAAGAAAATGCAGCCAAATCATACTCCACATCACTTCAGAAAGCCCTCACACTAGGAAAGCAAGGTGGGATTGCAAAAGGAGTTGGTGTTGGCTTAACTTATGGGCTTCTATTATGTGCTTGGGCATTACTTCTTTGGTATGCAAGTATACTTGTCAGGCATCGAGATACAAATGGCGGGAAAGCATTCACAACAGTTTTCAATGTGATCTTTAGTGGATTGTAAGCATAACAAATACAAAAAAAAAAAGAAGATTTTGTTTGCATCCCTTTTGCATGGCTATAGATCTTATATGTAAAACTTGTTTTTGCAGTGCTCTTGGTCAGGCTGCTCCAAACCTTGCATGCATTTCCAAAGGGCGCGCGGCTGCAACAAACATCTTAAGCATGATTCGTGAAGATGATGACAATTTCCACCAGCCTAAAAGGTCAGATGATGGTCAAACGTTGCAAAAAGTTGAAGGAGAAATCGAGTTTTCTGAAGTCTATTTTTGTTACCCATCTCGACGAAATAATATGATCTTTGAAAATCTGAGCTTTTCAGTATCTGCTGGAAAAACGTTTGCAGTTGTTGGTCCCAGTGGTTCAGGAAAAAGCACAATTATTTCCCTGGTCCAACGTTTTTACGAGCCTAGCTCAGGTACACTCAAAGCCAGCAAATAATCTATCTTTTTTGTTTTTCTTCCTATTGTTGTTGTTGTTCAACATGGCATTCTTTGTTATTAGGACGAATATTGTTGGATGGGCATGACCTGAAGGATCTCAGGTTAAGTTGGCTGAGAGAACAGATGGGGTTGGTTAGTCAAGAACCAGCATTATTTGGCACAACTATAGCTGATAACATCTTGTTTGGAAAAGAAGGTGCCAGTATGGATGAAATAGTTAAAGCAGCCATCGCTGCGAATGCACATTCTTTTATTGAAGGCCTGCCAGATGGTTACTATACTCAGGTAGATTTGCTTTTTCGCAAAAAATTATGGTTTCTATCTCATGTATGGATGCTTTCTATTTATATATGTGTATATTCTTGTGTTGCAAAAATTAGGTAGGGGAAGCTGGTACTCAGTTATCTGGAGGACAAAAACAAAGGATTGCAATTGCAAGAGCCGTGCTGAGAAATCCGAAAATACTGCTCCTTGATGAGGCAACAAGTGCACTTGATGCAGAATCTGAGCTCATTGTTCAGCGGGCATTAGATAAAGTCATGTCTAATAGGACAACAATTATGGTTGCTCACAGACTATCTACAATTCGAAATGCCGATGTCATAGTTGTGCTACAAAATGGTCAAGTTGCAGAGATGGGTTCACACCAAGAGCTGATGTCCATTGGCGGAAGCTATGCATCCCTAGTGAGCTTGCAGGTTTCAGAAAGTTCAGAAAATGCAGAACTGGAAAATGGCAAAAATCCCTCAGCTGCTTCGAGTTTCCGGGAGCAGCAAAATGATCCTGATCTGAACAGTAAAATAGGAGAAGAGTCTTTACAGTCAAATAGCGAAAAAGGCAAGAATGTAACACCGTCAATGTCGGAATTGATCAAACTAAATGCACCAGAATGGCCATTTGCTGTACTTGGATCAATGGGTGCCATACTTGCGGGAATGGAAGCACCCCTTTTTGCACTTGGAATAACGCATGTTTTGACTGCTTTCTATGCTCAAGATGATGTCCAAATTAAGAAAGAAGTTCGCCGAGTTTCACTCATTTTTGTTGGAGTAGCTGCTCTAAACATTCCAATTTATCTCCTACAACATTATTTCTACACTTTGATGGGCGAGCGACTCACTTCTCGAGTTCGCCTGCGAATGTTCTCAGGTTCCTTTTCCATTCTTACATCTACATGATGGGGCACCTTTTTACCTAAATTTACAAGGCCTAATGTTATTTAGTTGCGTATTTCAGCTATCCTTACCAATGAGATTGGCTGGTTTGATATGGATGAGAACAGCACTGGCTCACTGATGTCGAAGTTAGCAGCGGATGCAACATTGGTACGGAGTGCTTTAGCTGATCGACTATCAACCATCATCCAAAATGTTGCACTTGCTGTGACTGCATTTGTCATTGCATTCACTCTCAGTTGGCGCATTGCAGCTGTTGTCTTAGCCACTTTTCCTCTACTTATTGGAGCATCCCTTGCTGAGGTAATCAATTCTCAACTTAAATTTATTTCTTCCATTCTATGACAATGTGCTTGCTATGCTACAACTTATGAAGGCGTTGAAGTAGTTCCAATTCCCTTTTTTAGCAACAATTTTTGAAAGGATTTGGAGGCCAGTACAGTGCTGCTTATTATCGAGCTACATCTTTGGCGCGTGAAGCCATTGCGAACATACGTACTGTTGCTGCATTTGGTGCTGAAGAGAGAATATCAATCCAGTTCATACATGAACTTGAGAAACCCAACAAACAAGCAGTCTTAAGAGGGCACATCTCAGGTTTTAGTTATGGTTTTTCTCAGCTCTTAGCATTTTGCTCTTATGCACTTGGCCTCTGGTATGCATCTGTTCTAATCAAGCAAAAGGCCTCAAATTTTGGAGACATAATCAAGTCGTTCATGGTTTTAATTATCACTGCATTTTCAGTGGCTGAAACACTAGCCCTGGCTCCTGATATTGCAAAGGGATCACAAGCATTAGGTTCTGTCTTTGAGATAATTAACAGAAAAACAGCCATAAACTCTGATGATCAAACAGCTAGAATGGCGGATAAAATTAAAGGGGATGTCGAATTCAGGAATGTAAACTTCCATTACCCAGCCAGGCCTGACATTACTGTTTTCGAGGATTTGAACTTGAAAATAACAGCTGGAAAGAGTTTGGCAATTGTTGGACCAAGTGGTTCAGGAAAAAGTTCAGTCATATCTCTAGTGATGAGATTTTATGATCCTTCATCCGGGACAGTTTGTATTGATAGGATTGATGTCAGAAACTACAATTTGAAGTCTTTGAGGCGGAATATCGGCCTAGTACAGCAAGAGCCAGTATTATTTTCAACAACAATCTATGAAAATATCAAGTATGGCAATGGGAAGGCATCAGAAATTGAGGTATTCAAAGCTGCAAAAGCAGCAAATGCGCACGGATTCATCAGTAGGATGCCTGATGGATACCATACACAAGTTGGCGAAAAAGGGGTGCAATTATCAGGAGGACAGAAGCAAAGGGTGGCAATTGCTAGAGCAATATTAAAGGATCCATCAATTCTACTGTTGGATGAAGCCACCAGTGCTTTGGATGCAGCATCCGAAATGCAGGTTCAAGAAGCACTTAATAACCTCATGGAAGGAAGAACAACAATTTTGGTTGCCCACAGATTGTCCACCGTACATGAGGCTGATGTTATTGCAGTTTTGCAAAATGGAAAAGTGGCGGAATTTGGCAGCCATGATAAGCTGATTAGCAAACCTGGAAGCATTTACTCCCAGTTAGTCAATCTGCAGCAAGAAAACGGGGCAACTGTTCCTGCTTAATCAGTACACTAATTTTTGGTAAATTTCTATGCTAAATATATACATTTGTAAACTAAAAAATGGTGGATTTAAAGCACCTACCAAGATACTATTTTTGTTACACTTTACATGAGAACTGGTGCAAAAGCAGAATAGTTCTTTCTCTTTTAGTAAAGTCATTCAATTTCAGTATTTCACATTTAATTATACAAGTGATTATGTTTTCAGGGGATAAACAAAACAATGTTCTACATCTGATAAAATTGTTAGTTTGGCATAACATATGTAGAAATAAGTCCAGCAGTAGTCATTTCCGTTGTGAAACGTAACAAATCTAGCATATATCTATCCATATATGCTAGTTAATGTGTATAGCAATGAAATTTGTTATACACATATATAAGGTACCAAACTGTTATAATATTCAAAATACAAGTTACACACTCCACAAATACACAATGTCTCTGGTCCTGATCCCTCATTTACCATATACCAAATGAACGAATTTATGCACAATGACAAGGATTTGCAACTTGTGAAGAGGCTGAATCAGTTATACAAGAGGGTCAAAACTCAAAAGAGCAAGCACATGGAATGAGATTTAATGAGCCTCAAAAGAGTCACAGAATAGTACAGCTCGGACCCCTTCTTGAATTGGCCATGTGCATTTTCACTCAATTTGGTATCTGAATTGAATTGGGTCGGCATTTGATTCTGTTCCAGCAAAAATGTCAAATCTGTTTCCAAATTAATGATTATACTACTAAGTTATTACACTTAGTACATTAATTTGTAAAACCAATGATTACAAGTAGTGATGATTACAACATGTGGCAGGCAAAAGGTCATCTTCATCCCTTTTGTGGGTAGATAGAGGGACTTCTTTTTCTCTAATATATTGACCACAACCACCCAGAAGAAGCCAGAGTCCAATTGAATTTACTGACAAATTCAGGGTCACAGGCATACTAAGTTCCTGTCTTTTTAATTCTCTTCTTAAAGTTGTTGGTGAGCCCTTTTGTTTTCCCCTTTCCTTTCTGGTGGGGCATAAGGTATGATTGTATAGCAGAAAAAAAGGTATCTTGAATTCTTGAGTGGTTTTAGTGTGGAACATGTTTCTGAATCTTTAATTGAACTGCGCTGCACATTATCCTAGTAAAACAAGCTGAGGACTTTTTTTTGAGGAAGTGGAAATGAGTGCATCAAGATTCATTAAATGTGTGACTGTGGGTGATGGAGCTGTGGGCAAAACTTGTATGTTGATATCCTACACCAGCAATTCTTTCCCCACGGTTAATTCTCTCTTCTCACCATCCTTTCTGTTTGTTTCAGTTTATAAGCTTTCTTGAACCTCTGCTGCTGTTGTTGTTTCTGTCTTTTGTGCTTTTCTTTTCTGTGATTTGGGTAGGTTTTTGGAACTCAATTACGGCCATTAGCTTCCAAACTTCCATGAAAATGCTCGTTTTAGGCTTCTTTGTTGTGTCTCTGTAACTTTCCTTTCAGTTAATGAAAATATAACTGCCATGTTCATGGTATGCTTTTGAGTGTCTTGTTTTTTTTTTTTTTTTTTTTGGTTGTTTAAAAACAGGATTATGTACCCACTGTGTTCGACAATTTTAGCGCAAATGTGGCTGTGGATGGAAGCATAGTCAACCTAGGTTTATGGGATACTGCTGGTAACTTTTTCCATGTTTTCGGCGAAATTGGTGGTTTTAGTATCTGTTATTGGTCTATTCTTCGCCTTTTTATTTTGTTTTCATATAGTGCTTCTGTTCAAATTTGCCACAATGCAGGTCAGGAAGACTATAATAGGTTAAGACCTTTGAGTTATCGAGGTGCCGATGTCTTCATTCTTGCTTTTTCTCTCATCAGTAGGGCAAGCTATGAAAACGTAGCCAAAAAGGTTAATCAAGGCTTGAAAAAGAAACTTTTTCCCAATGCTTTCTTCTCATTCTGTTTTGACTTGGTTTCATCTTGATTCAGTGGATTCCTGAACTAAGACATTATGCACCTGGGGTTCCAATAATTCTCGTCGGAACAAAACTCGGTAATGTTCCAGACCATTGTTCTTTTAGGAATGCATTCGACTTCTACCTGGAATCAGCTTTTATATCTTACAGGTTTGTCCAATGTACTTGCATTTGCAGATCTTAGAGAAGATAAGCATTTTTATGTTGACCATCCTGGTGTAATGCCAATCACTACTGCTCAGGTGAAGACTCTTAATTCTATTGCTCTACACCTTTCTCAACCTTTGTATCTTTGACGCCAAATGACCTACCATGTATTGATTTCCGTAAAGGGAGAAGAGCTGAGGAAACTGGTTGGGGCAGTCTCCTACATTGAATGTAGTTCAAAAACACAGCAGGTATGTAAAACATCGATCCCTGATGACATTACTCTTATTATGTGGACTCGACTATGAGGCTTATATGGCTGTCATCAAACCCTATCAAAGGCATTACAAGTGCTTGTATCGAGCAATATTTGCTTCCTCATACCTGTCATTGGCACTGCAGAATGTAAAAGCTGTTTTTGATGCTGCAATTAAGCTAGTACTCCAGCCACCAAAACAAAGGAAGCAAAGAAAGACGCAGAGGGCATGTTCCATCCTGTAACCTACCGTAATTCCTTCCACAACACAAGATGACAACTACACCATGCGGACTTGCACATTCTTCCCTGCGATAAAGTTGCTGAAATGTTTGTAGTAACCTACCGTAGTGTTAGTGTGCTTTGTGAACATCCATGCATTCATAGATGTAATTAATAACTACTACTCTCCTAATGTGTTCGTCCTTTGATCTACTCATCAACAATAAATGCTTTATTATCAAACTAGTGAACTTAATCCAAAAACTGAGTTGCTGCTGTACAGAGCATACATTGGTTTGACACGTTTAAGAGACCATATTATTTATAAATAAATCACAAGCAAGAATAACTTAGATGCAAAACCAATCAAAGGCCAAGTGAGGAAAGAACGGGGACGAACATGTATACTTACAAGAACAATCTCCAATGAATGATGATTAGTTACTAAGATAATGACTACATGTAAAGAAAAGGGAACAGTGCGGGATGGTGTCCCAGGAACAGCCAAAAGGAACAGTTTATACACAAAAATTAGTAACAGACTCTGTACAAGTTACCAATCAAATCAAGGACTTGCGCACGCAAAGCCAGAGGTATGCTGGCTCGGATATAACTTGACCGCAGAACCTCCCTCAGCTATGTGCAAGCTATATCTTCTCTGCCACTGACAAGATATACTCCATGAAATCAAACCTTGATTGACCCAAATTTCTCTCCCATCACACCGCCTTTTTGCTTCTGAAATTCGATATACCGCAATGTGCAGGCAAAGAAAGCATCTGAAGCTGGATCTGGAGTGGTGGTGTCGCTTTGCATCTCTGTTTTTATAAGTTCTATTAGACCTTCAATGGCAGCACTTGTTATTTGGGGGTTCCCCTTCTCGAAGTAATAAAGATACCTGAAAAATCAGTCAGAAATCTCATAAAAATTTTCATTGTGAAACTCTAGGGCATACATATAGAGGTGATCATCATTAAGAGTGATTGTATACTTGTTCAATATCTCAACAAAGAGTATAACTGGTCCACCACCGCCCCTGGTAACATTGGCCATCTGTTGTGCAGCATTTGCGATTCTCAAAGAACGCTTTAGGCAAAGTAAAACCCTGTCATGAACAACCAATGCTTCGTATCAATATTGGGAAAAAATCAACTTGCGCCAAAATCGATACAGATTTTACAGTAAGAATTCATGCACCTTTCTCCATCCTTGATTCCATCTTGATCATCAACCCAAAAGAGGTGCGAACAGGCATAAACTGCTCGACATTGATCTGGCTTCTTTAAAAGTTTAGCTGAATACTGAATGTGAAAAAGAAAGGATCAGGGCTGTATTTGGTGCCAAAATTTCACAAAAGGAAGAACTTAACAGTAGCTTATTTACCCCTGTTGCCTTGTGTGTAAGAGTATCTCTATTCTCGACACCAAACACATTCATCCTCTGTAAAGTCCCAATTATTAGGTGTATTGAAGTCACCTGGGCTTTAGAATCCTATAATCAAAAAGAAAAAGGAAAATTAGAAGGTAAGGAACTAAAAGTTTGGATTAAGTTTGTTATCATCAAAAGGTCATATGATTGTGCATAAAAAGGATTCAACTTGCGCTTCAGCTTTGGTAGAAAAATCAATACTTAAGAATTATTCTCCACAAATCTCAGCTTTAAGACCTCAATCATTGCCACAGCTAATATTACATAAATGAGAAGTTGGTTAAAGCCTCTCTTTTCCCATTCATTTTCATTATGTTTTTAAATTCCAAAGTGACAAAAGAGAACTCTTTTAATGATTTCCAGATCAGAAAGTAATGAATAATTCTTAACTGTAAATGGAAAATCAGGGGTTAGAATATCTCCTATTCAAAGATCACATCTAGAAAACATTTAGAAAATATGACCAGAGATTATGGGTTGAAATGCTTGCTTCACCATAAATGGAGAAAACAGTTAGCAATTACCGCAACTTCTTCCTCATACAACAGAAAAGCTTGAGTGAAATATTCATAAGCAACAGATTCTAGATCACAGTCATTGGCAGCCTGCAGAGGAAAGAGAGAATGTTATAAAGAAAGACAACCATTACAATAAAAATTATGCTCATAAGAGAGTGGGACAAAGATATTATCATAAGAAGAGGATGGCATCTTTGCTAGAAATACCATAAAGTGCACAACAGACTGTGAATCAGCACCTCTAATAAAATTTTCCATGAGGTACAATATCAATGGTATTTCACAAAATATTGAAGAGGACATGTATTTTTACCTCAGCACATTGTAAATACAACCTCAATGCAAGTTCAGGGGCTGGAACACACGAAAGGGCCTCAATTGTCTGCAATTAAGAAGAAATCGTCATAACAGCAGGTGAGAGAATGCCGATGTTCATAAGTCACTAGAATTTAAAAGGCAAAAGTTTTATTGCCATTTTACAAACATCAATAAACAAAAAGCAATATGACCTCATTCAAGAGCTGAAATATTTTCCTGGGAGTTGTGGGAACCTCTTCCCCGGCAACATCTCCATCCTGTCCCTGCAACCTTCTGACCAACTGAAACTCAAAAAAAAAAAAAAGTAATCAGAAAACGATTTTAATTCCAAGCCCCTAGAATGCAGAATGGAATATGTTTAAGAGAAGAAAGAACCTTTTCAACGAAAAAGAAAATGTGCCTAACCAAACCAAGAGAATGTACCATAATGATTATTCATCTTAAATATCTGACCTTGAGTGCCGAAAACACCAGAGGGGGAACTGTAAACAGCAATCTCTTGGGACCTCCAGTCAATATGTGCTTTTTCACCGTGTTTATTATCTGATTAAGGTTTAGAAGGGACAAAAAGGATAAAGAGCTTTAATTTTAATTTTTAAGGGAATAGAAAAAAAGGAATATACAAAATACTATCAACAACTAGGAAACCACCATAATAGCATTCATAGAAAAGCCTTAATATACTACTAGTGACGTCACCCAATGCGTGGCTTTGGCCCAGTATATATGTCAGAGATATGAAGGTTTGTCATCACGTTATAAAAAAAATTAATGTATAATTATAAGTTAATGCAATCGTATTAAGAAAGAAACTATATAAGTTAATGCAATCGTATTAAGAAAGAAACTATGTATCTGTGTACATGAATTTTGATGCGTTAAATAAAGTACTCCTTCTGTGCCGAAATAATTATCAAGTTTTCCGAAATGATTTATTTAAGAAAATGTTTGAAGTCTACCTGAGACTATCTTTTCAAGTTTGTCTGAGGGCTAAGATTGATGTTTTCCATTGGTTATGCAAACGCTATGCTAGCAAATTGTACTTTTTCTGGAGGAGTTTGAGACTTTGAGTTGCTTCCTCTATTGATGATGACAATGCTTTTATTGGAATATTTTCTTTCATGAATAGATCTTGTATAAAGTGTGCTTTTACACTTTATGAGGAGGCAACACACAATGTTGCTTGAGAGCATTTCGAAAGTTATGTATCCAGAGGTCTACATTCTAAAGTGCAATGTGATGAGATGATTATTTAATGGTAGAAATGAAATTATATTTTACACCAAATAGAAATCAGTAAAAGAATAGCACAAAAAAATCAATAAAATGATATCCTAAAAGAGGTCATCAAGTAACTATTTTATGGTGTTGAAAAAATAAGCTAAAAATGAAATATGAATGATTCTGAACCAGTTTGTAGTAGGTCTAATAATCATAGTCAGATATTGGATTATGCTTGAGGTGTATTTTTAAGGAGATTTTTAACGGTGTAATGTAATATAATTCGCATTAGGAAACATTAATAAAGCAGAAAAATATTAAATTGGAGAAATTTTTGTTGAAATTAAAGAATGGTGTTTGTTTACGAGTTTGGAAAGCAGTAAATTAATCACCAAAATAATAACTTAAGCCACATGGATAATGATGTGTAAGCTAAAAAGATGATGTGTAACTGCCACATGTCAAATTTAGGTGAAACTCTCAAGTTTGGTTTTAGTTTCTAATATAGTAAGATAAGATATAGACAACCTTTGTATACCTACTCTGTTCCAAAATAATAAATACATAAAATAAAAAATCACAGTAGCGGAATTACTAGAAATATCACCAATTGACACAGCCTAAGCACTCAAATCATAAAAAACTTCAACTAAAGTTTGCCATTAACTTAAATATCAAAACAAAGAACAACTGTTCAGGTGCATAAAATTCGACTTTCAACATATTTCCTATGGTTGCTAATGCCTTGGCTTTTGTAAAAGGTTATGCCCAGAAATATGTATACCAAAGTGGACGATTCAGAACAAAGTCACTACCTTTAACATCTCCTCTGGGTCACCATTATACAACATGTGTATGAGTCGGGCCACAGAATTCTGCTCTTCCTTGAAATCTTCCTCATCGAGCTAGTTCAAACCACAAAATATGAGAAGGTCAATGGTTTGTTATGCATCAACTGACAAATAAAAGATAACAATCATCAAAGCCAATATAGAAAAGGCAAAATGTTGTCAGACATTACTGCCTAATCACAGAGCTATGAAGAACAGAATGTTAGCTCAAGAGTCAGCACCTCATCTGTTACAGTACCATCCATATCCATGATCAGACCTTTTATCAACTCAAACAAAACATTGACCTGCATCCAGGTATAGAAAGGGAAAAGCCCTATTAGGTTGGCATCATCAGAATGGTAAATGCAACAGAAAATAAGTACCTTCTCAGCAGTAGAGACACAAGTATTGTATTTCATAATGCTTTGGATGATAACCATAGCCATTATTTTGTTAGTCCCAGCATCAAGATGATCCATGACACGTGGATAATTAGACAGTGTTAGAGCTGTGTCAATGTCATTGAACTTCTCCAATGGTGCAGTCAGAAGGGCAACGACTTGCTTTGTCGCCTTATTATCTTCAAGCTTTGCATTGCTGGATAGTTTCTTGACACATGCTCCCTGGCAATCATGAAAATGCATAAGAGATAAATGCAACGTCAAAAATAACCTTATTTTCCTTCTTTGACTTTGTTGTTCATACCTCTCACTACTCTCTCTGTGCGAGTGTTTAAAGTAAGACTAAATACGATAGAATGCTTGCAGTTATGAGTTTTTGTGCTGAAACTCACCACACTAATCAAGGCACCTAGTATACCAATACAGAAATACTACGACAAGGCGTTTCTTTATAAGATATCTATTCACAATAAATACATTTGTATCATCTTTGGAAGAGAAAATTCATTTATCTCATCTTTTGAATTTCATGATTCATACATAGTGCAGACTCAATTATTATCTTTGTAAACATTAAGCCAAAAGCCAGTTAAAAACACTCACCAGCACTTGGTCCACATAGTCAAGGCGATCTGGGTGAACTCGGAGAGCAAATGTTAGAAGAGATACATACAAGGAAACAGCCCCAACAATTGGCATCTCAACCTGAGCTTCAATCACCTGTCATCAATTAACCAGGCAACCTCAATCATTAAAAAGCTACATCAAGTGTATAAAACTTTGTTACGTACACAGTTCCTAATAGGAAAGGATGCAGAACAAAAACAAGCAAGTTATAGTGGTACTCATTGAAAGAACCAGGTACTTGCTAACCAAAAAAAGAATAGATATATAGTCCAGGTACTTATGATCATACCATCACAAACTACTTCTGAGATATATTACAATAAAAAGCTTTCCCAGAGATCTCTATACTTCAAAATACTGAAGAGGGTTAGGAACTGCATTGTACAGAAATGTATACCTTTCCAATAGCATTGCTTAGCTTGGCAAATGCTTCTACTTGCAAAAATTCTGGCAAGACCTGATACAGAAAAGGAAAAACGATCAATTGTTTCAAAAAGAAAGAGCAGAACTACAGGAAAAAAAAGTTACTTACTTCTGGACTAGAAGCGGCATAATTTGACAGTCTGTCCATAAGTTGAGATAACACCATCCTGATGTCAACGGCAGGCTAACGAATAATAATAATACCATATCAATAGAAGCAAATAAAATTTACCCCATCACAGCTAAATTATGCATACAGTACGTGTTGTATGTATAAAGATAATTTTATTAAAAAAAAAGGGCGTATATGTAGATAAGCCTACACAGCGGTTGTAAATAATCAAAGAGGTGGAGCAAAATAACAAGGTTTTTAGAACAATTAACTCTATTACACATAGAGGGTAGAGCTACATGATTTTGAATGGGACAAAATAAAACACTTACTTGAAGTTGAGGGAAAGCACCCAGCAATGTCTCAAGAGTCTGTAAGTGGTACTCATCCGGAAAGACTTGAATTATGCAGTCCATCAGATAATATTGAGCGAGCTCGTCTTTACAATTTACTACCTACCAGAGAAATTTGATTGAATGTTTTAAAAAACATTAGATTATTTGCCTTTAGTAACATATTCTTCTATGCATAGAAGGAAAATTTGTCCAGTGCACTATGTAAAAACCTGCTCTAAAACCCTTGGAAGCACCGTCTCTTTATACATTTCAAGATCAACACCCTCAACCTGACTAAGGACATGCAGATTCTTCCCAACCTGTATTATGAACAGTCTTAATATCTTCATAAATAATTCATGAAGATGATTGGCTTACAGATAAAAGCTTACAAGGTCTCGAAGTTCGTTCCTCTCTTTTTCCAGTTTCTCTTTAGCCCTGATAGGTCCCTGCAGAGCAGAAATCCGCAAAGAAGGCCTCAACTCAGGATCACCAAAGCAAATGAATGTATCACAAGCACTATAACACCTGCATGGCCAAAACATGCCTGCATGATTGATATTCATTTCCGTGGCATGCAAGTACTTAGATGCCATGCAAATGAAAGAAAAGGCCACGCACCTGATGCTGCATTCGAACCCAAAGTTTATTCATCTCTGTAAAGTTTTGTAGCACAAAATCCACAGCATCCAGGACAGTGTCGCCTTCCCTGCAGTAGGTATGCAACAAATCAGTTCAACCTATGTGAAAAGAAGCATATGAGAACATCAGGAGGTCTAGAAATTTATCAGGATGACCAATTTCTATTTGATAATCAGCAAATAAGCAAATCATGTGAAGGGAGAACAGGGGAAAAGAAAAGAAATTGTAAACAATTTGCCTTCCCTAACATGAGCATTTGAAAAACAGAAGTAGTAACACATTGTCTTTTTTATTTCAATAACATTCAAGTAGTAACAGGATCATTTAGCACTCAATCAGTGGCATGCGTTTGTATACAATGTTCATTCATGAAATGTGTGCATTTAAGCAAGAATAATGGTGCATCGATGCATCTTACAATCTAAAGTCTAAACAGCAAAATTCTCAATCGCAACAAGATCCTTCAGTATGTATACGGTTTAAAAGCCAATAAGTAACTTCTAAAGTAAACCAGAAATGCAAAGGCCAACAGCTTTACCCTTCATACTCGGACCCAATATCTGGTAACTTATCTCTGCTGATCTGAGCCAGATAACTCCTCAAAAAGAGCCCACGAATAGGATGTTGAACACTACGACACATTTCAACCAGATCCTTCAGGACATCTTTTGCCGGAGCCTCTTTTGATTTTATGTAAACAGATCCTACTGTGCATAAAAGGTACCTGAGATATACAGGCACAAGCCTTTAATGATTATCCCCTATAGTTATAAGAAAGAAAAAATTTGATACAGTCATATAAGAACATCAAACTATGTGCATATTACAGAGCTAAAAGAAGAGAAGCTAAACATATTAAACTTATGATCAGCCTATTTCCAGAATGTACCAACTTTAGTCTGTTCCTGACTAGTGAATATCAAAAAGTTCAAGTTCTTCTCCTCTCTGGGCCCTTTATCATTTTGAAATCATTTCCCAAGGATTCTATATCAATACTAGCTAAAATTTTAAGTCCCAATAAATGATAATTCCAAATGGAGGTGCCTCCAGAGTCGATTGTACTTCATATTGGAAAAGCATATATATCAATAGCAATTTCGTTTCAAGAGAAAAAAATTACTTACAGCCTAGGTAAAACATTCCCAGCATGTTGGACAAGTTCGTAGAGGTCAACTACGGAACAACCATGCCTATCTTCATCCTTGAAGAACATCTCAAGCCTTCGTAATTCATCAAAGGCTCGCATATCTTGAACAAAGGAGCAAATAGAAAACTGTAAGTACAAGTAAAAGGAAAACAGATGATGATTCAAGCATTGGAAACTGAAATTATAGTCTTACAGAGCTCATAGTATTTGTGCGGCGAAAGTCTGGAAGTACGAAGCTCCGACAAGACTTGCGCCGAATATTTTAGTGCTTCTCTTAGATTGTTGGAGTCCTAATAAGATCATCAATCGAGAAACATATCAATCACTAAGTTCAATGATGTAGCTTCGATTAAAACTTAAAAATCTAACCGAAGTAACAAAGATTTTGATTCAGAAGTAGGGTTGCAAATTTAAAAATTTCAACTGCTGACAGGAGTTGGATTTATACCAAAGCGCGATGCAAGAAGAAAGCGTTGTGTTGGATTCCGGCGATGCCTTCGGCAAGCCATTTTTCTTCGTCGTCAATTCCGTCGCCGATCATCATTTTCTTAATGCTCCACTTTACTTTCACCGGCGATTGGGATCCTCACCTTCTTCTCTTAGTCGTGTGGAACTATACAGCTTGTCCTCACCGATTGAGAATCTGAGATTGACCGACCCGCTTTCGTACCCGACAATAAATGAAATTACAACCCGCGTGGTTTAGATCATTAAAAAGTTTTTTACTTTTACCCGTTAAGATACTGTGATTGTTATTTCACTTTATCACAATGTTCAAAACTCACAAAATCAATTCCCCAAGACTTTCAAGTTTCAAGAGTAATTCACATAGATTATATGTTGTTAGATTCTACTGTATCACCAGTTTATGGTGAGTGTGCTTACAAAAGCATGCCAGCAAATGAACAGGAAAATCGGAATCGGTGAACTAAAGTTTGATGAATTTACAATTTGAATATTACCACTATCATTTTCAGTATTAATGATCATTTCAATGTAATACGACTTGTATACAAGCCTCACTGTTAGCAAATTCAATACTACATTGACAGAATCCAATGAATGCCCTAGGAGAAAAACTACCAAAAATCCTTGGGCAGTAATGTTCAGCCTCAAGCTCTACAACTACACTACACTAAAAAACTCAGAAAGGAATAGTGTAAGGCAAGGCGTATACATCCGCCTCTGGCAAGTACTGAGCTCGAGGAGGCCACAATGTAGAACTGCCAGAACAGGTCATCATCATATCTGTACTGGCTGCTCTTAACATCTTCTCCGGCCGAGTTGTTGCTTCATTCTTGCTTCCAAATAACCAGTCATCCCCTTTCTCGTCGTCATCATCCCTCAACAAACACGGAGGGGTCCAATCCTCTATCAAACTTTTGTATTTATCTGCTACTTTTTTCATTTTCTTGAATCTTCTCGAGCTAGAATCAACATACACATCTTCCAAATAAGTGTTATCCAATCCCCCTGAATTTTGCTGAATCCACCTTTGTTCAGATCTTAATGGATCAACATTAACCTTTAGCTCAGCTGCCAGCGAACTTGGATAAGATTTATCAAGATCAGTTCTACTAAAAATGTTTTTATCTTCAACCAGGACATCTGCTCTCCCAGAGGTTGAGGGTTGATCTTCACTTCCTCTGATTTCAGGTTTCCTGTGATCTTGAGATGGCAGTCGAAGGACAGGATCGTCACCACCTATAGTATGTTGTTTTATGATCTTTAGTGATGATGAAGGGATTGGCTGTTCATCAACTCTAACACCATGTTTAATCTGCTTTGGTGGTTGTTCCTCACCTTTGACATCATGTTTAATCTGCTTCTGGGATGGCAGACGAAAACGGAGAATATTGCCACCTGTTCACAAAAATTGGAGAAAAGAGTGATTAGCACACATAAAGCAACGGGAGCAACACTACAGGAAACAAAGTAAAATGAATAAATCCAAACTCACCTTGAACTCGAGTACTGTTTACAGGCGAGTCATGCCTCTTGCGCTTGCAGCCACTGTTCTGGGTGCTGTCAGATGAATAGCTAGGATTTTGTGATGGCTGTTCATGTTCTTCAGTGATACTGCTCCTTTCAAGCTGTTCTGTGTCATCCTTCTTTTCCTTTTGGGACTCTACTTTAAAGACATTATGCTCCAATTGGCTGGTCTTGATTTGCTTAGCTTTATCTTCTTCTTTTGATTTCTTCTTCTCTTTCTTTTCTCTCTTCTTCTCCTTCTTCTCCTTCTTTCTTTCCGACTTGTCCTTTCCCTTTTCCTTCTGGAGCTTTACAGCACCAGAATAACAAATTTAGTATGGACGGCTAAGAGCAACATGCTCAAATTGGGGGGAACAGAGATCCCAGACATACATATACTTGGGAGTGAAATTAGCATTCTCTCTAAAGCAGGCAACACACACTCATGATGGCCTCCAATCATAAAGGTGTACATAAATGCCAGGTTAATTACAACAATATGGCTAAGAAACAGATCACAATGTACATACACACTCCAGTGTTCTCATTGTATATTACTATATGGCTCCAAACCAACCAGAAATTGAACTGTTATCCTCCTCCACAAAGGAGAAAGGAATATTATCCCAAATCAGAATATTACATCACCACAAATTCAAAACGGCTGCAAGTAATGCTTCCACACTTGCAGATGGTCACATTAAGATTTCGGAAAATTAAAAAACCAAAGTGAATTGACTGAAGAAACCTGAGAAAACCCCTAAATCCAACTTGTTTGCTTAAGGATACACATACAGAGTTCTTGATATCTTAATACTCACATGACACATCTTCAAAAGGCATTTATGTAGCCAAGACTACAAGCACAAATATTTTCTAGAAAACAAAACGACTTCATTTAATGCTTCATCATTAAGTTCGGGAAAAACAGAAAAGTCTGCTAAATGAGTTTTGAAACTATGTTAATACTTGTTTGTTTGTAAAAGTACAGCGCAGTCCAAGCAAAACATCATTTGTTAGAGAAAATAAAAGTTTTTTTTTTGAAATAATAATTTGCTTTAGTGCTGCTAAGAGCAGGCAAACTCTCATAAACCAACTATAAGTTCTTTGGTCTACCACCTTACCCATCAAAGAGATACACATGTAGCTACCTTGAATAAGAACACATTGATATTCAAGTCAGTGAGAGTCAGAGGATACTCCGGGAGATGCATCTCACACCATACTATAACTCCATACTAAAGGTAATGGTCAGCTTAAAGGTTCTCAATAACAGGGAGGTTTAACCTTGGTGTTCAAAGGTAGGGTTCGGAATGCCATCTTACACTCTTCATCCAAAATACCATCACTATCCCAAAAGACCCAAATCCGTAATAGATATCGTAGTCACAAGTGTGCAGCACAACCAGATCAATTATGCATTACAGCTACTTTTCTAACATCCCAGTAAAAGTAAAACATACACGGGTTCACATCAATTTAAAATCACAAACAACCATTTTAGTTCCAGTATTTAGGAAAAAAAATTAATATTAAAATTATTTTTGAAAATAATGGTTAAAACACAATTTATTGAGAAAAAATTTGTTTGAATGAAATCCCCATTCATAAGTCGACGTTATTTAACAACATCGAACAGATAAAGCACACCAGAAGTACCAGTCTCGTACGAGACGAGAAAGAGCAGAGCAATAAAGACACAGATTCAAATCAAGTTGCTCTATTTCAACAAACCTTAATCGATTCGATCAAGGCCTCATTGCTGGCTCTACTCGGTATGTACCCAGGAGGAGGGTAAGGAAAGCACCGAGACATCTTCGATACACAAGAGCGACAAATTAATCCCTTTTTTTCCCTAAAAAATTTCAAATCGAGAAAGAATCGCACCCAGATAAATCGATAGCCCTCGCCGTTCAATCAAAGGGTATCGTTGGATCCAATAAATCGCTTCCTAAAAGGGTTTTCTGTAACTAATCGGGCGAGATCTGGTAACAATCTTGAAAAATCAAAAACTAGGGATTCGGCGACCAGGAGAGAGAATGTGTGGAACAGCCTAAACCGAAAGACGGAGGATTGATTTCGGTACCCTAAAGGTTCTATTTATAGAGACATTGCGAGGTAGCGAACTTCTACACGGTTTCTTAGTTTCTAAATTGCATCAGATGCCCTTTTATTTGTTTGTAATTATGATTTAGGCTGCATCCCGTGGCGGTGGGGTTTGCAAAAAATCCAGTTCAACACGGATCCTTCTTTTAACACGTGATTGTGTGGCGTGGGCTGGGTATCCAACTGGGCTCCCTCTCACAGCCCACTTCAGTAAGAATATTTCTAGGACAAGTTCATATTCATTTATTTATTTATTTTTATATATTTATATAAACTTGTAAAATAAAATACAGAGGCAAACGTGTTCTTTTGTTCTCCTTTATCAGTTTTTCTTCAGTCTAAATTACACCAGCTAACAACATACAAATAGACTGTTAATAGTATAGTTTTTCCTACGTTTATCAACAATTTATGAGAAAAAATATTTATCCTGAAACAGTAATCCATCAGGGACAAATAGTTATGAAAACAAAATTTTTAATTTAAAAACATTATCTACACAAAAAAAAAATATTCATTTAAATCACTCTTCATCTTGAAACAAACATGATAACAAAATCCAGCCAGCAATGGTCCGAGCATGAAGTGAAGTGATTAGAAGAAAGTATTCTAAAAGCACTATCCATAGAACATCACATCTTCCATCCAAAAATATCATTTAATTACTTTTCAAATTTTAAATGGAAAACAAAATGCATTTTGCTAGTCTTTTTCGTTTAATAGATTCAAAATGATAAGGAAATTATCTACTTCATCCGCGGGATATTCCATGCAGTTATCTAAATGCTACAATAGTTTTTTTCTTTAATTTGATGGAAATTGTATAATAGTTGCCATAAAAATCATAATTAAGTAGTCAGAGTTATGGGACCAACAAAAAAAAAAAAAAACTCAAACATGCAATACTCCATATATGCTTGCGTCAATAATAAAAAACTTAATATATTATATTTTTTATGTCCTGAAATGATTATTGTTACGGTTCTGGCTGCATCGATGTTTTTTCTTTTTTTTTCTTTTTCTTTACGCCTAAATCCTAAAGAACTCAAATGATTAATTTAAATTTTTACGTACCTTTTAAAAGGTTCAAACAAGTCATTACTCATATTAGCCCAGTCCAACACCCACTTACTGGAAACGGAGGCCCAATCGTGGCTTTCACCGTAGCCACAGCCCGATTCCTTAAACCCCCTGACACAAAACGCAAACGCTTTCCAGAAGCAACTTTTCATTTCAGCTCACTCGTCCCTGGGTTTTAGACTTCGGAGCTCCGAATAATCATGAGGAGAATCAGCCGCTTAGCCACCGTTTGCCGGGCCGGCGCCGTCACCGCCAATGCCACTACCGGAAACACCATGCCCAGCTGCCTGGTCCGGACGTCTTTGTACAGCAGCAGCATTTCTGGGAGGCATCATAATTGGTTCACAAATGCTTGCCCCGCTATCACCAGTACTAACCTCGTTGATCCGCCGGCTCGCTTCGTTGCCGGAAACATGCTTTTCTCCTCTTCCGCGGCTTCTTCTGCTTCTGTTTCTGATGAATTCGAGCCGAAATCAAAAGCTTACCCCAAAGACGTTGTCCTCTATCAGTACGAAGCCTGCCCTTTTTGCAACAAGGTTAAAGGTAATCCCTCGACTATGCTCGTTGTATTTAGTGTCGTAATTTTCGGAGATTTTGATTTTTTAGGTAATTCTTTATTTTTGTAGCCGTATGATGGAATTTTTTTTTATTGTTTTCCTTTTATGTTATCATCATTGTTGAAAAGGTGGAATAAAGTAGATGAATTTGTACTTAGGATCACTTGGGATTGTCTTTTATGTTTTCAGCATTCTTGGATTACTATGATATACCGTACAAAGTTGTGGAGGTCAATCCAATTAGCAAGAAGGAGATCAAATGGTCTGATTACAAGAAAGTTCCTATTTTGATGGTTGATGGAGAACAGATGGTTAACTCATCAGGTTAATTCAAATGATTGACTCGTCAATTTCATTGATTAACTTATCATTTACTGGATTTCCTAATAACATCGCGTGGAATGACGTTTGGTCTTTGTTTCCGCTTGTGTGCAGAAATTCTCGATGAATTGTCGCAAAGAATCGATTCTAGGGATAAAGTCGATGAATCATCAGATGAAGCTGGTGAAGAGAAGCAATGGCGTGGGTATGGATCCCTCGCTTTTGATTGATTCTGAGTACTTGAATCACATTTTGCCTTGCATAAAGATATTTTGCCATTATCTATTTTAGATTCAATTTGTGCACGGTAACACCGCTATGTGATGAATTATCTGAGAAACATGTTAATTCTTATTATGGTCATTGATAGCTGTTGTCATTTAATTTCTCGCATAGCCTATTATGAAATTTCCTTTTCCCGTAGAGCTAGGGGAGCATTTAGGTGATAACGGACCTAGCACTGCTCTGCATAGAAATATAGAATAAATCTGAGAAACATATTAATTCGTATAATGGTCAGTGATAGCTGTCGCCATGTAACTCATCGCATAGACCTTCACTGTTTTGTATTTTACTACTGGACATAAAATTCCACTGTTATGTGAACTGTATGTCGTGGCATGACTATTGGACATAAAATACCATTATTTTGTGTACTGCGGATGAGCTTGACATCTAATGCCAGATGTTATATATGCAGATGGGTTGACAATCATCTGGTGCATCTCTTGTCGCCGAACATCTATCGTAGTCCATCAGAGGCCCTGGAGTCATTTGACTACATTGCCAGTCACGGTAAGGCTCGTCAAATTGAATGCTAAGTTAGGCTCAGGCCATAGATTTTTATGTAATGAGCTTGACAATTAACCCCATGCACTTTCTTAAGGACTTTTTTCTATATCTTACTGGAAAAGTCAGTGAGATCAAGGGTACTTCATTAATCACTTGTTTTGTTGCTGGATCTTCTGAATCCAATATTCTTCTCATCATTATGACGAGCTTCCATTTTCTTATCTATCTCATTCCTAATTTTTATAGGTAATTTCAGCTTCACAGAAAGGATAGTGGCAAAGTATGCAGGTGCTGCAGCCATGTACTTTGTGTCAAAAAAATTGAAAAAACGGCACAATATCACTGATGAACGAGCTGCTCTGTATGATGCAGCAGAAACTTGGGTAGATGCTCTTAAGGGCCGAGATTTCCTAGGTTTGTTTGTTAGGGTATCGTTAGTTGGTTGAAAGTTGCATTTTGCTTAGACTTCGATAGTTAATGATTTTTTATTTTTTTTATCCTCTAATTTCTTTTGTCCTACAGGTGGTTCGAAACCAAACCTAGCAGATTTGTCAGTTTTCGGTGTCTTAAGACCTATTCGCTACCTTACATCTGGTAAAGACATGGCAGAACACACTCAGATTGGTGATTGGTATTCGCGTATGGAAGGCATCGTTGGAGGACCTTCTAGGGTGCAAGGATGAGCTGATTGGTCTTACTGCGCCACAAAGTTGGCGATAATTGTTGCTCTGGGCGTGCTTATAGGACTTTTCCTCCTATATTTTTTTTCCCCATCTTCATGAGTTTGTTGAACCGTCTTCCGGTCGTATACTGCGGGAGAATGGAGCGAGAAATGCATTTCTTTGATTTCGTAGTTTTAGAACTTGTACCAAGGAAGCTGAAAATCCTTGAGTAGACGACCGATTAAGTGTATAGATGACAAATCAATGCCTAATAATACTTTCTTTTCATCCGTGATCTGTCATTTTATCAACTAACCAATCGACGCATGCACGATTTTTCCAACAGAAATGTGCAAAAGAAACACCAATCCCACTCGAGAACGTCCGAGAGATAAATACTCTCTCTATCCTAAAAAAATGATCTACATTGAGTTTTGTACTTCTGTAATTTTAGTACAAAATTTTAAGAGCTTAATGTGGACTATGGAATTGAACTTGAGAAAGAAAAGATTTTAGAAAGAATGGTGTTCGTCAGGACAACTAACTGGGATCAGAAAGAGGGAAAGCAGAGACACCAAAACCTGTTATTAATCCACCAGGAGGATAATAATACTTGTTCTTTGCATCGTCTAAGACTTCCGTTCGATGACAGTGATTCCTTCTTTCCTTGTAAAGGATCATGTAACGGAATTTTCTGGTTTGACAGGTGGAAAGGCGGACGGACTTGTTTGTGTAATCCAATTACTCAAGAGTATTTTGAACTTCCCAATGCGAACAGCCGGGGTTCTATCTAAGGGAATTCCCATTCAGGCGACCGGGTTCGGTTTTGATCCGTCTACTAATGATCATCAGGATTCTAAAGGAGCAGAATTCTGATCAGAGTACACATTTGTCTGCGGAGATTTACAAACTCAGTAAGTTTAGCTGGACTATGATTGAGGAGGACAGCGGCTTTGACCTGAATTTAGTTTCTGAGTTCTTGAATTTCGCGGTGGAGGTACAGGAGTGGATTTTCATGGTTCCCTTCACTGGCGGATTCTCACCCGCAACGCTCCTCCTGACCAGGTTCAACAAAGGTCTCATCCTTACCTTTTGATCTCCAGGTTGAGACATTTGGAAGTATTTGATATCCAAATCACATAAATTACCATGAGACTTTCTCGGAGGCTTCGGAGACTACCCTCCTGATGGTGGTGGTGAATTAAACAATCGTTTTTGGAGGATTTGGATACTCAGGGTCTTGGGTGATTCCCTTGCAATTGTCTCCAAAAACGAGTCAGGGATCACGGGCGAAACGTTCGATGTGTTGGTGATGGAGGAATATGGCAAGCCGGAGTCATGGACAAAGAAATGTTCAGTTGGTCCATTTTCACCACCGGGTTTTCCACAACCCCATTGGCGCCAGTTGACTTGTTGGAATGGTAACCAGCTTCTGGCACTAAGTAATGGTGATGGAGACTTGGTCTCTTGTAAGCTTCCCCTGAGGGATGGTTCTTCTGAAGAGGAGGAAGAACAACAAATTACAAAATTCGACATCGATTGTAAACATGTCCTACGTACTCTGTATGCTAGTGCACTCATCTTTCAACCTTCCTTTGCTTCTATATGTCATCTTTCAACCTTCCTTTGCTTCTATATGCGGACTTAGAAGGAAGCTTTCATGAATTGGGGGTAAGTTTTTTTTGGGTTTTTCCCCGTAAATATATAGGTTAACTAGCAGTATTACAAGTCTATTACTTTTCAGACTGAACATCAAGAATAACTCTATGTGATGTTATTAGTCATTGGAATTATAATGTGTCCTTGCCATCACAAGTTCCTGTTCAAATTTGACCCCATACACACAATTCTACTGGTCTTGAACTCGATCCAATTACTCCCCCCAAATCGTTTTCACTTTTTCTTGTTATTTTATTGTTTTTCATTTTTGCCTTTTTCATCATTTGGATTGTTCAATTTATGGAGAATATTTTTTTGCGTACTATATAATGCAATATCTTAGCGGAATTCCCTTGTATCATTATCGATCCCTACTATGGGGAGCATAGTAGTTTACTTAAGGTGACCAAAGGTTGTACTAATAGTAAATTAGTAATCCTGTACCCACATACTCATAGTGATTTCAACAAGAGACCAGCTAAACTCACATGGAATTCCAAAATCCTTAGATAACACAAAAGAACTCCAGAGATTACACGGACAACTTTATGTATCGCAATGGTAAGTCGTGAATTGAAGGACACGGACAACTTCGTGAGGATGCAGAATCCGTTTCACGTGATTTAGACACTTGCAGAGTTGCAGTTGTAAGTACTCCCTCTGTCCTAAAATTATTGTCCAATTTAGATTTTCATTTTTAGTACAAATTAAACTAAAAAGTGAAACTTCAAACTGCGACAATAATTTTGAGATGGAGGAAGTAATAACTCAAAAATAGAGAAAATAAATTTTCCTGGTTTCTCCCAGTGAATATAGTTTAACTAGTAGTATTACAAGGCTGACTTTTGAGACAAAAGAATATCGATCAATAAAGATCACTATGTAATGTTGTTAGTCGTCATTCGAAGCACAATGTGTTTCTTCCTTAAGGATCTCGTAAGCTAGCTAACCATGTTGAATTTTGTAGTAGTAAGTATTTTTCTCAGATGATGAAGCGGTTGAGATTTTTCTTGAGGAATTCTCGGACAAGAACTCTGTATGCTTTCTCTGTCAAATGAAAACTGTCCCAGAATACGTAGTCTCCAACGTTTGAACATGTGTACTTGCACAAAAACGCCACTTCCAATTTCCCTGTTCCGCAGCATCCCACATTCCCAAAACTAAATCCTGCAAAGATTAATTAATGCTTTGTAAAGTTTATTCAAAACTCCACCTTCATCAATTGGTTTAGTTCTTACATTTAAATGTAGTACCGTATTTTTGTGGGTTGTAGATGAGGTCAAGGGGAAGATTGTAGATATCACCATATACAATCCTCGCATCCGGATATTTGGTATTGAGATGGTTGATTTCCGCACTGAGCTTGGTGTTGAATAACTGTACCATTTCATTGAAGTTTTCTGCGCAGTCTCTTTCTAGTCCACCTTTCAGTGTCCTCTGTGATGGAACACATCCAATTGGTGGTAGACCAAACACACCAATTTTACGTGCTCCGATTCCATACAAATCCTTCATGAATCAGAACCAACCAAATTAATTGCATTTTTTTAAAAAAAAACAAGGGACTGATTGTTCTTTGGTTTTTTAGTATTATTACCTGGATGAAACTGGATGCAGAACTGAGCATAAGATCAGTATAGGATGGAACATCATAGTGGGATTTCCGAAAAGGGGTGCTAAAATAAGTGTTTGTAATGTCATTGCTGCCAGTGACAACAAAAAATAGGCCATCTTTTAAAACTGCGGCTACTCTATCATCTCCAGCAATCCCTTTTAGTCTGATCAGGTATTCTTTGAACAGTTCTAACTGATCCGAGAGTGATATCACATTCTGGAAAACCCAAAAAAGAAGCACAAAAGTTAAGCAAGAATTCTGATGTCTGATAATGATTAATCTGAACCCAAATGATAAACCAATTACATACCACAAGCTCAGATGTCAGAGGATCAAAACCTCCTCCTCCAGAAGCAAAGTTGACCCCTGTTATGAGATCCTCATCTTGCAGATTTGGATCAAGATAGGCTGGTAAAATCCCTTTGATTCCCAACTCTTCAGCTGAAAGAAAAACATAACTCTAAAAGTTAATCAAATCGCATTCCGGAGTTAAAACAGAGGGAAAAAAAAAAAAAAAGCATAAAAGTGATGTTTCAGTTCAGTGGGTACCCTACCAATCAAGTCAGAAGGAACTTTTCCATTAGAAAACCTTCCAGTAGGCTTTCCTCCAATGAAATCCTTGCCATAAGGTGGATAGTTCACTTTCATGATGGTTTCAAGATTGTTGTTGTTTCCGGTATCAACAACAGAATCTCCAAAAACAATGACACATGGAATCGAAGTAGTACTGTTGTAATAATGTGTTGGCTCATTTGGGTTGGTCCGTATTGCCTGGACACATTGTGAAATAAAACCAAAGTTCAAACTCGTTATTGACAGTACCAAAAGGGAAAGAAATTTGACAGAAACCTCCATTTCTTTTTTTGGTTTGAACTCTGGATCACTGTGCACGAAAAGCCTACTTATGAGATAGTAGAATTGAAGAGCCGAAGTACATAAACGAACTATCCGTGTTTAATTTATTAATTCAAGAGGGATTAAATGATGCCAACTATATGGAATGAAGCATTCTGATACGTTCCATGTTTTTGATTAAATTTTTTTTGCAGGGAGATAGTCAACTGACATAGCAGAATTATGTGCAGTTGGTGGTTGGATTGATCAATTTGCATGTTAGGGGTCATTAATTAGGATATGGTTCACTTCATGATGCGCAGAAGTTCGACTTGGGAGACTCTTGTGCCAATACTTCTTTATACTTTCCCAAAAGAAATTTTCTTACTTCTATAGCAACTTAGTTTTAGTAACGACGTTTATGCATTTTAATCTTTAAATCTGTTACCAGTTGATATCATTTTATTGATAAACCATGATACACATTACAAAATAAATGAGACAAAAGTTCAAATATGTGACATAGGAGGAGCTCTCTGGTTCAAGTCTAAGAGAAAACCTACAAGATGAATAAATGCAACCTTGGATGATCACATACAAAGATTGAGCCATGTGCGGTGTGCTACATTGTGCAACAAATTTCAAGAACCGCCCCCTTCTGCTTTTTTTATTACTCTTATCATTTTTATCTATTTAATAAAGAAGTAACCCGTGAGAGTAGTATTAGTTTTCACGTTAACTGTTTCCCACCTAAAATATATTCTCAAAGGTTACTTTACTTCTATGTTGTCATAGGACTACTGTTCAATCAATTAAATTACAAGAAACTATTAAATTAAGAGACGTTTATTTTAATTCATAGGAAAAAAAATCTACAATCATTGTCCCTGGATCCTAATCTTGTAGTTGTTACATCAATATCAGTGTCTTAATAGTAACTATATTCTCAGCCTAGGCGTTAGGCGCAACTTAACAATTTGAGATAACTAAGGGAAAAGTATTTTGTTATAACGAAAAGTCATATATAAAAAAATCATTAACTTTTGTTGCTCGTTAGTTAGACCTCAACTGCCAAGAATTATTTGTGTGGGAGAAAATAAATATGTAAAAGTATTTATCTTAAATGTATGAAGAAAAAATTGGTGAGTTTGAATGGAAAGTTAATTTTGAGAATGTTTAGACTGAATTGAGTGATTGTGGACATTTTACATCACTATACTATTAGGGTGTGTTATAGTGCAGGATACTACAAAATTGTATTCCCATCTCAGATTATTATATTAAAGAATATATATGAGACTATTATGTTAGACTAGTATGTACCTCGTACGTTACACGACGGAATTTAGATATTATTGTATTAAAATTTTGTATTATATAATCTATAGTTAAAATAAAAAGATTATAATGTCTGAAAATCACAAAAAAATAAAAATAAAAGATCAATGTAAGAAGCTGTAAAAGTTTGTTATTCATCGTATATCTTATTCTTGAAGACTGCAATAGTAGTTTGTTCATTATGCAAAACACATGTTATTGTCTAGATGTGTTGCTAAATGCATTAAAAAGAATCTCTTTGAATAATCACTCATAATATATTTAGTACTAAGATGTAATCATGTAAAAAACAACCAATAGGGAAAAAAATCCAATTGAGCTGGCCCCAGAACAAAATCAAGAAAAACACCTCTAAAAGCCTCTTTTAAATCCCGGTCCATTCCTTATTGGAAGACACCAATAGAGACCTTGTTAGTTTCTTTCAAATCATCTATTCACATCAAAATAACTGTTTGAGGACACCAAGACCCGTTCAAGTTGGCCTTTTTCCCCAATTATAATATAAGTATTTGGTAAGTTGGTAGCCCAGATTATTGTCTTCTTCTCCTAAATAGATCAAGCTTGACAAACAACTTTTTTTTATTCTCAAAGATCGATTTGCTGGGGATCTATTTAGTGTTGATAGTAATTTTTTATGCATGTGGTCATGGATCTTGGTGAACGAACAGAAACATAGAAATATATTAATTATGTTTGAATTTTAATAAAAACCTAAAGAAATAGAGTGCAGATTATTAATCCTAATTAAGTCCTTGTGTCTATTGATTTGTTTTGCATTTTGATAATTTAAATTATGACATGGCGGGTGAAAATCATTGAAGGTATATGATTCAATAAGTTATGTACGGACATAGTTTGGCAGATAAAGTTAATTTTTAGAAATAAACTCATGTTTGGTCCATTTGTTTTGATAAATAGAAAAAAAAAAAAAAAAGTGGATTCTCTTTAAATAATGTATATAATATGTTACAATCCTGGTTTATAGATTTTAAAAATATCTATACCTTGAATTTTATTTTATTTTTGGTGGATTAATACAGTTTTGTATTACTCTACCAAACTTTGAAAGTAGCAAACAAAAACTATATAAATTATAGTTAACATGGAAAAAATATCTTTGCACTAAAAAAATATAAACAATTGAAATATACATCCCTTGTACTTAGTTCCCTTATTCTCTTATTTTTGGACTGCACCATATGAATAGGACTTTCCATCCATTCCCACTTAAAATTTAGGAAAGTAAAAGAACCAAAGTTACTATCTGAATTCTGAATAATTGGAAGCACGAAATCACTTAATTTTGTGAGAGATAAAACGGAAGAATGTAATGTTTGACCTTATCATCACGACTTTCAACATGATGAACCTCAAGTTGCCCTTGAATAACCATCTAACAGATATAACTACTATCAAAGAAAACTCAGTACCAAATATTTGACTATTTCCGAATAATAGTTGAGAATATAGAGCACCTATTTCCTGACTGGCAAGGGTAATGGAGTTTAAATATAATTATAACAAAATATGAAGCTCAGTACAAATGAGGTGTTAGTTCAATGGTAAAACTACCATTGCTCTCAAAAGGAGGTCATGAGTTCAAACCTTCATTCCAATGAGAGTGATGGAATGACTCAAACCTTGCCCATTGGTACTTCTAAAGGGCTTGTTATGGCAAACCCACTCATTGGTACTTCTAAAGGGCTTGTTATGGCAAACCCACTCATGAACCCCCCAAATTCGTACCTAAGCTTGTCACCCCGGGTTTATCTAGGGTGATTTACCTCCCACTGTGATTTGCAAGCTATTGCAGTGGGCGTGAGTTTACCCATCTCTAGTGGTGTTCCCGGTTTACCCCAGAAAAAAATATATATATATATGAAACTCAGTTAATTGAGCCTTACAAATTTTATTACGTCTTGTTCAACATCAAGCTATGGTTCCCGAATCCCACATTATTTGAGAATCTTGTTCGAGTTATAATGCTCGGCTCTAACATGAACAAAGATCTAAGTGAAATAATTATATGCTCTCCTCCTACTAATTGAATTTTGTGAAAAAAAAAACCAAAATATAAATTACACATTGGATGATCAATAATTTTATCATCGGACAATTTAAATTCTTTTTGATGTCTTTTATCAATACTTTCAATGCGAGTCAAACTAATTGATGAAGATTCATTAGTTTTCCTTTTAGGTTGTTTTCTTACTAATTGAATTTTGTGAAACAAAAAACCAACATATAAATTATACATGGGATGATCAACAATTTTATCATCGGACAATTCAAATTCTTTTCGATTTTCTTTTGTCACTACTTTCAATGCGAGTCAAACTAATTGATGAAGATTCATTAGTTTTCCTTTTAGGTTGTTTATCAAATAATTTTCCAAAGAGTTTTTCTTAAAGGTAAAAAAAAAATATGTCATCAGAATCTTAGTAATCCAAATTTATAAAATAATATCAAACCTCAAATGGTTAAATAAATAATAATTTAAAACACAATCAAAGGTAAAAGAAAAATAAAAATCTCGTAACTGTGTTGGCAACTCTTAAAATGACGGCCGATTTAGAAAAGGGAAAAAAGAGACCAACGGATGAAGGAATTCGGCAGTCTAGGACTAACTTCTTTGATTTTGTTTTAAGAAAATATATAGAAAAAAATTAAAAATAAAGAAGAGTTGAGCTAAATAAACAGAACCTATAGGAATTGGGCTTGCCCTTCACTTGGTATGGGATTTTAATGAAGCATTTTAATTGGATTGATAAAAAATAAAAGGAAAAGAAACCCCGTCAAGTACTATCATCATCTTCTTCTTCATTTACATCGGAGGATTGCATCTGATGATCTTCACAATTGCGTCCGATTCGCGACACGGCGATTGATCTGGCAACCATCGAAATTTCCTTCTGCCTTCATGACAGACCGAAGATTAGCATATTTCTATTGACTTTGAATCTTTGATCGGAATAATTCTGATGTAACTGACACTTCTTGTTGCAAACTTCATCAGTCATCATCTTTAACCTTTGGATTTTGAATTTGCCAACATCGAACCTTGATTCCAAATTCCTCCTCGTCGTCGTCATCGGCTGCAGCTTCTCCACCGCTGTTCTTTCCCTTCCATTTGTTGGCGCCATGGGAGAGATGGTAGCGTTTGGTTATTCCGCCATGATTTCAGTTCACTCCGCCTGAATTCACGGTATCAGTCCGAGAAAGAGCAAAAAAGAGTAAATATAAATAAGTAAATTAGTTGGATTAACTGTTTTACATAGAAAAATTAACTGAATGCTGTTGATGTTATAAGCAAGCGACACGTATCGATTATTTTTCTTTCCTTTAATATATATAATTATAATGATTTTGGCGTAAAATGGTAGAGGCTAGATATTTTAACATGATTTGCATATATATTGGCTCAATAGGCAATTTAAGCATTTTCATATCATTACTTTTTCCGGAGAAAAAAAAAATCCCAAAACAAAATAGGACCCAAACGTAAACCCTAACCCCAAAATTTGGTTGAATTTTAGGAAATGCAGTCTAAATGGACTTGGAGTTGCGTGAGGTCTAGTTACAACTTACAAGAAGAATGCCAAGGAGCAGATTGGGCTTCCGGTTGCCTAGGGCCCTAGAGACATTGAGATCGATAAGGATGTACAATACCAATTTCCTGGTAAGGAATTGTGAATATGTTGAATCACATGGAATCATTGAATATTTTAATCCAGACGAAATTGTTGATGTAAGTTTTAA